ACCATATTCCATACCTTACCTGGCTTACCACGTCGCACGCAAGTACGCCAAAACACGTACATTTTCGCAGTTGCGAGATCGAGACGGAGCGTAGGGCTCGAGTTTTTGGCGGTCGATTTTGTTTTGGTAGAAGCTGAATCTAGACCATGAACCACTAAACATCGCGAAACTGCAATCAATTTCCATCACGAATTCACGATTGCTGCAATATTATAAAGTTTCCATAAATAGAGGTATGAAATTAAAGCCTATTTTGTGATGTTCTCGCCATGTTTACGTAATTTTGATAATCATTTCTTCAAAGTAAAGAAAATCAGACAAAATCACCGTAACTGACAGTGCATTGCATTGCCACTGTGTAGTGTGTGTGAGATGAGCTGAGTCGCAGTTGAAAGTGTGTGAGTTGAATTCGAGTCGAAGAGATTTGACACTTTGAAATTGTTATCTGTTGGTTTGCATCATTATTGCCGCGATTTCAATATAGTTTCGTGAATAGATTTACGAAACCTGAGCTTAGAATTAGTAAAAGTATTACTAGACTCTAATGTCTACGTTTTTAAAAGACTGTTTGATTTTCCTGTGAAAATTTTACTTTGAAAAATGATTATCGAAATTCATGGTCAGAAATAATCACAATCTAGGGTCTATTATGTTACAGTTCTTGCATCAAATCAATGCATGAAAACTTAGTTATTGAACTAGAAAAATGTTTTTTTTTTTTAAATAGGCAATTATGAAGTAGGAAGCCTGAAACCTAATAGCCTACTAAACAAATCTCAACAAAGTGTAGGCCTATCCTTATATGAATTAATGAAAAAAGAGCCCCCGAAAATTTCCCTAAAATTTGAAATGGAGCCCCCGAAATGAAAAACTTAATTTTTTGCCTGCGCACCCCCTCTAGAATCCTGCGGATTTCCGCGGGTCCTGAGTTGAGTGTATATATAATATAGGCGTGGGGTCCACGACTCCACGGGTTTCAAGGGGCCATAAACCCCCAAAAGCTCGGGGGTTACGTTTTTCAAAGTTGGGGGGGGGGGGGGGGAGAGATCAGATCGCAGCGAGTTGAGTGTATATATAATATAGGCGTGGGGTCCACGGGTTTCAAGGGGCCATAAACCCCCGAAAGCTCGGGGGTTTTAGGCGTATAGGGTCAGATGAGCATATTTTTAATACTTTATTTGTGACACTTGCGGGTCACTAATTGGCGTGGGGTCAAAACGTAGAGTTGCGTAGTGTTGCGTAACAACTACGCTGGCCTACGTTACTATATGCTGAGGGACGGAAAGGGGTACGCAAGATGAACGAAAACAATTCAACCTGTTTAATTTTTTTCGCCAGCCTACGCATAACCTACGCAGGGACTATTTCCCCATTAATACGCAGCCTAATTTCTGCGTAGTCGGTACGCCACACTACGGAACTCTACGCAGTTCCAGTGGCTTAAAGAATAACTACCGGTACAGTTGGATCGTTTTTTTAATTTTTATATAAGGCCAAATTTAAAAAAAAACATGTTTAGCTTCCTGTTTTTTCGAAAAATGGGAAGGAGGAGGCCCTTTTTTTTTCTTTTTTTTTCTTTCAAAATGGCCGCTCCGTACATTTTTCCTGACATTCAGGCTATTTTTCAAGATGGCGGCCGACAATTTTTTTTTTTCTTTTTTAAAATCAAAATACATTTTAGCAGTGCTTTTCATGTTTTTTTTCTTTCAAAAAAAAAAAAAAAAAAAAAAAAAAGTAGGAGGCGGCCCCCAAAAAGGAAGCAGGCGGGGACGCTGTTTTTTTTTCTTTCAAAAAAAAAAAAAAAAAAAAAAACTTTTCAAAAAATTTCAAAAAAAAAAATAGGAGGCGGCCCCCAAAAAGGAAGCGGGCGGGGACGCTTAACATGTATATTTCTTAATGGCCTGAATGGCAATTAAAGTTCTTGGTGGTTTCAATTTAGACAGTCTCTATATATCTATTTACACCCCCCGCCCCCCTCTAGGATCCCGCGGATTTCCGCGGGTCCTGCTAGTCTATAATAGTAATACGCTAAGGCTCCGCGGGGGGCGCGACGTCTCGGCGAGCCTTTGTATTCTATTGTTTTTTAATGAGATCGCCGACCCAAGTTGGTGCGGCTATCTCCTCCTGAACCCTCCCCTCGGGGTACCCGTGCCCGGTGCCATCGTCCGCGGGAGAGTCTACTCTAGCGAATTGGCTATACTCCGCCCGAGGTCCTCCTCCGTGTCGACGTCCAGGGCGAAAACAGACGCGACATGCATAATGCAGGATATGCGTGACGACAGAGATACCTCATGGATATGCAACATGACATCCGTAGACACACTACCGATGACCATCCACTCACATTAAGTTGCGTATTAAATGCTCTATGCAAAGGGCGGGATTACCGAGAGTAGAGCGTCTTGCTATATAGGATGTGCTTTGTAGTAGCTAGGCCTAGGATGTGCTTTGCATGTAGTAGCTGCACAATTATACACGGGGCTTCCCGTCGACGTCCAAACTTAGAGACCTATTTCCATCATGATTGCCGCGATTTTTATATAGTTTTCGTGAATGGAGGTATGAAATCAAAGCTTATTTTGTGATTATGACGGTTAATGTATACTACATTTTTGATTATCATTTTCTAAAGGAAAGTTTTCACAAGAAAACCATTGGACTGACAGTTCATGTCGCAAGCTGCCTTCAGTCCTCACACATACAGTACTCACAGTGCAGTGTAACACCGGCACCGCGCACTGCAGGCGTCCGAAGCCTGCGGCGTCGGTGTTCGAGCTTTTTGTTACGCTGGAGTGTGTGTGAGTTAAGCTGAGCTGAGCTCGAGTCGAAGAGATTTGACACTTTGAAATTGTTATCTGTTGGTTTGCATCATTATTGCCGCGATTTCAATATAGTTTCGTGAATAGATTTACGAAACCTGAGCTTAGAATTAGTAAAAGTATTACTAGACTCTAATGTCTACGTTTTTAAAAGACTGTTTGATTTTCCTGTGAAAATTTTACTTTGAAAAATGATTATCGAAATTCATGGTCAGAAATAATCACAATCTAGGGTCTATTAATTATGTTACAGTTTTTGCATCAAATCAATGCATGAAAACTTAGTTATTGAACTAGAAAATTTTTTTTTTTTTTAAATAGGCAATTATGAAGTATTAAGCCTGAAACCTTAGCCTACTAAACAAATCTCAACAAAGTGTAGGCCTATCCTTTTATGAATTAATGAAAAAGTAGCCCCAGAAAAAAGAGCCCCCGAAAGTTGAAAAAGTAGCCCCCGAAAATTTCCCAAAAATTGGAAATGATCGAGCCCCCGAAATGAAAAAACTTAATTTTTTGCCTGCGCCCCCCCCCCCCCCTCTAGAATCCCGCGGATTTCCGCGGGTCCTGAGTTGAGCGTATATATAATATAGGCGTGGGGTCCACGGGTTTCAAGGGGCCATAAACCCCCAAAAGCTCGGGGGGTTACGTTCTTCAAAGTTGGGGGGGGGGGGGGGGGAGAGATCAGATCGCGGCGAGTTGAGTGTATATACAATATAGGCGTGGGATCCACGGGTTTCAAGGGGCCATAAACCCCCGAAAGCTCGGGGGGTTTAGGCGTTTAATTAGGGTCAGATGAGCATATTTTTAATACTTTATTTGTGACACTTGCGGGTCACTAATTGGCGTGGGGTCAATACGTACAGTTGCGTAGTGTTGCGTACCAACTACGCTGGCTTACGTTACTATATGCTGAGGGACGGAAAGAGGTACGCAAGATGAACGAAAACAATTCAACATGTTTAATTTTTTTCGCGTAGTTTCGGCGTAGAAACTTGACGCAGAAAGTACGCCTTTTTACGCAACACTATGCTACATGACTACGCAACAGTACGCTACCCTACGCCAGATCGTCAAAGCAGTAAAAGCTTTCTACACAGTAAGCAACCATAAGCAAACCTGTACTCCAGCCTACGCATAACCTACGCAGGGACTATTTTCCCATTAATACGCAGCCTAATTTCTGCGTAGTCGGTACGCCACACTACGGAACTCTACGCAGTTCCAGTGGCTTAAAGAATAACTACAGGTACAGTTGGATCGTTTTTTTATTTTTATATAAGGCCAAATAAAAAAAAAAAAACATGTTTAGCGTCCTGTTTTTTCGAAAAATGGGAAGGAGGAGGCCCTTTTTTTTCTTTCTTTCTTTCAAAAAGGCTGCTCCGTACATTTTCCCTGACATTCTGGCTATTTTTCAAGATGGCGGCCGACAATTTTTTTTTTTTCTTTTTTAAAATCAGAAATACATTTTAGCAGTGCTTTTCATGTTTTTTTTCTTTCAAAAAATTAAAAAATTAAAATTAAAAAAAAATTAAAAAAATAAATAAAAAATAGGAGGCGGCCCCAAAAAAGGAAGCAGGCGGGGACACTGTTTTTTCTTCTTTCAAAAAATTTAAAAAAAAAAAAATAAATAAATAAACAATTACAAATTTTTTTTTTTTTTTTTAAAAAAAAAAAAAAAAAATAATAAAAAAAAAAAAAAAATAGGAGGCGGCCCCCTAAAAGGAAGCAGGCGGGGACGCTGTTTTTTTTTCTTTCGGAAAAAAAAAAATTCAAAAAAAAAAAAAAAAAAAAAAAATAGGAGGCGGCCCCAAAAAGGAAAAGGGCGGGGACGCTAAACATGTATATTTTTTTAATGGCCTGAATGGCAAATAAAGTTCTTGGTGGTTTTAATTTAGGCAGTCTCTATATATCTATTTACATCCCCCGCCCCCTCTAGAATCCCGCGGATTTCCGCGGGTCCTGCTAGTATATATATATATATATATCGAAATCAACATTTTAACTCCTCCCCCCCCCCCCCCCCCCCCCCCGAAAAAGAAGTGTTATAAACTTGGGGGAAAGCCTACCTGTTTAGTAATTTGACAACATTTAATACTTCATTCTTATGCTTTGCCTTTCCACGTGAACAATGAATGTAAATATTCGTCATGAACTCAAGGATATGTTCTCTTTTATCTATAGTTGACTGTTCTGGTAGCAACCCCTGTCTCAACGGAGGTACATGTGAGAGCGATGCATGTACATGTGCTCCGGGATATACAGGAGCTTTTTGCGGAAACACGAGTAAGATCTTTTAAGCATTTGCTGGTCCTGCTTAGAATACATTTACCCTAGTTTAAAGATACTATGTCCCTTTTGCAGCCAACATCGAATTCCGTAGAACTTTGCAGGAATTATGAATATGTCATGTATGTCCTATCTGTGAAATTTAAACGTTAGCAGTGTCCTAATATTCAAACTATGCAAGGAAACCTGTTTACTTGCTAGCCTTCACTGTCAGACATTATTGAGTGACTGACTGTTTTTTTCATCTTTGGTAATATTCTAATAACATACTTAAAATGAGCTGTAAAGGGTACATGAGCATTTGTCTACATCAATAACCCACTTTTTTTAATGGCCAAAATTAAACTCTGATTGAATCTTTGCGCAGCATAAAACATACGACCATTCGGTACAATGGTCTGAAAAATCAGACTATTACTTACTGGCTCTATAGCTCCTAAGTCGATTTGAAAACTAATAGTCGTTACTTTCCCACTTAAAGACATTTTCAAACCCCATTCTTTTAGGGAAGTTCTAAATTATTATTGTCTTTCAAATGCTGTTGGAACTTAACCTTTTCATTTTTGTGGCCTGCAAATGGGACATAGTACCTTTAATATATGTTCGTATTAAAGTGTTGCAAAAAGAAATTGTCAATAATCTGTGGTCACTAAAGAAAACTTGTTGCATATTTTAGGCCGGAATCGAGCAGTACCTTGCAGCTAGGGTCTTAGTAATTCACGCAGATAATTAGGTTAAATAAACCTTTCTTAATTTAAGTTAATCTTGGAAATGTCTGACCAGTGGTTGTTTACTTTGCTTCCCATTCATCCTTTCCTTTCATCTTTTATGGACATCGGGCTTACTTTTCAGGGGTAATCACAAGAACTGACTCACTACGAATGTGACGTTTGACCGGTATTTTTAATACTTTACATTGTCCACTCTGAAAATCTTTACCGAGAAGTTTTCTTCTTCCTTCCAATGAAAGTTATTATTGTTTTGGCGTGGAATATCCCTTCAGATGACATTTGTTACAAGCCATATACAAAATCATATTATTTGTGATTATATGCCATAATCTGCATACTAATAAAGAATAAAATAAATGTATATGGCATTATAGACATATGTGAAAAAACGTGATAATCATAAACCTGAAAACAAACATATTACATCATCTCTCTGTGATGTAAGGCGGTTACAATAATACAAATGCCTTTGCGTAGCACACAATTAGTCTCATTGCATGATACATACAAATACCCAAAGCCATCTCTTGACACATAATCTATTTAGTGTTTTTATAACCGATCCTATTGCTATCATTCCTGCCCCGCTTAAAAACGAGGTAAAGTAGGTCATTGTATTCGTTATATACGATTTTTTTTTACCAAGCGTGACTGTTTTCACATTTTTTTTCTCCACTTTGTAGTTAACTGTTCTGGTAGCAACCCATGTCAGAACGGAGGTAACTGTGACAGCAATGCATGTACATGTGCTCCGGGATTTACTGGATCTTTGTGTGAAAGAGGTATGCAAATAGATCATTATAATGTGTATATTCAATAGTATCTTGTCTAAAAGAGTAGGATCTTCATTTTAATAAAATATACTAAATTTTCTGATAATCTCCTGTCGTGGATCTTTTAATACAGGAAAAGGATCAGGTAGTCGTAAACTTGGAGTGCTCTTGATGATAATGAGCTAACAGGTAATGAGAAAAAAAGAAGAATCCACAAGCGAACCCGGAGGCCAGTGTGTAAGGTTTGTCGGATATGGGAAGGGGTGATTACGAATTGATTTTAGGCTGTGTTTACATCAATCTTAACACCCGGTAGAATAGGTGATATCGACATGAGATTGCATATAATGACCTAGACCTAAATGTTAAATACCTCGGGCCCTAACGTCTCTCTACTTCTTATCAATAAGATTCTTACAGCCGGCTGAATAGTAATTGGAAATAAAATACGTGATTATATAATTGACAAAATTATTTCCCGTTCATTGTCTGTCTAACGAATATATTTCTGCAGGTGGAAAATGCATGTATATTGTAACATACGTTAAGTACTATCAGGATTTAACGTATTCGTCAATCAATGTTTTGGTTTAAAGGAAATCAATTGTCAATTGTTAAATTAATGATAAAGATATTAATGCCATGACATGCTCATATCGTGACTTTAACCACTTAATACATTTGGAGATAATCATTTTAATCCCCCCCCCCCCCAGAAACAAAATTTCCATAAAGTAGGGGAAAGTCTATCTACTTTCTAACTTAAGAACCTTTTGTACACCGATTTTAAATTCCAAGCTTTCGGAACGGTTCCATCGGGAATGGTGATTGTAAAGATTTATCATGAATTTAAGGATATTTTCTCCCCTCTGTGCAGTTCACTGTTCTGGGAGTAACCCATGTCAGAACGGAGGTACATGTGAGAACAATGCATGTACATGTGTTGATGGATCTTATGGAGCTTTGTGTAGTACAGGGATGGAAATATATCTTAACATACGTGAACTGCTATCCGGATCCATCGTTTTCGTCAAAGAATGTTTTGGTGTAAAAGAAATTAATCGTTAAAGAACCTTTGGGAAAAACGAACTGTTTGAAAATATAATTATGCCGGGTTTTTTTCGCCGCGACTAACATTAAGAGCTCCCAAGATGTTGTTAATGGTTGAATCTTTGCATCTTTCCTTCTTTGAACTAACCCCTTCATCTCTTAAAAGTAAATTAATCATTATAATATGTCTAGACAATGGTGCCCAGGAAACTGAGGAATAAAATTGCAAACATTCATTCGTTAGTTCTATGCTACTACAATTTTACTAAAACTAATTTTTGACAGGTATCGCTGATCTTTGCACCCAACGAAACCCGTGCGTCAATGGTGACTGCCGTCCCATTGGGCAAGGACAGTACGCGTGTGAATGCCAAGATCATTATGAGGGGATCCATTGTGATGAACCAACTCGTAAGTCATTTGGTTAGATTTACTTATATCTATCTTAATCCATGATTCACATCGTTTCGTAAGACGGGTGAATAGGAACTACAATTTGGAAATTGATTTGACTCAACGTTTTACCCCTAGAAATGATTAAACACTTTTTTTATTTCTGAATAAATTCAATATCTTTTCATCATCTCTGGATATGAACGAAAATGTCATAATACTTTTCGTTTGTTCTAGGAGGAGGTGTCACTATGCATCCAGGTGTAGAAAATAGATACATGATAAGAATTTGTTACTTAAAGGCCTTATAGCAAATATAGGGCTCATAATACTATTTTGTTGGTGCATTGAGCATCCCCCGGGTATTTGCGTATATATAAATGTAGCTGTTATTAATCATTATTATTATTAGTAGTAGTAGTAGTAGTGTAATGGGTAATAGTAGTAGTAGTAGTAGTAGTAGTAGTAGCAGTAGTAGTAGTAGTAGTAGTAGTAGTAGTAGTATTAGTAGTAGTAGTAGTAGTAGAAGTAGTAGTAGTAGTAGTAATAGCAGTAGAAGGATAATAGTATTTTCATATTTATATCATCATATTTATAGTCATTGTTATTATTATTGATGTTGTAAATATTACTATTGTCATTATTACTTTTGTTATTATTACTATTTTTATTATTACTATTATTATTATTACTACTAATACTATGGGTGTCATCATCATCCTTATTGCTAATGAAATTATCTCATTCGCGATCGTATGTTCTAATCTCTACCTGGAATACAGTTCCTTTGGAGGTTTCTGTCCATCCGTCAAGCCAGATAGTCAACATCAATGCCAACGTGGAGCTGATATGTACTTTCAACTATGCCAAGCGTTACCACTGGTACAGAGATGATGTCCTTTTGCCCAACAGTGAAAATCAGAATCCTTTGATAATCCTGTCTGTCGCGCCCAGTGACATCGGGTATTACTTTTGCCGAGGCTCGGGGAGAAATGGAGAAACATTAGACACGATGGCAGCATCTGTATATGTCAAAGGTAAAAAACTTTGTATGAGGCCAACAACAAAATAAACAAAAGTAGGGTTGTGTCTAGCCTTTAATCAAGGAAACCTGTGTACTCTAGCCAGCTTTTATGTCTGCCCTCGAAACGCGTGAAACACCCTTGTGATTGCGAACAGATTCATAGTATACGGGCAGCATGGACCTCGCAGGTTTATGTTTAAACGACTGCAATATCCTCCGTATTACACCAAAGTAGTATAGGCCTGACTTAACTTTGCAAATAATCATCAGGTATTTCACTGACGAAGCTCCCCCTCATTTTCTTCTCTTCTTCAGGCCGGTGGGGGTGCCCCCTATGCCCTCCCCTCAATCTGCCATTGATTGTTGTTATGTATGTTTGTATTTTCAGATCTGACCAATATAAAAGTTTTGAATGCTAGATTTGCCATTCCATTCGGCAATGAGCTTTATGACAAAACTTCTAAACTCTATAGAGAAACGGCGTTCAACATCAGCTCCTATGTAAGTATATCCTAAAATTAATAGGCCTAGGTTCATATCTCAAAGGCCTATTTCGTTGTTGAGATATTCTGCAAGGCAAGGCCAAATATAGTTTTGGGTTAAAAATATACAGTTTAATTCTAGAATGCACGTACATTGCTAAACAAGTTTCCTAACAGCAATTGGTAAATTCTAATAGCATGCACGTGCACGCAGCATGAACATTTTCAGCTTTTCTCATCATTGTCTCACCTGTCGAAGGTAGAGACTAGACGATCGGATCCAGAAGGCGTTCAGAGCACTTTTATTTCATCTATTGCATGCATTCTGTGCATTCTCGAGATTAAATTTTTAACGCCAGTTTTTAAAATTTACATATCAGTTTTGTTATTCCTATTGTTATTATTATTATTATTATTATTGTTGAATTTTCTTTGTATCCTAGTGTTGTTTGTATATGTCACTCGCCAGTGGAGGACGAATTTCTGTATTTTTTAAAATCAGACAATAAATTATCTTGAATCTTGAATCTTGAATCTTAAAATTCTTACTCCGTCGCCTGTGACAAATGTTAAAGTTTACCTGCAAAGTAGACTCTCTTGTGACAAAAAACTGGGCAACCATTAATGCTTTTGTGAACAAACTTGACTAAGAGATGCATTAGGGGTCCTTCACATTATGGTGCTGTCGAGGGTCACAGTCTAATGTAAGGTCAAGGCTTATTATGTTCGCTCTCTTGTGACAAATAACTTTGTAACTGATTATTCTATTGTGACCATACTTGCTTCATATAATTTTCGGTTAAGCCGTTAGTTTTTCACCCACTATAGACAAGCCTCATGCATGACTAGAAACTTTGAAAAAATTGTTCGTAGGTGCAACCATACTTGAGTCAGTGATGATCTTGGTCAGAGAATACGCGAGACACATCTGGCTTTTGCCTTGTATGTCGAATTTGAGGAGTTTAAAACTATTAGAACCAGTATTTTCAGGGGACAGTTTTTTCTATGACATTCTTGCAACATATCGAGACTGAGGCAACAGAATGAGTAAGCTCACGAATTCTTTCACCCTTACCAATGCTTAACCTTCTCTTTAATAATTGAAAAAACTTCATAATACACTTATATCCGAGCGAATCCAGCCCCAACATTCGAAAGGCCATCCCAGTTCTTCCACAACACCAGGACATACTGATGGTACATATACTGTCACTCAGTTCTTCAATTTTATTCAAAATGCAGTTCTACCACATAACAAGTATACACTTATGAATAAAGTATAGACAAAATATTACAAACGAAAGGAAACAGGAAAATATCAAAAACATTTTACCTTTTCTGTTTGTTGTTTCGTACTTGTGAAAAGGTGGAGCAAGGCCTCCAAACCCGTACTGGGTTAGAGAGCGTATCGGTAGTATGCAGAGCCCTAAAACCAGGAAGCGTCAAAGCTGACATGAATATCTACATCGAGCAGACCAATATGACGGCACTGAAGACACAAGATCTTATCGGTCTATCTCTTGAGAGTCTAGCCAATGAATCGAATGGTTTTCTCGATTCCAACACCATTTCAGTTCAAGATAACGGTACTGGGTTCATTCATATATACACGTAGTTCTGAAAGTTAATGTATATATTCAGCAATGTTTATAAGGACGTGGCCGGGTATCCATATACAGTTGAGGGGGTATGGTACGCAAGAAACAAGGGGTCATAACCTTTTCCCCGCCTTTGTGAGATTACCCATTGAAACATTTATTTTACATTGAACTTCGAAAGGGAGGGGTAGGCTATGCTGGATACGGCACTAAATTGGACGTGTGACATTGTTACGTTAAGTAATTCGAAACGCAAGAGGTGTTACACACAAAAACACACACGTACGCACACACACACACACACACACACATACATATATATATATATATATATATATATATATATATATATATATTTATATACACACACACATGTGTGCGCGTGTGTGTGCGTGCGTCACATTGTGGCCGTTCAATTTATAAAATTCTCCTCAATGATCATTCTTGATTATAGTTATAGATTATATCAAATTCTTTGCATTGTACGGAAGCTTCAACGCGCAGAGAAAATGCGACTCGTTTAACTTGCCAAAGATCCATGTTTAAGACGAAAATGCAAGAAGGCGACTAGATAAAACTAGCAAAGGCGCCTTGTTTAAATCGAGAAGGCGACAATTAGACAAGTCTCGCCTTCTCAGCTTAAACAGGGCGGTTTTCGAGTTGTAAAGACACGCCCTCTCGCTTTTGCAACATTAACACGGCGCCTTGACGAGTTTTGAGAACTCGCCTTCTCACCTTCCCAAGTTAAACAAGTCGCATTCTTGCTGCACGTTTACGAATCCTTAACATTGGGCACCTCTTAGCAAAAAAAAATGTCTGCACGATTCTCAGCAATCATTTTTATTGTAGATAAACAAACATTGCATTTTATTTCGTTCAAGCCTTTTTACCTTTTAGATGATTTTTTTTATTCGTTCTTTTCGTGCAGCTATTTGCCAGAATATCTCATGGATTTCTCCTCGGTTTGAAAGAGTCGACTTCCCGGTGGGTGAAAACGGAACGTGGGCAAATTCAACAGGAATGTGTCCATTCAACACGACTCAAGGTTTGTTTTGATGGTCATTCATTTATAATTCGAGGAAGTAGACGGGCCATTGGATTGAATAGCACGACTAATTCATATGATAATTTCTCTAAAGGTTTGTTCAGATATTATGTTGCGGCAAACCGCCGCAAAAAATCCGCCACGGGTTCTTTTGTAAAGTGTTAACCCGTTGGCTACTGAATTATCTAATTCCCATAGACTTAACACAGGGACCACCAGGTTCCAGTAAACAATGGGTTAATGAATGACAATTGCGCGCAGCAGATGTTGTGGGCGTCTGCACTTACCTCTGTGTCAAAACATATAGAAATGTGAAGGGTATCACACTTTACGTCATCATGGGAAAAAAAACGCCCTGGTTTTGCTGCGTCATATGTAAACATGCCTTTCGGTATGGGAATTGGTCTTTATTTTCCATATCACAACATTAAAACGAACATCACAAAGAAAATGCATGTACATAGTAAAAAAATCTGGCGCTGCTCAGTGGCTACCGGGCTCACGATCAATAGGGCAAAAATAATTTCCGTTTCGGTTTAATAACATTTGGAGTGGACTATTAGGCTATTAATTATTATTGTTGTTATAGTGAATGGCTGGATAACCCATTCAGCTTTGTTGGTATAACAAAAATGTTCTTCCCTGGGGTCCAAGAATTAAGATAATATCAAATATTATGCAACAATCAATACAACATAAAATAATATAATTTGAATACATAAAACATAAAACATATTAGAGAAGCATAAACATCCCCCATCCCAAGCATATTCCATTACAGATCAGAGCAAAACTGATTTTTTTTTTTTTTTTTAATTTGGATTTTTGCAAAAAGTTTTTTAAGCTGTTGGATAGCTTAATATTCAACGATAGGTCATTTTACGGCAGCATTCGATCTTTGGTTTGGGGAGTTTAATATTTCCTTGTGATCGTAGAGAATATAGATATTTACAGTATTTGTAGGACTCCTCTAAATCAGGAGGAGCCAAATTGTTCAGGATTTATAGGCTATTATATTCAAATGCAATTTACGTCGTGAATGGAGAGATTTCCACCCTAATTTAACATGAAATGTATGTCCCATTTGCAGGCCAAACAAAATGGAAAAGTTAAATTTCAACGGCATTTGAAATATTATACTAATTTAAACTTTCTTCAAAACGAAAGTGCTTGAACATGTCTTTTAGTGGGGAAATAACGACCATTAGTTCCATAGTCATGAATTACTTGAGAAAACTTCGTAGAAACGTACTTCTTAACTTTGTTTATGTCCCCTTCTTTCTTCGTATATGGTAATAATTATTTGCCAGTGTTCGTTTGATATTATATACAAATGTATGTGTATTTTTTTCAAATACCAAACAGCCAAGGAACCCATTGGACGGGCTCTGTGTATCGGCGATGGCATTACTCAGAGCCAGTGGCAACCTGTGGATAATTGCGGACCATTTAGAAATGTCACAGATATTCTCACCGAAATTGCACAGGTTTTTTGAATTTTCTATTCAAATTTTGATAATTGAAAAGAGGCTTTTTAATAACCTTCATAATGTAATGCAATTTTTTTTTAGTATATTGTAGATATCACTGATTATTACAACCTGAAAAAAAGGGATAATTTAATTTAAATAAGACATAAGTATAACATGACCTATCATTGCGTAGATTTCACCCGATTTGGTAAATTATTTTTACTAAGTATCATGAACAATTTTACACAATACAAATTCATGTTTCTTTCTCACTCAACTTTTGTTTATGGAGTGATGCCTTACTTTACATTTGAAATCTATAATAAAATCATGCCTAACAGGTAATGAATAGCCTATGGTCAATCAATTCTACCGGTTGTTTTAATGTCATTTCATTCTCAAATGCATCCGGACGATTTTTATTCAAGGCGGCAACATATCTCTGTCATATTCATTGACAATAAAATAGCAGCACTTACATCAGGCCTTCTTATCTTCATTTGTTAACTCCTGTACGGCATTTGAAACCATAAAATAGCTTGACACGGTATAATGTTACCGAATTATTGCATGTATAAGATGGTGGTCTGATTAAATCAGTTGATAACCGGAGATGATTATAAATGCCAAATTTGTTCGGAAATTATCTACAATCTACCGGTTTATTAGTTGCGAAATTAGATCTTATGGTACACAGTATTTTTTTTTTATAATGAAGATGATATATGGAAAAAGGAGCATACTAATTTTTGTATTGCAATATTGTAAGGGAAACTTGTTCGCTAATGTTATGTTACCTTAAGGCTGGAAAGTCGTATCACTTAACGTGTATACATGCTGTAATGATATTTTCCAATCACATTTTTAGGTAATCGTAGGTGAAGAAAACGCAGATGAAGTGAGCCAGCAAGTATCATCTGTTACTTCCAACATCGAGGATATCACATCAGATGACATCGCGTTTGTGGCAGAGATAACATCAAACATTGTGCAGCAAAATCTTACTAGTGAAGAGGTATTCTGCACGATGCCGGACCAATCCAATTGATCACGAAATTGTGATTATTGATGAATTTTATTATTTTCCGATAATTGTCTAATTGGGGAACAAAATAGGAGTCTTCCCTCCGATACATGTATAAAATTGTCATAGATGTGAAAGAGGTAAATCGTATAATCGGTTTTAACAATATTGGACGCATTGAAGCTAAACTACTGTGAATGAAGAATTTACTAGAGCCTTACCTATTATCATGCTCTTTGGGAAAATCTTTGTACAATATTTTATTGGTTCTATGAAAGATTTAGGTATATCACTGTCTTTTCAAAGCTTTTTGACCCCTTGCCGGCGCTTCTTCCAGAAGTTGTTTAACAGCTTTAAAATAACAGCTGTCACGTTATTTAATACCCTATCGTCATTCATTTTGATTTCCGAGATTTAGCAACTTTCTTCTACTATATTTTAAAGCATTTTCATATATTGTGTTTGAATTGACAGGTAACAGAGTCTTTAACGAGTATTGCGAGCAATATAGCTCAAGTAGAAACAGAGGAACTTAATGCCGCAGAGGAAGAAGATGGGTCAATAAGTAAGTTTGTCCAGGCTTTTGAGGAACAAATCAGTCGTGTCGAGGTTGTCGATGGTGGGATGCTCAATATTCAGCAGCCGAATGTAGCCGTACAGGTGATTTTAGATTTATATCATAGGCTATGACAAAATAATTGGATTTCAACAAGTATACTAAAATATAGAATTTCATGTCCAAGTTAATTTATTGTTTGCATGGATATTCAAAATAAAAGAATTTAAAAAAGTGACACTGTCATTCATCCATTGAGGTGTCATCAAATCTGGTGTCCAACAAGGCACGACACTTCCACCATTTTTCTTTATACTTTACTTACCTACTTTACTTTAATCCATCGATGTTGGTAGGACAGAGCCTGTTCATCGATCGATTGAATTCCTGTGCATCAATACTTCTGTTTGTTGTGGTTTCGTGTCGAGGTGTGTGTGGAGGGTGGAATAGTTCTGCATTCTTCTATTTACTTTCAAAGACATATACTGAAGGTGATTTCTTCCAATGTAGTTTTAAAAATATCTACCAAACATCATCATCATTTTTGCATTTATGTGTGCGGGAAACATCACATTTGAATTCGGGGGATGCCTTCCTTGAATGTCTGCGCATGGTGCTAATCGCGTCGTTTTAAATTATCATCATCAATAACGATGATAATAATAATAAGTATGAAACTTGTGATAATGATAACAATAGTGATAATAATAATTATCATTATAATAATAATACTAATAATGATGATAATAATGATAAAAATGAAAATAATGGAAATAATTTGTAATAATATTGATAACATTAATAGTAATTGAATTATTGATGATAGTGATGACAATAATACAAATAATATTATTGATGATGATGATGATGAAAATATAATTTTTTTTAATGGCGCCAAAGCCACTGAAATTAAATACTCAAGGTGCATAAGTGCGAAGGAGAAATCACATAATTGCGTCTGCGTTTGATACAAAAAACTACAGAAGATCAAATAAAAGTGAACAATCAATTATATTCCGATCCAAATAGAATCGATTTTAGACTATTAAAAAAAAAAACCTCAACTGATCTGCTTTTACGAATTTGTCAAGGGAAAACATGCATGAGCAAACGTCCCCTCTCCCACTTCCTTTTTTCAGATGATGATATTATTGATAATAATAATAACAAACTTAAATATTTATATTGATATCATTGTTTAAAAAAAATAAAAATATCGACAATAATGATAATGATAATCACGATCATGATCATGCTAATAACAATAAAAATGATAATCATATAAGTGCTTATTCACATAACAGGTTCAGAGTGTACTTGCTGACAACATAATGAGCGGTCTCGTGCTTTCGCTAGCTGGATCCAGTTTTTCAGACCTGACCAAGTCCAATATCACAATTAGAGCTCCGACCCAAGATGACCACGATGACGTCATTGCTACCAGACCAGACATCATCGCTCAGATCAACATTCCATCTTCAGTTTCATCCTTCATTTCGTCCACGGCCCCACTCTCAGGATCGCCGTCGAATGTCGGTGGTGAATACGTCCGGGTCAACTTCAATGTATTTTCAAGTCCAGCACTGTTCATTTCTAAATCATTGCGCACGATCAGTGCAAATAATGAGGACTTCAATCGATCAGCTAACTCTCCCGTGATTTCTCTCAGTATTGGTCAAGGGAAAGTATCAGCCTTGTCCGAAAACATCAACTTTACCTTCACTACATTAATGGTAAGACCTATACCTGTTCAATAAAATGGCAGAATAACGTGTCTTCATATAGTAAACGTATTTGCAATCTGCCTTAAGCAATATTTATAGATAATTAAATTTGTAGACAAACGTAATAGTTATATAGGTTAAAATTAAAAAATTATATGTATTTCAATCTATTTTATTTTTTTAGCTCCTGTGTTTGCTTCTCCCCAATATGAATGGGCTTTTAAACTGAACCAATCAAAATTATCATTCATCCTTCTTTCATGCTTTTGTTGATAACTTTGAGTATGGTTCTATGCATATCTTACTGTTTTATTTTTATTGTGTAGTCTGGATACGTGAATCCCATGTGTTCATTCTGGGATGAGGAGGAGGAGGATTGGTCCCAAGATGGGTGTGTTCTTGTTTCTGGATTCACATCATCAGATGGGCGCTATGACGAGGAGCGCGTGCGCTGTGCGTGTGATCATCTCACCAACTTCGCCGTTATAATGGTCAGTGAAAAGCAATTAGGCATTATTATATCCATTATCACCATGCAGTCAATTATTCCCCGGAAAAATATAACCAGACTAACTAAACTCAGTTGGTTACTAGAGCTATAGCGTGATAATCCTCTTGATGACACAAGGGTATAGTTGGTCCTACGGATTAAATAGTATGGTCTATGTACTAACGGTCAATTATTCGACCTCTTCCCCTTTTACAGTTCCTCTTCACTTCCGAAGAACGAATGTAGAGCTGGGGGGTGTTTCACAAAGATCCTAAGTAGAACTTAACACTAAGTTGGACTTAAAAAGTATGGACAGCCATTGGAGCCTTAAAATGAAATATATTCATAAGCAAAAAATTGGAGTATTTTAGACTTTTCATCAATTCCACATCAAGATCATGAAATCTCCCATGATAATAGAAAATATGAATGATTTGAATCAACATTTTATGCCTTCTAAAAAAAATTACAAAATATTTTCAAGGATGCTAATGGCTTCCCATAAAGTTTAAGTCCAACTTAGAGATAAGTTCAACTTAGGATCTTTGTGAAACACCCCCCTGGTCTTCAATTGAATATCAATGATATTTTCACTCTTGAGATCAAATAAATTTTGAAGGTGTGGTGTCTTGTGTGAAAGGTAACTACAGTTATATTTTTTCTTTTTTTCCATCAGCAATATGAGGTTCCACCACTTTATATTATAATAAACCTCCAATTTCTCATTTTTCAATTAACGAAAAATAGACTTTATGAGATCTGATGGTCAAATCAAATAATCAGTTTTATTTCAGCATTCGAAGAAGATGTTTCAGTTTGGGCTCAAATTTCTTTCATGTTACAGGATATCCACAAACAGGAGGATTTATCAATCAAGGCATACAACATCCTGACTTACATTGGATGCTGTATTTCTATCTTCAGTCTTCTTGTCACATTGGCAACCTACCTGTGGAATAAGTGAGCCCATTGAGAAAAAATATGCAATCAGTAATGTAATACAGAGAAGACAGAATATGTAATTATTCTCTGGACGTTTTATCTTCGATTTTATTTGGTAGCTTTTGAACGAAAAATAGTTACATAAACTATGAAAGAGATACATTTTTATAATTCATTAAATAATCTTGCAAATTCAAATACCCGCTTTTGTATAAAAGTATCTCTGAATCAAATTATTGTGAAATACGTATAAATCTGCAGCACAGTTCTGTACGGTATCATTTTTGTTTGAACTAGCAGTGCTTTTAAGAATTACTATTAATAATGTACAGTTCATTTTAGAATGGAGAAGAGGAGAGAGGGAGGAGGAGGAGGAGGAGAAGAAGAACAAGAAGTAGAAGAAGAAGAAGAAGAGAAAATGCCATTATGATTAGTTGCTTGGTGATAAAGGGGGTGTGTGACTATGGTCATAAATAGATTACAATATTAATTATTTTATAACATATCAATATTGAGCATCGATATTCTATCAACTTCGTAGATCAATTCCTCTGCCTTATGGTGTGCGGTTAGTATAGAATAGGAAGAATATTCATTTCGAACATCTTTGGCTTACATGTATTTCCTATTTGACATCGTTCTGAAAAATCTGAGATTAATTTTATTTAACATGCGTGGCTATTCTATTCAGTAGTAGAAGAGATACATGTATATAAATAATAATCTTTTTTTAAAGTCCACTCCAAATTTTATTAAACCCAAAATGGAAATTCTTTTTGCCCAATTGATCGTGAGCCCGGCAGCCACTGAGCAGCGCCAGATCGACGTTGCTCTATCCCCTTATTGTTGAACGCCAAACGAGGTAGCAGCAACTCCCGTATTTTAACGTATTTTGGTATGACGCGGCCGGGGTTCGAACCCACGACCTCCCGGTTGTGAGGCGGACGCTCTACTGACTGAACCAACACACCGGTTAAATGAAACACAACCACGTAATCTCCTTCATTTTACAAACATTTCCTCCCTAATGTCACCTTGTTTTTCATGTTGTTTGACGTTTCTATTTTCTGTGTTGTCAATCAAGTGATGGTAAACCTCTATGTTAAAATATTGCTTTGACGCTCTCCTAACCTTATGTTAATGTTGCAATGTTGATAGGGATTTGAGGACCAAACAGACTGACCAGATCTTCATCTGTCTGTGCCTGACCTTGCTGTGTCTCTACACGACATTTGTCATCATGATCTCTCTGGATTCTACCAGAGAATATCGTGAGGTCAAATCTGGGCCATGTGGGCTCCTGACGGCCCTTGTTCACTTCTTCGTTTTGTCCTCCATTGCCTGGATGGGTGTAGAGGGGTACAATATCTATCTCATCATTGTGAAGATCTTTAACACCTACATCCAGAATTTTATGATCAAGGCTTCCTTAGCTGCATGGGGTAAGATATTTTTTTTCTTCAGGGAATCACGCCTTAATAACTATTAACATGTAGTGCCTGTATGTGTTTACAAATAGATAGAATGTCTCTATATCAGAAACCTTCGACAGACTTGTTTGAACGCCAGGAGTGTCAAGTCTGACAGACATGAGCGCTATACAAGAACCCACTATTATTATTATTATATTATTATTATTATTATGTAGGTACTGCCAGTATCCATACAAAAATGAGTTTGGGAAGGTGTGACAACCTGCTTTGCTCCTATCAACTCACACCAATAACATAAATGATGAATGGGCGATCAAACGTTATTACTAGTATTTATATAAAAACTTGTGAGCTGGAGAGCAAAACGATAACATGATAAGGCCTATCAGAGAAACGGGGAAACGAATGAGCTAGGCCAATGTCCAATTAACGTAGGCGTATTATGAATGACTAAAACATTGTATTTCTTTATACTCTAATGTCATCATTTTAGGAATTCCTGCACTTATCGTGGTTCTTACCGGAGCTATTGCTAGAGGCTCTTACGCCCATGATGATCTGTAAGTGGTAACGCTTGAAAGTTTAGCTGGAATATTGTATTACATATAGCATAGGATATATCTTCAAATCTCGGATTCAGCCAAATCACGTTTCTGTACTATAATCTAGTGTACAGCTATATTTTTAACAGAACATTTTACTGTGGAATTTATGAAAGCATCTTATCTTTCCATCTGTCTATTTGTATCCATCTATCATCATTTGACTCTCTCCATCAAATTCAATCACCATCACCATTCCCTTTACCTGCTCTCATGCTATACGTTCACCTTCCCCATTTTTAGTCTCTTTTGTTCCTCCTCCTTTCATGTTCATCCCATGGTTCAGTAAATCTGTTCTGTCCAGTATGATTGGTTAAGCCTTCATTCCATATTCATAGCAGCTTATTTATATGCACAGAAATCTATGTATATTCATGCTGTACCTCCTTTTATTTACAAGCTCTGTTATTTGAATATTTATTATTTACAGTAATTTGTCATAGAAATGTACATGTAAATAGATATATGCAAAATAAACCCTTGAGGTTGCAAGTATGCATAATCCCAGGCAGTTCCCCACAGGCAAGCATGGAGTGAAGATGTGTTTCTTGTTCCCTGTAAGTTATTTTTTCACTAGTTTTTAGGCATTTGGTATTTTGGTATCTCATGAGTTAGCAAGTATACAATTATTATCTGGAATTGGTATTTAGGTATCACTTTCGTAGGTATGTGTTGTGATCCAAGCTCTATAACGGCCACCAAGTGAATACAGTCCCCTCTTATAGTGAAATAACAGATGTTGTTAATAACTTATGGGACAAAATAGCTTGTACCTGCCAAGATAAATAAAAGAAAATCATTTACAATGACAATTTCTGAGTTAAAATGTTTCAAGGACCACGGACATTTTGTTTAAATATCGTTAAGATAGTTAGTACTGATTGGACTGATTGACTCAATTCGGTCACTTTACAAAATGCATATGTACTATCAATAGATGCTTTCTTCAATTCTGGGCTCAAATCGGTGGTCTCCTGATTCCCATGTCCATCATTCTCCTCATCAACATTGTCATCTTCATCTTGGTGGTTCGACAATTGCTCTGGTCAGCCAACATCGCTGGTCGGGTGAAAGGAGAGGCTAAGGCAGAACGTCGAGAGACTATCGAACGCGTCCAGAACGCGATCTGCATCTTGCTCCTGCTCGGTCTGACCTGGGTCACCGGATATCTTCTTTTGATCCCGTTATTTAGTCAGGTAAAGCCAACTAGCTTTAAGTGTAACTCCTGTGTGGTGTCTATCTCTTCTAAGAAATATCTTGAGAACTCATTTTTGATAATTAAATACACCAGCAATATCTTTTTACATGTTTAGTATCTGAAGTACATGATAGAGAATACCACACTAATGATTAATTCTTAACATTTGCGTTTAACAGGTGGCTAAGCCAATCTTCGTCGTTCTGAACTCCTTCCAAGGATTTTTTATCCTTCTACTCTACTGCGTCCGGAAGCCTCACATCCGTAAGAAATGGGGGCTAACTTGTTTCGACAAGTTCCTAAAGAAAGAAGCAAGCAATTCCAGTGGTGGGGTAAGCTCGACGACGCCATCCTCGTCAGCTGGCATGATTAGCAATTTGCGCCCAGGAGCCTCGGACAATTACTTGTTGCCTACCAAAGACGATAATCCCGATCCTATATGTATGTTCAATCCGACCTATGATAACAGCCAGTTTCAGGAAGGGGTCACACCATCTATGAACAAAGATCTCCAAAATTCCATCGAAGAACAGAAGAATGACACGGATCGTAATGCAACAGGCACTGATGTCGTGACGGTAAGTCTTCCTCTTGATGCATCTGTCACAAATGCCACCAAGAGAGGTGATAATATTTCCTCCACCACGGATGCTGACACGGTCAGTGTTACTCTGGGTTCAATTGATGTCAGGAATGCTACTGAGGGTACCGATGATGTTGCTTCCAACAACAACGATGCTGCCGCCAGTTTCCCTAAGGATGCAGAGGATGGCACCAAACACAATGAGAGGAGTAATGATGTTGCTTTATAAGTGATGCCTTCGTCAATCTTCCAATGGGTTCAATGGATGTCAGCAAAGAAAATTAGAGCATTGTCATAGATGCTAGTGGCACCACCGATTTTATAACGGCCAATGGCACACTTGAGGTATTGACTGTAGCAATGTATTCATTTTTACTTGATTGAAAAAAAAATGTAAACGGATTTTTATTTACTGTTTTAAAAGCCACAAGAACTGAGGACATGATGATATAGTGACATACTAGGCAGTAGAGGGGTCGGCTGGGTGACGGCTGACCCCCCCCCCCCCATCACCCCCTCCTATGGTATTTGCAATTACTAATAGTAGAGCACCACATATTTGGGCAACCAGATGAATCGTATTTGTTTTCATCTTTACTATATTTCAATGACGAAATTACATCTGTATATATGTATATGTACCTTATCGAAGTATTCATAGTCAGATGATTTTCTTAAAATGATATTTTGTGGTGTTTTACTCAGAAAAGAGGTTTTCTCATCTAAAAAAAAAGGATAACGATGATGATGACGATACAATAATATTTTTTCTCAATACATTTTAGTCATTTCTTTAGACATGACAAGATATTTATATATGGTATGGTATCTATTTTAAATTCTTCATAAATAATGGGAGACGTGCGTATAGCTTAATGCAAAGTTCCCCATTGCTGTCCTCTTTTTAAAATTTATTTGCGATGGTTGAACAAATTGTCTTCGCCGGGAATCGAACCGTGTCACTAGCTGAGAACGCCTATGCATTAACCACTAGACCACATAGACGGGCCTGTGGCTTCGGCGACACGAAAATCAATTGAACGACAGAATTGGCAAATCTCCTGGAAAATATATATCCATGTATATACTCCTGCGTCGGATGACGAAAAATAGAGAAGTGAAGAAGAAATAATGGAAAAATAGGAGGGGATACAATTGACAGATACATGCAGTTCTTGAAGTTACCTTGTTTTGCCATGATTATACTGTCTATATTGTTTCATGCGCTTCTTAATTTAAAGTGTTTTTAGTCGAAATTAATATCACAAATTTTTACTCAGAAAAATGTACTTTATTCTATATTAATCTGCTTGTATTCGTTACCGATTTTGTTAAAGCATTAACTTCACTTTTCAGGGTGTCCCTGAAAAAAGAGACACAAGTCTATCGTTCAATTATTCAAAAAATAAGCAAAAAAATGATTTTCCTTCAAATATCGATCAAGGTTAATTGTCTCTAAAGCCCTATACATTTTAACTCACACGAATTGATGAAGAAATCTTATGGAATGAAAGTGACAGGAATTTACACACAGAAATACACATGTAAGGCAAAAATATAAAGGTGCAAATGTACGCAGACAAATTTATATAAGACGAAAGTAATAGTCACAGGAGAAATATCTTTTAAATCAACTGTGTGAAAGGTAGGTATTTAGGCTAGCATTTAAATGAAGAAAAAAATGAAGATGAAAATATCAGGCCTTATATGATGAGTTTCGATAATTCCCGAATCATTTTTCTTTTCGAAACAACTATCATCGACCCGTCAGACATCATTGTTCAGTCATATGTGATGAAATGAACATACTCTTGTTGTCAATATTATGATAGAAGGGGAAATGAGCTTTGCAGCGATGTATACATTAATGATAGAAATAATTGGGGGTATTATGGAGTAATTTATGAATATAAACCTGGGTTTCTTTTATCACAGACACCCTGTTTTGTAGCTCGTTTCATGCTGGAGTGCTTAGTAAATTTCTGATACTGCTGATAAATAGCATGAAAAATCAGAACATTACTGTTACTATCATTTGTATCATCGTGTGAACCTATAATTGTATAAAAGCAAGCTTAGTAATAAAGTAATTGGTGGAGTGGAAAGTTGGTATTCACTTTGTTTTTATTAATCGTTTTGAATCAATTATTTCATATTCATATTTCCATTGCGATTTAAAAACGTATACAATCTTAATTATTCTTTACAAAGCTGCCAAAGCTAGCAAATAATGAAATAACAAGAGAGCCAAAAATCCACGAGATTAATAGCATAATCTAAAACAATTAACAACACAAGCCCCAATTAAAAATGTAGGATCACTAAATTATTTCATGCATTTCGTAAAAAAGGTACTACGTCCGATTTGCAGCCCCAAAAATGAAAAGGTTAAATTACAACGGCATTTAGTACTAATATAGAACTTCCCTCAAAACGAAAGGGCTAGACATTATCTTAAAGTTGGAGAAAAACGACCATAAGTTTTTGTATGTACTTTAGTGATTGCAATCCATTTAGTAATAGTCTGATTTTCAGACCCTTGTACCGAATGGTCGTACGTTTTGTGCTGCGCCAAGATTCAATCGGTTTAATTTTGGCCATTACAAGAATTGGGTTATTGATGTAGACAAATGCTCACGTACCCTTCAGAGCTCACTTCTATGTATGTTATTATCAAAGAGGAAAAAAGGTGTATGGCAGTGAAGTCTAGAAAGTAAACGGGTTTCCTTGCGTAATTTGAATATAAGGGCACTGCTAACGTTAAAATTTCACAGATGTAACATATTCATAATTCCTGCAAAGTTCTCCAGAATGTGATGTTGGCTGCAAATGGGACATAATACCTTTAAGGTACAGACACAGGGATCTGGCATTTACACATGACTGACTTTGAATCCTAAAGTAAATCACGTTTTCTGGAAACGGAAAAAAACAAAAGCTATTGAGACCTTTAGAGGAGAGGAATACCGAGGCTCAACGGGGGGGGGGGGGGGGGGGGGGGGGGGGAGGGGAGGGAGTGATAATTTCAGCTCTGCATACTACAGAAAGACGACATTTCTGTTAGAACATTGCCCGTTCGTGGAAAAAAGCCCCTTTTAAACTCTCTAATTGATCAAAAATATAATATAAGAATTGTTTACATTGATTTATCCCCCCTCCCCCTTATTTTGATATTAAGGTATGGTGAAAGGCATGTAGAATAACGCAGTAATAGAAGAAACGAAATTAAATCTTTAACACTCGGTCGATTTCCTTCAATCAATTACATGTACCTTAGCCTGGTTTCTAGTCAACAATAGTGTGAACCCAAAATCCAGCAAGAATTCTTCCCCCAAAATTATATATAAAGAAAGGGATGGAATATTTTTTTATTTTAAAGTTATCTACCCCGAATAAAGAAAAAATAGAGATTAAAAAACAGAATGTGGCAGGAAATAAATTCATTCAGATTGCTCGAAATGATTGTACTATATAAGGAGACATATCAAAAAGATATTCACGAATGGCCTAACAGAAGTATCAATCCACAAGTCAGCTAATGAATGGAGAGTAAGAAACGAGGAAAAATGTATTATACACGAGAATTATTTCATCAATTTGTACTGGCAAATTCGTGATTAAAAACAAGAACATGTGCTCTCCGTACACTTAGCAATACCGTAAGCAATAGTTTTGAAATGCGGTAGCAATTCACAGCGGGTGACTCCCGCCCCCAAATCAACTTTCAGGGTTTATTGATTGCGGGCGAGCAAGTAAACGATTCGATCCCCTTTCTTAATGACAATGTATATTTTTGTCTCCAAAATAATTATGCTAAATAGGTAAACCTCTTCACTATTCATATATTAGGGTTCTAGGACACCTACCCCCTGGACATCCCCCCCCCCCCCGTGATAACCATCCCAGTCAAATACTCCCTAGGACTACTACCCCCTAGGAAAACTACCACCTAGGGCAACTACCCCCGGACAACTACCCACCGGAAAATTATCCTAGGGGGTACTTATCTGGGGGTTAATTGTCCGGGGGTAGTTGTCCGGGGGTTGTTGTCCTAGGGATGGTTGTCTGGGGGTAGTTGTCCGGGGGTAGTCGTCCTAGAGGGTAGTCCTCCTAGAGGGTGGTTGCCCTAGGCGAAAGTTGTCCTAGGGGGTAGTTGACTTGGGGTGGTTATCCGGGGGGTGAATGTCCAGGGCGTAGGTGTCCGGATACGGCCTTTACTATCGCGAAACATCGGATTCGCACGCACGGAAGGGAAACTGCAAGCGTTATTATTATGATCAAAACTATTAAGGGAAAATTTTGGAATATAGACTAACATAATTTAGAGATGGACTGATCCGGTCACATCGATCTTCCCGCAACCCGATTTTACTTTCAGTTCCGGGTTCCAGTCTGCCAATGGGCAATACAACCTAAATTAACTAATTTATGGCTCAAGGAACGTATTACCCAAAACACCAGTAATAATTATGTGAAAGCAATGTCTATACTGTATAACTGCAGTACTTTCCCTATATAATTACTCAACATGATCATCAAAACCAAATCAGCACAGCTAACACTGAATTGCACACTGAAGAATACGAACTCAATATGACGTCAATTCATTAGGTGCGGGTGTGTGTGTGTGCGTGTGGTGTACCCCATACATGCCAACTGTTCAGATTAAAGAGGAACATTCCTCTTTTTGGGAGAAGATAATTATCATTTTAATGCAGGTGTTCCTCTTCCTGTACAAATTTGTCTGTAGTATTGAATAGGAGAGTTAGGATTGTTCCTCTTTTTTTTTTAAATAGCATAATTTGTACAGATTTCTGATTTTCAAATGTTGGCATGTATGTGTACCCATGTCTGCGTTACCAAACAGAGAACATTCATAAGTACTGTACTTTCTTTTAGATCAGTAGCCAGTCGCAAAACGAGGATGTCCCCGGTTCGAGAATCCTGTAAATTCTTTAAAATTTGAAGTCCTTTCATGTTCATTTATGCGCTTTCATTAGATGCATTGGCGTGGGAAAAGTAGATCCTCGTTTGTGGAGCGAATTTTCTAATCGTCATCAGGATGTTATACTCCCACAAATAATTGTACTCGAAATCGTAATAGCATACAGATGTGTAAATATGAGTCCTCGATATACAGCAGAAATGCATGATTGTGTGTGCGTGCCTGTCTATAAGGTAACAAACCTAAGGCACTCATATGAACTTTAACGACCACTCGCAAAACGAGGACGTCCTCGGTTTGATAACCCTGTAGAATATTCAAAACTTGATGATTTTTCATAATTAGAGGTTCTTTTATTGTATTGCATTATTTGCATGATTGTGTCTATGTGTGTGTGTGAGTGGAAATTCTTGCAAACCTTGCGAAAGCCGAGAAAAGCTTGCGCAAGTTTGTGATGATAACTAATCGATGATATAGATAGTCCGTTACATCGTACGATATGGCTCTTTGGGATCCAATGGTTATTTGTCACATTAATAATGAAGAGTAAGAACTCATATGGTGTAAAATATTCAAAATCGATATTGCTATTGGACCTTGCAACAACAAAAAGCTCTCAGAATAAAAAAAAGGGCCTTAATATCGATTTGGAGCATTTACTGGCATCATTCCACTTAACTTCCTTTTATTGTTGGCATTTTGAAGAGTTGGGATTTTGTCAGCATGACACGGCTGACCGTCATTCCTGCATTACAGTTCTCAAAAAATCACTGTCTTTGACTATTGCGGTATAGACTATATTAGTATTGTGGGTAAGGGAGTTGTGCAAGGGGCACGTCGCATTAATAGCCCCCCCCCCCCCCCCCCCACTCCAACATAAAAAAATAGAGAGAGAGAGAGAGAGAGTCTGTATGGGGTGGAGGGGAAAAGAGAGAAAGAGAAACGGGGGGAGAAAAATTACTGATAGGACCCCCTCCACATCCCCGCAACCTTGTATTTTTCAACGGCCTATTAAGGAGTGAATCGACGCTACGCCACTTATTCATTACAAGATGGCTTTTTTAGTGAGAGCAAACGACTAGAATTCAAAAGGAAAAATCAATCGTAGAATATATTGGTTGAAGAATCCAAAGGTTATCCGAGATTTTAAAGGTCACCTTAATTACCGTGTCCAAAATAAATATATTTGATATTATTATTAACTGACGCATGCGATCCCAGGTGTTCGCTCCGGATGACCAGGGTAATCATGGCGTAAATTAACATCATGTTTGTACCGTTATGTAACATTACATCTCCCTTTTATCTCCCTTTTACATCTCCCGGGAACCTTGGACCACTTGAATCAACCAAGGCAATGTAAAAAGCCTTGTGCGTCAGCTATTGAATTGTGCGAACACGAGGATGATTTTTTTCTTTTGATGAAATGTTTTATTTCTCTAAACAGAAATAGGACAAATTGAAACAGAGTTAATACAAATTACACAATTCAGAAGTTAAATCAGTTTTAAGTCAAGAATAAATTTGTACATTACCTCTTTCATCCAAAACAATGTATAGAAAGACAATTTTCGAAATGTTTTTTTGTTTACATTTAAAACAAAATCAAAGTATGCTTTGTACAAACAATAATAATATTATTTACTTGAAACATAGTACTACAGAGTCAGAGAATGACAAAAAAACACATAAACACACACAAACAAAAGACTCGCAACTTTTCCATCCCACATGCATACACACATATGGTTAAACAAATATACAACACCGTCAAACACCCCATTTCCACTACACTCATATCCCCCCCCCCCCCCTCTTCCCAAACCAGTCTCAAGGTATGTGAAGGAAGGAAAAGTAATATCAGTAATATTGATAATAACAGCAATTATGATAATGATGATAATATTATTAATACACCTGTAATACAAATGATAGTAATCATTATCATCATAGTAATACTGCAAAGTAGTCTTCCCAAACCAGTCTCAAGGTATGTGAGGGAAGGAAAAGTAATATCAGTAATATTGATAATAATAGCAATTATGATAATGATGATAATAATATTAATAATACAAATGATAATAACCATCATCATCGTAGTAATACTGCAAAGTAGTCAAATTTAGTAACTGAATAACAGAGAACATATAAATGTAAGGTATAATACAACATATACAAACAATAATTTCTTTATGTCAAAATGTTTTTTACATAATATATGTACATATAATAATGAGACTTAATATTTCCATAACATATTATCATAAATTTAAAGTATTATCCGAACTATTCTGTTGGAAAAGTGCAGGAGACCGCAATCATAAGCAAAGCGTGACAAGGATGGCGGCCTTAAAAAAAAAAAACTTAAAAAAATCTTAAGGTAAAACTTAAAAATGAAAAAGTGTTTAAACGCGCAAAATAGGTGATTTGCAAGCCTGCTGCAGATCACTTAACAATACATAACTACTGGTGTTGATAATAATGAACGTGATAATCATAAATTACTATATACGTTTATGATGGGTTGTATGTTGTACAGGCTCTTCCAATTTTGTTGGAACAAGTTTCTTGTAAATTTTAACGATGAGCGAATATTTTTGTTAATGTGTGTGTTTGTAATTAGCTGAATGGTTGTAATGCTACCCAATATATAGGTTCCTTAGTGTGTGGCGAGTAGAAAACTTATCTGAGATCAATACAAATTTATAACGCCGAATGATACATTAGTCCTGCTTATAATGAACCATGCATTTGTTAGCACCATAAGCACGTCAGAATATGGGTTTAATTTCTTCGTAAATATCTTCTGTTATACTTTAATGTACAGATATGTCGATATAATTATATTTTTAAAGAAATCATAATAAGTAGGCCTACGAGATAAACAGAGTAAACAAATTGATGCGGTTGCAGTCGCATTATTTTGTATGAAAATACATTTCACTGTGTGTATCCTGTTTACTTCGTATTTCAACTCGTGAAGATTATAAATAAATTGACCTACATGTACGTTATGGAGCAATAGGGAATGACGTCTATTGAAATCAATCTTCTTTTTTTTTTACTAAATCGTAACTTGTACTTATGATATCATTCTTTATCTCACAGTTTTTTTATTTGGTCAACTATTATCAAATGATGAAACTCTCATGATGACAGTACTAACCCGTACGATCCATTATCATACACATTGACGCACGCACACAGCCACTCATATTCATGGAGGCCACTAATCTCTCCATCTCTCTATCATACACATTCACCGCACACCCACAGGCAATCGCGCACACAAATATAAACTGCTACCTAATACTACGGTCACAAATGTTCGTACGAACGATAATTTCGTACGAATCTCCATGTTTTTCCACTGTCTTTCCGAATTTCCATTGTCTAAAAATCGTTCGTACGGCGTTCGTAGCAGTTCGTAATGACAATTGTGACCGAGGCATAACGATCTCAATACGATCGGTTTTCGATTAGAATGGTGAAGAATGAAATGAAGAAAAAATAAAGAAAATCTCAACAGATAATTAATGTACCATTACGGCTTATGATTCATTGAGGGATTCCTAACATAGTTTTCGAATGCAAATTGTGTGGACAAAAATACGCACGATGTCGCATTCAATCAAACAAATAGAAGCCGGCAACGACTTTTGGAATAGGGAGGTAAGTCTTGATATACAGGGTGTCACAGAACGATACACCTGAAATATGTAATTTCAACGACACCATTAACTGGCACAATTGTCTCGGTACATTAAAAATATAATAACATAATGTAATAAGAAAAGAAAATAAGAACAGTAAAACATAATACAATATGTTAAATTACACTTAGTACATTAAAAATATAATAACATAATGTAATAAGAAAATAAAATAAGAAAAAGTAACAACAATGATAAATGGTATGATAAGATTATTGAATATAGAGGCTTATGTAGGTAATATCTTATATACATATTTATTTATGGTGTGTATGTGATATAACAAATAATCTGCACGTACTGTTAAGAAACACTAACAAAGCCGATGAATGTTTTGCTTACGATATTATTTTTCGATACTATCTTAAAAGATAGATAAATTTAAAACGAAATAAATAAATAGTCAAATTACTGACTAATCGCCAATAAGCCAAAACACAACAACAACAACAATGTCAGTGGTTTTGTTTCATTTTGTAGAAAACTCTTTTTTTTTTCTTTTTTTTTTTTTCTTTTTTTTTTTTTTTTTTTTTGGGGGGGGGGGGGGTTTAAAAAAACATAAATCCCTGCAGTACTGCTCTCACTAACACAGCTGAATGCATGTGAAGCCGTCATGCGCACATTTTCCCGCTGCTTCAGCCTTCAGGAATGAATACGGTTACAAAAGTAGCAACTTTTAGAAAAGACATCGCCTTAAAAAAAATAGAATCGACACGTGTCGCTTAAAATTGATGATCTTTGTGTAATTTTCCTCCGAAGAGTATCCTATCAAAGAAAAAAAATATTTACATGCTGTCAATGATGTCGGTGACATTGCAGATTAGATGTTGCGTTACTTGTGGTAAACCCTGTATAGACCTGGCAGTACGTGCAACATTTTTAAATGTAAGGTGCACGATATGCCCGCACGACTTTGCTTTCAAATTGGCAATGAGTAGAACTTTAAAACATCGATTAGCTAGTATCGAAAATGATTGTCTTTCATGATGATTCGTCATTACATTTTAACTTGCAATTACTGAGGAATGTAGACATTTACACGCCCATCCATTGCTATTGTCGACTCGAGGCTCGAATCCGACATCGGACGCCCACATGCCCGGAGAAGTGTTTTACCAACCGCGCGGCGAAACGACGTGTTCAGGAGAGAATAGATAACGGTGTTCCACCAGGAGTTGTTGATGAGGAGGTAGGCGGCCGCGATCCGAAGCGAGTGGGGAATCGTGACGTGGTGAGCGAAGTGAAGGGATGCCATGATGTTCCAAGGCATCACCAAGATGTAAAAGGATATCGTCGCCATGACTACGGTCCAAAGGCTTCGCATCTTGATTCGGTTAGCACGAGCAGGTTGTGGCAAATAAGGTACCGTGTTGGTCGCTCCAACAGCTGAACTCGAAGTGCCACTCGGCATATTCGGGTTTTGCCGAAGTGAAAACTCGTCTCCAACGATACGGGAATGACGGAGAGCTATCCGCACGACATTGTAGTTCGCGAATGTCGAGATCACAAGGCTGCTGTAGAATATAAGAAGGATGACGACGAGCGATGGCCGGAAAGATATACCGATGCCAACTGCTGAAAAGTCCGATACGCATGTCCTCTTGGTTGATGCAAAGTCGGCTCCAACATTGGTGAACATTGCGTTGCCAATGGATACGAAGGCGAGGATGACGAGGACAGCTCGTGCGCGTCTCGCCGTCATGATCGATACATACCGCAGAGGTTTGGTGATGGCCACGTAACGATCAACGGTTGCAAAGGCCATGGTGAGGGCCGATTGGTTTAGGCATCCTGTGCAGGCCATCGTTCGTATGGTACACGTGATTGAGTTCTGCAGATGCGGGGCGCAGGAGAATAGGAAGCTGAAGAAGCAACAGAACACACCGGTCAGGAGATCGGTAACGGCCAAGCCCTGGAATATAAGGCGCGGGATCTCCTCAAAGCAGGACGGCTTCAAGTGCAGTACTACCAAGGTTAGAGTGTTCGATATAATGATCAGGAACGTAGAAAATGCAAATGCAATCGCTTGTAGAACATTCGGCGGCAAAGGTGTCAGTATGACCTGTTGGGGTGGTGTCGACGATGTAGAATACATTTCGCCGTCCTCATATACGAGATATTCTGAATTATCAGAGAAATTAAATGTTGAAGTTTCCATTACAACCGTGAAAGAAATATACGGTCACTGTGCATGAATACCTGAATAAAAAAACAAAGACGCTCTTTTTTAATTTGGCATCTAAAGATTTTTTATTTATAGAAAATATAGTTGGCTTCTGATAGGGCGTGTCGCCTTGATAGCAAACATAATCGGCATTTTAATGAAAAATTGATCCGACTCATCAAAGTCTTAGAGATAACATCCAACTAGACGCATGTTTCCTCAACTAGTCAATACCAAGACAACAAAGATCAAGCCGAGAGATAACCTATGCAATTATCATGCTACCTACGTCCGTACTGATGCGGAAATTCTGCCGTTGGCGCGACATGCACGATCGTAGTGATAAGCCAGACGTTTCGTCGTCCAATGCAAAACTGGCTATTTCTGTCTACCGGCAATGCATAAATTTTGCATTTGAATATTCCTGTTCGTTGATGTGATTATATTCTTAGTCTGTGCTTGCACTACTTGGTGATTGGAGTATGGTAAGATGAAGGCTGCATTAAAAATTAGGAAAAAAAAGAGGAGAAAGCTTTAGTACTGTATGCATTTTGATCTGCAGAGAAGGCAATTTCAACAGCTACACAATACATAAGCATGGGTGCGTCTGTATATTGTAATGTGGAAGTTAAGCAAAAGATGAAGCAGTATATCTCCGACTGAATGAGCTCAGTTATTTAGAATTCATCGGTATGAAAAATTCATGTGTAAGACAGATAGATCTACAAGTTGTCAGTAATGACCTTCTTTATTTGTTCTTTCCCAGTGTGGTCCATTTCTCCAAAAGGTTAAATTCCAATTCTGATGAAGTCCAAATAAAGGATTTTCTGTATCATCTTTTTGTTCAACTTTCACATTATATTCTACACTACGCTAAGGTAAATGGTACAAGTAAACTCGTCATTACTTTATTTGAAGAGTTTCATTCCAAAAGGAATTGAAATCACTTTTATTATTTTTGAGTAAAACAAGGATTTTTATTTTACCACTTTTCCATGTCAGTTATCACTTCTGTTTAGCATAATTATGTTATAGGCGTAATTGCCTTTCATCATTTTGATCGTCTTTAAAAAAAATTCTATCAATTAATTCTATTTTTCATATTTCTTTTAATTATTTTGATTTTTGTTTCGTCAACTAAGCCCCTTTTGGAAAGAAACTCTTGTTGGGCGTCCCCTTTTATGCACGTTTAAACATACTTGTTAACGTTTCAAATTCAACACATTATTCAAACACATTAATACTGCCACCAATGTTTACCAATGTTTACTGCTTATTGAATTAAAAATCGCTTTACATCTAAAAACAATGCCTAAGGATACTTTATATCAAAAGGAACTAAATCCAAAAAAATATTCGTTAATTTTGTTTTAATATGTTGAATTTATTGAAATTTTGCACTGACCTTTCAAACTGGTAACTACACTTTATCTATAAAAATCGTAAAATTTAACTAAAGGAAACGTGGTTTATTAAAACGAACAAATCCCTAATCGAAGTAGTGGATTTAATTCCTTTTGGAATTAAATATTTTTGGATTAAGTACCTTTAGGGAATTAAGCTCTCCATTTATATATATATGACATTCCCATTTCCCAATATGAACTAGTTACTTCACTTAAAATTAAAAGAACAAACATTAAATCACTGACTTCGTATTATACATCAAACTTTCTTCAATTATGTCTTTAGTTTCTATTCATACCTTTATTTATTAATATTTCAACTTACCTGCCAATCATAATTTGTGGCGACAAAACTAATAGTGATATGCTTAGAATGTAATATCAGCGGGCGGCTACATGCAGGAGAGCACTTATGCCAAGTAGGTAAATTATAATACACTGTCCTTGAGCACCACTTACAAGTAGGCTGTTCGGCTTGAAAAAGTAGGCCTATTTTAAAATGTTTCGAATAGAAGTATGACCTCTTGACGTATTGTGTTCTTATATATGATTTTTGAAAAAAAACTAATAATATGGCATACTCCTACATTAATAGAGCTTTCAATAGAGCGAGGATGTCGTCAAGGAGATCCCCTGTCAGCTTATATCTTTTTATTATGCGCCGAAATACTCGGTATTTTGTTTAGAAAATCCGATCCCATTGTTGGTTTGAGCTTACCTGATAGACTACTTAAAATAATTCAATATGCAGATGATACTTTTCTTACGTTTAACGGGTCAGTAGTGGAATTAAACAGTGCCTTAAACATATTAGATGAATATAATGCCTAGTTTAAAAGTTAATAATTATACATAAAACACATGCGATATGGATTGGAGGATATAAAAACAAGAAAGATGATGTTCTTTTGAATAGAAATCTAAATTGGGTGTTTGATGAATATTTCAGATACTTAGGTATAGACTTTTGTAGGATTTGAAAAAATTAGTAATTATAACGAAAATTTAAGGAATCAAAAGTCAAATGGCATCGTGGTTAAGGCGATACATAACTGTTCTGGGATGAGTCACTGTCGTAAAATCATTGTTGGTATCCAATTAAACTACCTTATTTTGTCCCTCCCTAATCTAGGTGAAAATATTTTGAAAGATATAAATGCTCACTTTTATAGATTTATATGGGGGAGAAACCTGATAAAACATATAGAAATCAAATGTCACAAAGTTATTCAGACGGAGGGGTATAATGATAGATATATACACACATTGCCAATCATTTAACATTTCCTGGATTAAGAGATTGGTTATTGACTCAATAAATCGCAATATCCTCTGTCTTTTGCAATCTTTCTTGCCTGCACTGCAAGATTTAAAATTATGTATGGATAACAATTACTTTTTGGAACTGGCAGGTAAAGCAAAGAACCTTTTTTGGAAAGAAATATTCATGGCTTATAGTACACACTTGTCCATGCATTATGATGACATTACTTGCCAACCCTTATGGAATAATGATACCATTGAAATAGGCAATGACCCAATATATAATTAAAACATTGTATAAAAAGGGAGTTCGTTTTGTCAATGATATTTAAAAGACAAATTGTGATTTTTTTTTTTTCTCTTCTCTCTGGGAGATTTCCAAGAAAAGTACAATATTTAATTTTTTTTTTTAAATCTTGGATTATGCGATGCAATTAGACAAGTGTTTAACAATTGAACTATTTTTAACAAGGTGCCACAACACCTGTTCTCAGATACAATGGCACTTGTTATGAAACGTATTAAAGGATGTTCATGTAATATCTATGCAATGTTATTAAAGAGAAGAAAAGGGGGATGTTAAAGTTTTCTTAAATGGAAATGCATTTTCGACCTGAATGACAAGAGTTGGGAAACATATCGTTCCATTGGTTTTTATTCTACTATTGACGTGGGCTTACGATGGTTTCAGTTTAAGGTTTTGCAACGCACATTATATACGAACGATCTACTGTTTAAAATGAATTTAGTCCCAAGAAAAGAATGTACATTTTGTAATGAACAGATTGAAACAGTTATGCAGCTGCTATGTGATTGTACGCATGTCAAACATATTAGGGATAGGTTGGAGCACTGGATAATTATATTGGAACCGGAAATAAATACATATTTTGATTACAAGATAAATTATTTGGTTCTAAGAGGTTCGAATGATTATGTATTGAATTATGATTGATTATGGTGCGACAGATGGTGTATATACTTGTAAAATAAAGGAAAAAAACTGCCCGACTTTGATTATATTAGAGTTACGATTATAAATTATTTCAAAAATGAAAAGTATATTGCAGGTTCGAATTGTAGAAATAATAAATTCACAAGAAAATGGTTTCAATTCAGGAATTATTTTGTTTATATGAAATGATACTTTTCTGTATTTTGTTATGAAACAAATTTAGTTTAGGGAAACCACGAATGATTTGATATTAATCAGTGGTCACAACGATGTAATTGTATAGCCTAATAATCAAACGACGATACGTGTCTTTTGTACTGTTTTTCCTTTTTTTCTTTTCTTTCCATGAATATCTTAAATACATTATTGAAAATGTGTTAGTTTTCTGTTAACTCAACAGTTCAACAAATATTTGTATCTTGACCAGTCATTATTATTTATGTTTTTTATATTTTTTTAAAAAATAAATTGAAAAAGAAATATAAAGTACCACTGGGTTAAAGGGACACCGTCCTGGAGCAACATCGATCAAATATTAGAATTTAAGATCAAACTAGGACGCATTGTTATATATTTGTCCTAAACATTGCCATGTAGGCCTATCATTAATTTCACTTTCCTGAGAATTATTTTGGTAAATTCTGTTATATCCAAGCGCTCTTTTGCAAACAGCTTTTCATTTTTGTTATTATCATTATTATTATTATAATTCATAGAAGTAGTAGTAATAGTAGTAGCATCAGTAGTAGTAGTAGTAGTAGTAGTAGTAGCAGCAGCAGTAGTAGTAGTATTAGTAGTAGTAGTAGTAGTAGTAGTAGTAGTAGTAGTAGAAGAAGTAGTAGTAGTAGTAGTAGTAGTAGTACTGGTAGTATCATTATCATTCTCATTGTTGTTATTATTATTATTATTATTATCATTGAATGCAATAACTTTTTGCGCCACTGTGATTCGTGAAAATGAACAAATTAATGATGTAATAATTGAAAATGAGAGAATAGTAGCGCGGAGCTCAATCAAAGATCCCTATTGCTGCCGCCCATATTAAATATAAAACACCGAAAATAATAAAAAGGTACAAGCTAGAAATCAAGAAAAATGGATGTTAGTATTTTTGTCGAATGAATGTAAAGGCAAAATATCAGTAAATGTATGGAGTTCCCTTTAACGAGTTCAAGAGGATTTAAGTTTAAGGAAAAAGCTTGTGTATTGATCCATATCATGGTCACTCTGGGAATAGATTTGGTTCAAATTAGGAGGGGTAATAGTTCCACTGTGCGTGGTGACCCGGTCTTATCGCATCGATTGAATCCGAGATAAGATGCATCATATTTGTTATGACAGACCATCTTCGATTCTTAAATTAAGAACAAGCAGGCAAATGATAACAAGAGGCGAAATGATATACGCTTATAAATTAGAGCAAATGAACGTGCATCATAACCAGACTTAATTCATCCAAGACAATAAATCATATACAAAATTGGGAATCTTATGTTAAAATATGCCCGTGAATCTCGCTCCCCCCTCCCCCTCTCTCTTTCTCTCTTTCTCTCTTTCTTTCTCTCTCTCTCTCTCTCTCTCTTACTTTCTTTCTTGACAAACCTCCTTCATAATTTGGTTACCTCTTTACCGAAATGAATTTATCACCTGGATAAATTCAATGAAAACGAAATATTCATGCTAATAAATGCTTTGCACGGCTGAAGGCATGTGTTTTTTTTAACATCGTGTTGAAATAAAACAAACAAACGAACACATTTTCTCAATAGGCTGTGTAAAGACTCACCACGCACTCCAGACTTTGGATAACTGTTTATGCTACAGTCACAAAGGTTCATACGAACGATAATTTCGAACGAATCTCCCTGTTTTTCCATTGTCTTCCCGAATTTCCATTGTCTGAAAATCGTTCGTTAGGCGTTCGTATCAGTTCGTAATGGCACTTGTGACCGAGGCTTCAGTTTGATAAATCAATAAACAAGAAAAGGGAAAATGATACTCACTTTACCTTGTTGCTGCATATAGAACTGTTTTGAAAGCAATCGTATTACCTGTCAGAGGAAAAGTAACACGGTACAGTTGATGCATTTTTTCATGAGCATCTCGGCTTCGAATCGACCAGTCGAGTTCGCGCATGCGCCTTGTTGTGTTTATTATGGACATATATAACCATCATCACGGTGGAGCTCAACATGATTACAATTTACTTTTCTCTGGCTGACCGTTTCATTCTCTATTTCGTTCTCATCGCTTTCTCCTCTTCTCTCGATCTATGTCGTAGATTGTGTCGTCTTTACTAAATGTTAATAAATCTTAAATTTTCATATTTACAACATACAAGAAGTGTACATGTTTATTTTTCATTTGTATCGCCCCTGCTTCTTAATAGTTTTTCTTCAGATCAATTAAGGGTGATGATATTCCGATACTATCAGAACCCAAAGCATTCCCTTTTTGTAAACATTGTACCCACATCATATAGAGGACGTTTCATTGGCAGATCCGAGAGGGGCAGGGGAACACTCACTCCCCCTCCCCCATCCCACGATCCTCCCCCACCTTCCGCAAAATTTCTCTCTGACACACCTTAAGAACAAACATTAACGTTTCCTTTTTACTGTTCTCCGAGTAGTAGTTTTAGATACAGACTGATTAACCATCGATTGTGATAACTTATTATAACCGAATGTCGGATAATTTTAGGGCTAATGCCCCCCCCCCCCCGCAAAATTTCTCTCTGGCACACCTTAAGAACAAACGTTAACGTTTCCTTTTTACTGTTCTCCGAGTAGTAGTTTTAGATACAGACTGATTAACCATCGATTGTGATAACTTATTATAACCGAATGTCGGATAATTTTAGGGCTAATGCCCCCCCCCCCTTCGCAAAATTTCTCTCTGGCACACCTTAAGAACAAACATTAACGTTTCCTTTTTACTGTTCTCCGAGTAGTAGTTTTAGATACAGACTGATTAAAGGTAATACAAAGTTTTGGTATGGGGTCATGAATTTTGTTCAAATGAACATATTGGAAGCATATGCGATCCAACAATATTCAGTGATCGTTGTCGCGGTTGAAATCGAGTCTAAAGTTATGAAATTGTAAATAATAAACAGTTTATCTTGTATAGCTCCCTCTTAAGGTCAAGATATAAATTAAGCTATAAAACAAGTTTCTTGACTAAAATCGAACGATTAGCTATTCCCGTTTGGAAGTTATATATCACAACTACATATTCTGAGATTTTCATGGGCGCAGCTACCATTGTACGGCTGTAGGCGCTATTTGAAATTTATCAAAATTTACCGGGAGCACCGGTAAATTTTTATAATCAATTTTTCTCGAAAGCAGAAGTGTTTCAGGGGCTAAATTTTCTAGTGCTTATAATACATCCACAAGGGCATCAAAATATATCAAAATTGTAAAGAATCATTATCCACCCAATTTTCAAAATTTCCCAAAACTTTGTATTACCTTTAACCATCGATTGTGATAACTTATTATAATCGAATGTCGGATAATTTTAGGGCTAATGCCCCCCCCCCCCCCTTCACGGGAGAAATCTTCATCCACCACTGATGATTTCATGTTTAGCCTCCATCTACCGTCAAGATGCCCATTAGTCTTCATGAGGGATGAATGCCGAGAGTAGGCGCTGTCAATCCCAAGGTTAAAGAATCGATGGTTGCCTGCTGATCTTTTTGAAGCAAAGTTGTTTGCAAATTAACTCCGACACACCCCCCCCCCCCCCCCCCCCCCATTTTAAGTGACCTACTTACGCCCCGCACACAATGGTATATGTTCGAATCTTTACAGAGATACAAGTATTGACAGCAAGGGCATTTATCTCTTTGTCTCCTCTTCACTGTTCCCTCTCACCTCTGAGATGTATCTTCATGATTTCTCAATCCCTTTTATCACGGTATAAAGGATGATTCCTCACTTTAGAAATATATCCTGCAACCTTGGTAAAGACATTCAAAACAATTACATAAAGACAACACCCTTTCTTATTTCTTTTCTACTTAGCATGTAACGCATAAGTGCTTTTCCCGATCCTCTCTCTCTCTCTCTCTCTCTCTCTCTCTCTCTTCCTTACCCCATTCATGATCTTGATTTCATAATGTCAGTCTTCTTTCATTCCAGTACCGTTTTTTCCTCTTTCATATTTTGAACTAACCTTGTGGTTTTCTTCTTCCCATGCAAGGTACACATAACTACCACATACATATACCTTTCTCAATATTGCAATGCACCTCTTTTATATTATAAATGGGTTAATTTGTTCTATTAAAAATCATCTCGCAGCCCGAAGGCTGAATTATGTGACTTTTTACAAATCGATAAAAACATTACAATACAATAAATACATGTGAAATCAGATATTACATGACATAAATTAAAAATTTGTGCAAGTTCATAGTAAAAATATGAAATATAAAGATATATATAAATGTGAACATGCAATAATATTTCCTCTCCGATATTCGTTGATTTTTAACGGGTCGTGTTTGTTTGTAACCATGCAGACCGGCTTTTAAAATAGTTGAATAGCAGTAGATTGTAAAAGTGAATAATTGTGTGATTTTAAAAGATTAAAAAGACCAGTAAAATACAGTGATACATTGAAAATTTACTTCAATTTGACAGAGAATAAGTTAAGATTTACAAAAGCAAAATATAGATATACATAATATTCATGGGTTTAATACGGATCATGTGCTGATCGGTTTGTAAACGGGGCCAGCTATTTCAAATCGTTACAATAGAGACAAATACAGAGTGACGGATACAATATGAGAGAAGAGGGAAAATGAGAAAGAGAAAGGAAAGAGAGAGAATAGGAGAGAGAGAGAGAGGGAGAGAAAGAGAGAGTGCTAGAAACAGAGGAGAGAATGGAAGAGGGGAAGAAGTTTAGCAGTTACGATTGATACAGCAATGATTTGTCAATTAAGTGGATAGAATTTATTAAAAATATAATATCATGTTACAAACTGGTAAAAAATTCAAATATATTAAGAAGTGAAAAGAGAAAGGTGTAGCTATGCCTAATGATTGTAGTTACATATCATTCAATAGGTCGACCAAGAATGGAATTGGGCTTCTTTTGTATCTTTCAGTTCTGCATCTGATTGCAGGATAAGGAGCAACCCTTCTCAGGGTACCACTACTTCAGCTTCACATAATTTACTTCCATCTCCCCTTCCCCAAATTTAAGTTTTTAACACAACCCAACTATACCTTAGCTTTAATTTCTTCCTCAGCCCTACAACACCCCCACTCTTTCACCATCCTCCCTTTCCTTCTCTCTCTCTCTCTCTCTCTCTCTCTCTCTCGTGTTCTTCTCTTCCCCTCTTCTCTTTTCTCTCTCTCTCTCTAATTCCTCCTTCTCGCCCTTGTCACGATAAGCCAGTTCATAGTTGCAGTCTGAGCATGAGCAGGTAAAGGTCGTTGCAGACCAAATTGTGAAATACACGGGAGACAAAATACATGGGCCCGTTCCTGGAAACCTCTAACTTCGTGACTTGAAACCTGTGTTATAGAATTAACACGCGTTTCAACGGGAGAGTCACGAAGTTAGACTTATGACGGTTTCTAGGAACGGGCCCCAGGATACGTGCTCATGAAATTATTGATGTAGCACCTCCATCGATGTACATGTAGGAGTGATTATTTCAAAATGTACAACGTCACTCCTCTGGAGAGTGAAAATGAAGGGAAAATAGAGTGAACATTCACTCTTTTCTTCTTAGAGAGCACTCTAAAATCAATCGATTTTCACTCCTAAACAAGTGATCACGGACGCCACTCCCAAGAAAGTGAAAATAGAGCGAAAATTCACTCTTTTTTTTAAAGAGAGTACGATAAATCTTATTTACGCCAATATATATATTTTTTGTAAACCGTAATTTTCGACAACATTCCGTACTGCCGTAATGATCGTAAATTATGGGAAATCCGTACTAGATGGCAGCTCTGATAACACGTACAAACACAATAATGATATATTTGAAAGCTGTTGGAATCACTCTTTCTCTCCATACCAAACCGTAACTATAATATATTCACACTTTGAGGTCTTCACCATAAACAAAAACAAATACATCAATAATATATTTGAAAGCTGCTTGAATGCAGGTTGTTATTGGCCTTTTTATCTAAATTTGTGTCATATAAAATTACACATAAAAGGTTCACATATAAATTAATCACTCTGTATGCCCTATATTAACATGCCGTATACCACACTGAAGTACATGGAGCAAAATATATATATTTCAAAGTTTTGCACTGATTAGCATACATATGAGAATAGTGGGGATTATAACAATGTAGGATATGCATGCAAAACAATTTAGAATGAGTTATTAGACAAAATGATTTAGAACAATATCACTCCACTTGATATTTTGTTAGTTCTCTTTTCCTAAGTATTTACCTAGGCGACCGTATATATATTACTTACTGACTCCTCTCCTAGAACGCTTTATTTTCATAAATAATCAGAGAAAAGAGGTTTACTGCGACTTCAATAATGCAGAAAAACAAAAAACAAAGACGTTGTAATTCAACATGTAAATTTCAGGTCTCAAATTATTCATAAAAGCACAAGATCACATTTCTGCCACATTTATTTGAATGTGCATTTCATTACTACCACTAAAAATGCAAATGTTGATGATGTAACAAGTATAATCTTTAACTCAAACAGAGAAAGAAATTCATGGAAAAATGAGAGAAAAAAGACAAAAAGAGAAAAAGTATAAATAAACACATACAATTATGAAGATAATAGATAACAAGATAATTCTCTTTCATAAATGACAATGGATACAAAGTGAGTAATTGAATTAGTCTCTGGATTACAGACAAAAAAAGGTTAAAAACAAACTGCTACAGAAATAAATATATCATTTCTCTACAATTAAGTCAACTAACATACATGTAATTCACAGTAAAATACTCTGGAATTGGTCGTAATTAAGGAAAGGAATGCTACATATTTTCTACCACAAGAACACTTCAAAGTCGTTTTACTTTTCAGGAAGTATTCAGAATGGCTCATTATGCATTGCATCATGTTTCATAAGAATTTAGAATCACTAATATCGTCGAGAGTAAAATGCCCATATTGAAGCCCTACCCTGATGATGGGGGGGGGGGGACCCTTGATGACACTGTCTTCATATGTGTATATGGACACTTGTTTATATACAATATATATATTTATGTATGTATGTTATATATATATATATATATATATATATCTAAAAATAAGCCTGCTACTGTGAGAGGTTAAGAACATCAGATTACAAAAATAGGATCCAGTATGATGATCAATGTTAAGTGGCAAATTTCGCACAAGTATAACAGATTTGACTGACACAGTGTTAACTGTACATGCATTTTATATAGCCTTCAAAATTTGCTGCATGTGCCTTGAGGCTTAATTTAAAAAATATATATATATATATCCACATTTTTATTAAATGTAAAGGTATTAGTGAAGAAGAGAAGACATTTCCATGGCACACATTATAGAACATTGGGGTACCTTGAGTGGCCATAATGACGATGAGTAGTTTGGAGGTTCAGTTTTAGTTTAATTAGTCTCTCTTCAAAGAAAATGCTAATCAATGTGAGTGCATGCACCTGTGAATGAAAATGGCGATATTGGTTGGTTACGTGTAAAATATATGAGATACTATCATTATGGGTTCAGACATACATTATGTACAGGCATACACGAGTTTGTGCAATGCTAATTGGTGAATACAATACAAAAATATATCTATTTTTAAATCATCTCTCTCTCTATGTATCATACATTACTAATTCAAATCATGCTCATACATCATAAATAATCTCATAATTACATGTCAAATTCTGTTCATGACTCTTTTAAATTTGTTTTGTTCTTGCATGCCTATTTCTATTTGCTGGCCCGGGGCAAACGGAATTAACATTACATGAACATGTACACACGGGCAGTTCAGAAAAAGCATGTTCATGAACTTTTCACAACATAGCAGCAAACAGACATGTGGGGTTCTCCCTCCACTCCATGAGTACTAGCAATACACATAGTTCATGTACATCGTTTCAAAGCAATTACTGTTCAATAAACATTACTCTTCCTTTATGTATTCGTGTATCCTTATTATTCTTCGCATTGTATGATTGTTCATATACTGTCAATATTGTGATGTGTTGTTGTTAATAAATTCAATTCAGTTCAATTCGATAGTTGCACATTGCAAAGCTCATTGAGAGGGTCTACGGTCGTGAAATGCGCTATACAATAACACATCATTATATTTCTTTATACCAGGTAATGTATACATAAAAAAGTATAATTGATCTGCACATAAAATATATCTTGGTGCAGTACAAGTACTAATGTACTTCAGACTGTGCAGATGTACTCAAATAACAGGACCTAACCCCTTAAATTTGCATTAGTAAAGCAGTATTCTCCACAAGATCTACTTATTCAAGCAATGTTAGTACAACATCAAGTGCTCCCACATATTCTACTCTATGTGAAGTTGATACGCTATACTCACAAGACTTACGGTATTACTTTACAATGAAAATGTTCGCTATTGAGAAGATAAGCAGAATCAGTTAACAACATGCCGGCATAAGCAGCCCATAATCACACTCCAATTATCTAATCTAACCCACGTAATCGTCCCTATTGCAAAAAAAAGCAGCAACATTGCCTTAGAGTACCGAAGCTGTGACATCATAAAAATCAATTTTTTGAGTTTCTCAACTTTTTCTTCATTTTCCGAAAGAGCATCAAAAATAATGTCCAAATGTCGTAAACCAGTTGAATATGTTAAGTATTGGATGAGATATGACCATCTGAATAAACGAATTTCCTATAGGAACTCAGTGTTATATTGCTCTGGCTCGAAATTCATGAAATAGATTTTTGATGACCTCACACTTCACCATTACATTTACTGATTTTAGTCTATTATGTGAAAGATGAGTTCCAAAACCACTGGTGCGCCCTCGTGCTGTGAGACCGCGCCATGCACAACTGGGATGAGTTCATTGTCGAGGCTGTTCATGTAGTGGGGAGGGAGCAGTTGACCTTTTGACCCTGATTCGTATCCAACCTGAAACGAGAGAGAGAGAGAGAGAGAGAGAGAGGAGAAACATGTTTAACTACAATTACAATACAGTGAAACCTGCTTTTATAATTCTTATATCTTGTATGTTTACTTTTTTTTTCTTCCTCAACCGTCCCCTCCTTGAGTAAAAAAATTAAAGAAAAGATTTGGGGGAAAAAATGGCATCTAAAACATTCCCCCCCCCCCTTTTCAGTAAGAACATTGGGAAAAAATAGGGACAATTAAAGGAAATAAGGGAAAAATCTGGAAAATAGGGGTAAAATTGGGAGAAAAAATCAGAAAAAAAAAATAATAATCGGGAAACCCGATTTAAATCAGGTAATTATCAGGCCTGGACTACACATTAAAACTCAAACTGACCTTTTCAATGTCGACGGTAACCCTGAGACCGAGCTTCACCAATCCTGCTTCCCTGAGTTCATTCAGACTCCCACTGAGCGCTAGACAGAAGGCCGACGCGAGGCTCTCGGCCAGCCTGCTCAGGTCTACCGGTTCCGGAACGTTGGGGTGGCCCAGGGACTCTCCTTCACCCAGGCCGTTCTGGATGAAGAAGACCTCGGTCCAGCGGATGGCACGGTTGTGGCCATGGTACTCAGTGCCATTGTGGATCCGCACGCTCTCCACTCCGGTCAGGGATTGGCCATCGATTGGACTGGTCACCCTGCCGTGAAAGGATAAAAACAATAATACATACATATACTTGAACCATAAACTCTGATTCCCCCAAAACAAGTCAATAAAATGCGTAGCGCATCCCATTGCTGGGTACAAATAGCCTACATACGTCAGATCAAGTTACCTCCATTAGATTATACTATAATATTACTAATACCTGGGGATTGGATGTACAGATGTACTTAGGCTTTGTTTTGATACCACGTACCTTCATATCAAATTTCTTTAAAATCCGTCAAACATTACTAAAGTTATACAGTAGGCTTACGGTTGCACCATGTGAGAAAGAGGGAGGATTGAGGAGTCCTGAAAAAGACTCTTGGTAATCTTTCTTGAGTGTGTGTAGTCCTGAAAAGGACTGTTGGTGTAGTCTTGAAAAAGACTGTTGGATATCTGGATGGGTGGTAGGAGTGGCTCGACCTTTCGAACAGGTCGACTATCCTGATGACGGATAGTCAACCTGCCGATACTTATACGCAGCATTACAAAATTAGTGAATGAAAACAAGATTTGTTACGGACGGTCCGAAGGACGGACGGCAGCGTTACTATATCCCATCCGACTTCGTTGGAGAGGGGATCGTCCCATAAGCTATCAACCGCATCAAAGATTAAGTTTACTAGATAAGTGAATCAAATTTACAGGCTGATTAGAGCTAGGATCATAAGATATCAAATAAACTGACACTTTCAATGCCAGAGTTTGTTCCTCATTCTATTCATCATCTGTGAAATAAGGGAGAAAAAACCGAATGAGTATCTCAGATACATACAAGTCTAGCCTGAATATATTAATCTCCACGAAAAATGTCTTCATGCTTTACACTTGAGTAAAGCACACAATTAAAAAATCGATCAATCAAACTGTAACTTACCCAGAGTTGAATTTCTTATCATCCTCGACCCACTGGACCAACACCGTCTCTTCGGGCGTGTCTGCTTCGCTGCTCCCGCAGGGTATGGACATCTCCTGCATCTGACGCATGGAGTCCTTGAGCAGCGTCATGGTCTCGGGGCGGATCTGGACCATCAGGCCGTCTTCGACGATGCTGGACTTGGCCGTCAGACCAGAGCTGCTCTTGAGGGCACCGTTGAAGACGACAAAACTTGCTCCAGTCACTGGGTTAAAAAGACGAACAAAGAAAGAGGGTGGAAAACTTAGAATCTAGATCTACTGGTTGATGTTGTTTTATGAAGTTTATTTTGGTCTTCATGTCAACTATGCAACATAAAATTGTTGGTAAGATGTCTCCTGTACCATTGTATTAACTGGTATAGTCATTGTAGTCCCATTTGTACGAATACATGTATGAAGACAACAAAGCTTGCTCCAGTCACTGGGTTAAAAAGACCAAAGAGAGAGATAAATTCTTTTTAGGAAAAAGAATAACCATAGTTTTTAATTCATCTCACTGACCACCGGTGTATTGTCACTAAAAGATAGCAAATGGAAACAATGAAAACAAAGAAAACAAAGAAGACACAATGTACAACAAACATCAATTTACATAATCTAGAACTTTTCATATTTGCTTGACTCTTTATCATAATCATCACCATGATTCAAGTCAACCTTTTTTCCTTTTAAGAGGGGTTACCGACTTTCGAGCCGTGATGACACTCCCCCACTCCACTTTTTCTTGTCTCCTTATTTAGACCAACCTTACTACTTTCTTTCTTCCCCATATCCTTCCATGAAATCTTTCAAAAGAAATATGTTGCCTACGTTTCAAAATAGATTGATGCGCAATTCATTGCGCATTCATTTCATTGCATTCACGGCTCTGCTCCTCAATACCTTATCTCTCTAATCCAAAACTACACTCCTGCAAGACCTCTACGCTCATCCACTTCCAATTTTCTTGTGACCCCCAAAATTACCAAAACGTGGGGGGAAAGATCATTTGCATACTCTAGTCCTAAATTATGGAATGGCCTTCCTGAAGACATCAAAAAATGTTTATCTTCTGATTCTTTCAAAACTCATCTCAAAACATTCCTTTTCAAGTCTTGATCGTTTTTCCTGTTTACACGCGCCTTGAGCACTCCACAGAGTGGATTTGGCGCGATATAAGTTAATTATTATTATTATTATTAATTCATCCACACAACTCGCAACTCGTACTTACCTTTTCTAGGTTTGTTCTGTATGTTGATGGCCTGTGTCTGGTATGTGCCCTGCTCATTCTGCATACAAACCAGGTGAGAGTCTGCCTCTGGACTGAAGACGGCAGCCAGTGCCATGACATGCTCGTTGGAGTTGTTCAGCACCTTCATGAGCTGGGTGGGAATGAATGATGTCGGTCGATTAGTTCAGCAAGGGTGCTCCTCACGTATTTGTTGAATGTATTCTTGGGGGATATTAATGAAGTCTTTACTTGCAGAGATACTATCTTTAAAGTCTATCTGCACTAGTTTGGCAAGGAGGGATTAGACGTCCCTGCCTGGTTACTGGCAGGCGGTCATCTCATCAAAACAGCTCTCAATTAACATAAGAAAAAGGGGACCCTGGGGAATCAACGGGTACTACCTAGGCATTGTTGGCTATATAGAGGACGCAAGTAGCAACAAGTAGTGCAGTGCCACATTTAAGTTAAATTGTTCTGAATAGTAAAGCCATTTGTAAACATTATTCATCAGAAATGTAACTAACGTACCAGTACAGACAACAACAAAAGTAAACAGTGATAGATTACAAAGAAACATTCAATACATTGTCTGCGGGGACCTCGGCCCTGCTTCATAAAACTTGTTATCTATAACAAATGCTAAATTTCTATGACAAATTTGCTCTCAGCCAATCAGATGTCATGATTTCAGTAGCTCATAACAGTAGCTTGTATCTTGTTATTGATATCAAGTTTCATGAAACAGGGCCCAGGGTTCCTGTGTTGAGTCTATGGGAATGAGAGAATTCAGTAATCAACTGGCTAACTAACAAAAACATCTACAGATCTGTTTGCAAATATTGGACATACAACATAAGATTGACCTCACCATTGATACTTGTACATAAGTAATCCTTGATCTTGGTCACCTACCTAATTCGACATGTAGGTATACTTTTCCAAGCACTTACATGTTCGTTATACATTATAGCAACGTACACCAACCTTATATAAAAACATATTGAACATCACGATCATCATCCATAAAAATATTAAAAAATCGGTAAATTTGAAACCAATTGTGATCATGACAAAGTGATCAGGGGGGTGTTTCACAAAGATCCTGAGTCGAACTTAACTCTAAGTTGGACTTAAACATTATGAAGAGCCATTTGTAGTCCTAAAATAAAAATATATTCAAAAGCAAAAATTCAAGTATTTTAGACTTTTCATAAATTCCACCTCAAGAACATGAAATCTTCTTGATAATAGAAAATATAAATGATGTGAATCAACATTTTATGCCTTTTAAAATTATTTTTACAAAATATTTTCAAAGATGCTAACGGCTTTCCATAATTGTTAAGTCCAACTTAGATTTAAGTTCGACTTAGGAACTTTGTGAAACACCCCCTGGAAGTACTTACCTCATCATATCTGTTCCTTGGGAATTTGAGGACAGTCTGTTTGTCCTCCATGTGGATGACTACACCTCGTATCACAGGTAACTTGTACTGATAATTCTTGAAATCCTTCATGAACGATAGAAATAAATTATATTTAACATTACTTGGCAATATGGAGTCAAATGCAATTTAATCTTACATGCATTACTTTAACTCATAGCCTGCCATAAGGCTGCATGCACGCTATCGCTATGCTGCTTCGTACATGCGAGAGAGCTACCTATTGAGTGCCATGTGCGTGCAAGGGCGCTTTCGTAATAGCAGTTATTGTTCATGATCATTGGAATGTGCTGTGTGTTTTGCACTCGCCGTTCATAGAACCATCGCGTTAATCAGATTATCTCCAAAACAACCTGGCACAGGGGGATTTGGGGCTTGGCACACTGGGGATTAGCCCTGTGGCATGATAAGAGTTAAAGAAACTTTTTACAGGCCAAACAACGGCATTTGAAAGATAATACTAATTTAAAAGTTCCCTCAAAATGAAAGGGCTTGGAAATGTCTTGAAGTGGGAAGATAAAGACCATTAGTTGTAGAATCGACTTTAGCGATTGCAATCCATTTGGTAATAGTCTGATTTTCAGACCCATGTACCGAATGGTTGTACATTTTGTGCTGCATAAAGATTCGATCAGCTTAATTTTTGCCATTACAAGAATTAGGTTATTGATATAGACAGATGCTCATGTACATGTACCCTTTACAGCTGACTTTATGTATGTTATTACCAAGAAAAAAAGGAGTCAGTCAGTCACTAAATAGTGTCTAACAGTGAAGTCTAGAAAGTAAACGGGTTACCTTGCATAATTTGAATATTAGGACACTGCCAACGTTTAAATTTCACAGATAGGACATACGTGACATTTTCATAATTCCTGCAAAGTTGTACAGAATTTGATGTTGGCTGCAAATTGGACATAGTACCTTTAAGGAATCTCCCAATTGATACTTGGACTGAAAACCCTTAACCATGAAAATAGCTCAATGTCTAAAACATCACACACACACGTAGTTGTTATTTACCACTTCTGCAGTTGCCTACAGTTCAAAAAAATTGAAAGTGATAATGGATTAATTAATGTCGATGCGTTATCAGAGAGAGAGAGAGAGAGAGAATGGAGAGAGAGAGAAAGAGAGAGAGAGAGCGAGAGAGAGCGAAAGAGAGAGAGAGAGAGGGGCGCAGGGGATGATAAACACTTACAGCAAGGAGGTTCATGATGGTGTGTCCGATCTCACCAAACACAGGCTTCCTGAACCTGACACTCATCAGGGGACAAGGATAATCTGTATCAAAAATGGAAATAATCAAAAAGGTACATGTAGTTACAGTTTTGTAATATTGAGAACACCTACCCACATCATGCTTGCATTTCTGCTCATCTCTTTTTTACAATGAAAAACCAAGACAACAATTACTGCAACTAGCCTTGATAGAAGCAAACTCAGTGGAAACTCCTAAGCCCAAGGTGTCTCCCACATCTGGAGTAGGACAGCCACACGGTATGGCTGTTCTGACAAATCCATAAAGGATTGCCCTCCTGGTTCTGGGAAAAGTCTTATAGAGGAAAATCAGGAAAGTACTTGCATCTAAAGGCAGCACGTAGCCTCCAAAGCAGTCTCAGGAGCGGAGGTGGGGGGGGGGGGGTACCTTAGCCAAAAGGTCTCACAGCCACTGGGTAGAGTGCATCTGGCAGGCCCATGTGGACTTCCTTAAAGCCTGTGGCACCTCTACAACAACTACTAGCACTACAAATAATCACCAACCATTCTGCTAACTTTACAATACTACAATGCAATGGAAAATTTGCCTAATGAGGACAACAAAGTCACTACTTTGTGTATTTTGTATATAGCACATTAGGCGGTGTCACACAGAGGCCAAAATTCGAATTTTAGTAATCCGTTTTTAATTATCCTCTTTTTGGCTGTCTGACATCAATTATCCCTTCAAAAATCTCTTCAAAAATCCCTTCAAAAAACCTCATATGAAGCAAGATAATTCTCTCTTGAAAGGATTTTTCAAGGTTTTTTTTAAGGGATTTTTCTGTCTGACACCAATGTTGAAATAATCCCCTTTAAGGTCAGTGTAAAGTCAACGCGCTATCAATGACCCGCGCACAATTATATTAAAGCGCATTTAATGAGACGTGTTACTTTGTGATGTCACAATGCTTATCTACCTAAACGGCGCATGCGCAATGGCCCATCAAGAATCCTGATTTTAGTTATCCGTATTATTCGTAGCCTGTCTGTCACCAGTCTGTCACCGACGTAAATGAAAAAACTAGATTTCTAAAATCTGGTTAATTCAAGAAGGGTCTGGATTTTTCTGTGTGACACCGCCTATTGAGTAAGTAATTAGAAAAGTGCGCTTTATAAGTATTTATTATTATCATTATTATTACTTACATCTAAACTCTGCTCCTAGCCTGAGAAGCAATCTCAAAGGGAACACCTTAGCCCACGGTGTCTCCCACTTCTGGAGTAGGACAGCCACCAGGTAGGGGTGATCCGGTAGAACGAGTTTCTGCAGACACTGGAAGGTCGGCCTGATGTAGAGGAACCCCCCGTGTTCCCTGCTTCCTAGGAAGCCACCTCCAGCAAAGATAGTGTGGCTCATGTCTGTCACTGTGTTGCCTGAGAAAAAGGGAAGGGAAATATACAAGATATAAGCACCGTTTTTATTATCACTATTATTATTATAAACAAAAGGGCCTAATGATTGGACTTGTAGTTGTATATATTTCAAAGAAAACTTTTTCAGAGTGACATGGTGACATGGAGAGATTGTTGGGGCTTTCCCTAAAGCAAAATGATTACTCTGCAGTGATAAATACTCAATGACACAATATTGATGAAGTCTGGGTAGTAAATGTATAGCAAAATTTTTAGACATAGCCATTGATTGAGCATCTTAATCAGTATCACGTCCCCCCCCCCCCCTATAAATTTAAAAATATTTATACACACTAATATAGTTAATTCTAACATACATGTAGATATATAGAGATGTCATCTTGGATTCATAAAACATTTGCTCAACCTTTGTTTCAAATTATTTTTCAACTACTTATTCACACTATAGAAACGTTATACATGAATCCCCATCGACTTTTAGAAGTCATTCTGTAATGCTGCATCATTTCAAATTTTCCATCATATCTAAAATATTTTCAAAAATATTTCTATTTCAATGGTGACATGTTAAAGCTACTTCACAACAGCATGGCATAGTACTCTTGAAAACAAGATATAGATATCTAAAATTCAAAGTTTGCATAGTGTCTAGTCTGGATGAAAAGTCATGTTCTTTTGATGTCATTATGTAACAAAGCTATTTAAAATTCAATAATCAATAAATTTGATGAATTCTTGACAGGAAATTCAACAGTTGTGATGGTACCTGATATTAGTTTCTATATTGTACCATTAATCTGTAGATAACTACTGCAATGTTCATAATGTTCTTATCTCAAAACTGATTTTTTTTTTTTTTTTTTTTTTGGTGGTGTTTTTTGTTGTTGTTGTTGTTGTTGTTGTTGTTTTTTTTGGGGGGGGGGGGGGGTTGTGTGTGCGTGTGTGTTGTGTGTGAATGTCTTTTCGTAACACTTGGAAATGCCCATATCACAATGGCTCATGCAAACCCACCTCTCTTAGCGTCTTCATAGAGACTGTAGAGATGACAGAAGATGTCTCTTGGAATCGTCTTCTCGTCCGGTAGACATTCTAGGACGATCACCACCTCGTCCTGCCCGACTGTAGATAGACCCTTAGTGCTAAAACACCAACATGTCCTGTTCACACAGCAGTTCACTGAGGGTACAAAAGCCCAAGAATGGAATTAGTTTCTCAAATGAAGATCCATCCATATTTCACGTTTTACCCAGGGATGCCAGTTAGAATTGATCAGAGGGCCTGAAAATCACCTAGAATGAGCTGTTAAGTACACACAAAAGGCCTTAATTATGGTCTGAAAATAACTCGCCTGAATTCAGGCTACGGTATTGCCTGAAAACTAGCATCCCTATTTACCCCTTCTGTTTCTTATAGGACGACTTGTCCTGTAGAATCGATGTGTTTTTAATACCAATAGCTATCATTTCTCCTTTAATAAAACAGATACCAGTAGGTTACAGTTTTTTAAAGATATTTCCAAGGGAGAGATTTTACAAGAAAAATGCAAGTGGAAATAAAAGTCATTCAATGTATTAAAGTACGCTTTGTGAATGTTCATTTACTGTTTATAAACTTGGTGGCCAAGGAGGGATTAAAAAGCTTTACTTTACATCGTCACAGATATTTGAAATATATGCATCATAAAGTAGTGCAGTACAATAAAGGGATATATTATACCCGAAAATCAAATTAAAAAGTGTTGCTAACTCTCTACATGCATCTTTTAAAGTGATCATTTGTTTTACTCCACAGGGGTGAAAAAAGTTCATTTTGAGAGGTACAGCTCGACGGTCTCATTTGGTCATAAGGTCCAATATTAATATTAGAAAATCCAGAAACAAACTGCACCATTTCTTGAAATAATGATTCAACTTGCAAGAAAATCTCATCTTTAAAGACGCACAGAAGTGGGCTTTCATGAGGATTTCGACACAATTCAGGTGTTTACCCAATTGTCAATCATCAGAATTAGCCTTCAGTCTTATGAATGACAGGCCTTACGTTAGTCTTGTATTTTCCGCCAAGCGCCCCATATGGAAAAGTCATTATCTCACCCGAAGACCCTCTGGAAGACTGGTAAGGGGGGGGGGGGGGATTTCTTGATTGGACTACTGGTTTGCTGTGTGCAAGACTTGTGCACCCATTAATGGCATTTCCACCAAGTCTGGTGTCAGCGAATTATGATCTACTGCACATGGGAACTGACAACCATCACCTTTCAATAGGTCCAATTTACTTACAGTCTACTATCTGGGCCAGGACCATCAGGTTTTTGCTTAGAACGAATACAGCGGGTACAGGGTTGTCACCTGATAAGACAAAAAGAGAGCACAAAATTAAGTCTCAAAATAATACGCTTCTTTATTGTTCACTGAATATGAAATACAATAGAGTACTAAATATCTGTTTATGTCTATAGATACCACTTTTGGTAGATGCAAATTTGTACGTAAAATGACAATACTAATTTGTTCTTATAATGTTGTGCCCAGGTAACAAGTTTGGTATTTTCATTCACCACTCTATGATGTCAATATGATGTGAGATCTACCGCTACATGTGCATTTCTCAGCATGGCAAGCTATATGAAAGTATGGACAGTATTTTTACAGTCCATGCTATGTACGAGGCATGTATCTTTCATATCATGCCAAGAAACACAAGATATAAATGAAATGTGATCAAGCTACCATAAAAGGCTGTATAGACTTATCACTTGAATGAACTTGACATTTTGTCTTTCTTTTTGAGATAACATTGTGTAAATAGCACATTGTTGCAATGGAACCACCTTAGAAAAACATGTTAAAACAATTTAAAATACATCACTAGGGCTAAAATTAAATTGAGAATAATATTAAATCGAAAAATGACTTACTCTTCAAATCATTCAGAATTTTCTCTGTGTTGGGATTGTCATCCACAGAAAACTCTGCAAGTAAAAGAGAGATAGTAGGAAATCGATGGACTAATAAAAAGTCTTCTTCAAACGTGGGCTATTTCATATTTTGAAAGGCACTCAAAATTGCACGGCTTTAATAAAGAACAAGGTTTGCACTGTCTAACATCAGTCACTGTGTAAGTATATATGGGAAACGACAATACATATTAATATACATACATGGTGAAAACATAAGCATGGGACCAAATACACAAAATCAATTTCTTTCAGCATTTGTAATCCAAGCCATCACCAATATATAATTCTGCCATGAGAAATATCCACTATTTAACATTTATATATCATAAGGGCTTATTCTTCCTTCAAATGGTCACAGACAAAATGGCGGCACTAAAGGGATCTAGTTTTACTTACCTCCCTTCACCTCCGTGGTGAGGATGACAGGAGGGAGTCTAGATTCATCCTCCGGTATGAGGCTCTTGTGCCATCCCTGACGTTGCAACCGTCTTCGGTTCCCACCCTGTAACTCGGGGATTCCCCGGATGGACGTGGGGATGTTCTGGGCCGACGAGTCACCGGTGGTTGGTATCGAGATGACCCCACCCCCGGTGGACGGAGGGCTCTCTGTCTCATGGCCGCTAGTGTCCTTACCCGGGGTAGTGCCGTCCGAGAAGTGGACGCTCCTTCTCTCTTTCAGTCTTGAACCTGTAAAAATCGTCACAATGGTGGTGATGATAACAAAACAGGTTATGTTAAAAATAATTCAATATAGAATTACAATATATTTACCTTACACATTTCTTCTCCCTGTTTGGTTAATCGATGTAATAAATATTTGCACATCTTTCAACATTTCTTTTAAATAGTCTCAGAAACTCGTTCCCACCACTATTACCTCAATTCCCTGTCAATCAATCAAACTCATCTACAAGTTTTTTTTTTTTCCAATTACAAAGATCAAAAATTGCAACATACATGTATAAGTATTTTACCATGAATGGTAAGCCTGTCCAATGTCACTATTTTAACGTATATTTTAATGTGACATGAATTTTTACATATTACATAGACATGTGTCAAAATAGACCACACCCCCCCCCCCTCTCTCTCTCTCTCTCTCTTAACTGTTGAATTTTCACAAATTAGACAGACATGTGTCAAAATAGGCCACACCCTCTCTCTCTCTCTCTCTCTTAACTATCAAATGTTCACAACTTCGACAGACATGTGCCAAAATAGGCCAACCCCTATCTCTCTCTCTCTCTCTCTCTCTTAACTATTGAATTTTAACAAATTAGATAGATATGTGTCAAAATAGGCCACACCTCTCTCCCTCTCTTAACTATTGAATTTTAACAAATTAGACAGACATGTGTCAAAATAGACCACCCCCCCCCCCCCCCCTCTCTCTCTCTCTCTCTCTATTTAAGCAGCTGCCTGTATCAAGCGTAAGAGTCATAAGCTGGAGAAAAAAAAATTGAATTCTATTCACCATCCGAGACAGGTCTTCTGAGCACAGACTTGCCCCTCTGGATGGCATTCTCCGGTGTGGATGCAGCAGCAGGTTCTAGGGTCTGTGCTACGGCTTGGTGTGCAGGAGAACCTGCTGGGCTGTTCTCTACGGATGTGTTCCCGCCCTGCCTCCTGACCCTCTCTAGGGCTTCAGCTGAAAGATGAAAATAATAATAATACATTCAAACCTGTCTACAGCGACCGCCCAAGGGAAACACAAAAAGTGGTCTTTGTAGACAGGTGGTCTTTGTAGACATGTTCCTTTAGTACGTGTTTCAATGAGAAACCATTTTCAAGGGAAACAAAAATTGTGATCCTTCTAGACAGGTGGTCACTAAAGCAGGTTTGGCTGTAATAATCTGTTCTTCTATAGCATATATCACATGTATAAAGTCCCTATGCGCTTCTAAAGAGCTATGGAAATGTTTACCCTAGTCAGAACCAGAATTAGAAAACTGTCGAGGGGCATTGGAAAAGTTTGATAGTTTGATATCGAAATCAAGAGGAATCAGAAGTTACTTGTCCAGGGGAGTGTTTCACAAAGACTAAGATCGAATTTAAGTTGGACTTAACTATGGCAGGTCGTTCATGCCACTGTTTGCTCTCACCATTATGATCTTTAGACATTTTTTCCTTCAATAATGAATTATCAAAATGTGTAATTTCTGTAGATTTGTGACCATGATTTGTACGCCCCTTGAGAGACCAATGCCAGTATAAAATGGTGAGAACAAACAGTGGCATGAATGGCCTGCCATAGTTAAGTCCAACTTAAAGTCGATCTTAGTCTTTGTTAAACACTCCCCTGGTATCTGTATCTTCACGGCTAGTTCAGATATGACGCGGCACAACCGTGACGTAGAGGTGTCGTGGTCGAGTGGATAAGTCACCGGACTGTGGATCACAAGGTCCGCGGTTCAAGTCCCGCCGCGGCACTAATGTCCTTTGGCAAGACATTGATCTACATTTGCCACTCTCCACCCAGGTGTTAAAATGGGTACCCGGTAGGATGCGAAAGCTAATGTGGTTTGATTAGCAAGTGGCGCTTGTAAAATGGCGACTGGCTGGAATGCTCCCCAGGGAGTGGAGAATGTGCATACCTTGTGTGTGGGTAAGCCTGAATCCGATGACCGGGGTAATAATATGTTCCGCGCCTAGAAACGTAGTATTAGGCGCGTTATAAATGTGAGCTATTATTATTACACGTAAAGCGTTATACGCTTCACATCTCTGAATGTTATAACAGAGCTCAGTGAATACACATGAGCCCTTTGTTGTGCGCAGTTACCATACATTTACGCATAAAAAAAACAGTTTTTTTTTTTGCAGCGGTTCACCGCACCAGGGGGGTGTTTCACAAAGATCCTAAGTCGAACCCATCTCTAAGTTGGACTTAAAAGTTATGGAAAGCCATTAGCATCCTTGAAAATATTTTGTAAAAGTTATTTTAATAGGCATAAAATGTTGATTCAAATCATCCGTATTTTCTATTATCATGGGAGATTTCATGTTCTTGATGTGGAATTTATGGAAAGGCTAAAGTACTTGATTTTTCGCATTTGAATATATTTTATTTTAAGGCTACAAATGGCTCTCCATAACTTTTAAGTTCAACTTAGAGTTAAGTTCGACTTAAAATCTTTGTGAAACACCCCCCATATCTGAACAAGCCTTAACCTGGACAATTCCTTTCAAAGAATGGACTACCTAATACAGGACTGTTTAAATTCAAGAGAAAAGTTCTGTGACACAAGTATGAATCTTTGAACACAAAGATAAATAATAAAATAATAAAAGTGGCTACTTCTATAGCGCACAGCTTCAATACCAGGATAGCTTCAATACCGGTGGTCATTATCTTACATTATTATTTGAGTCGCAAACCTTGGTGGCAGCAGTTGCCTTATTCATCTTTTGGCAGTTTTTTTTAGAGTAAATTACACAAAATTCAAATGAAAACAATAATCAGAGGTTATTTTTGTTACCACCCAGGCAATTAAGACAGGGTGTTTTTCAAGCCCTCATGATATACATGTATACATTACATACTGTATATGTATGGCTCAGATATGATTAACATTCCTCAACTTTTAGAGAGAGATAGAGAGAGAGGGAGGGAGGGAGTGAGAAAGTGAGAGAGAGAGAGTGAGAGTGAGAGAGAGAGAGAGTGAGAGAGAGAGAGTGAGAGTGAGAGAAAGAGAGAGATAGACAAACCTGTGAGTATAGCATTGAGACATGCCACGCAGACCCTGGCTTCCTTGCTATCCATGTACCTCAGTCTTACACGAACATTGCAACACCTGGAGCAAAACACCTGTGCAAAAAAATTCAAGCGGAAAATGATGACTGTTTTACAATCCTTCCACATCGCAGAGTTTTGATGTATGCATGACATATAACAGATGTGGAATGCCAAAAGGGGTTAAGGGGGAATTCTATTGCAATATATTATTCTCATGGCTAACTAGATATTTTGCATTCCTATGTCCGAAAAAAATATATTTCTCCTGAAGAAATCAGCTTTTATGAGGGTCGCAGAAAATATGTTTGATTTACAAATGAAGGAAGGTGGAGAGGTAAATTTTAAGAAACCGATTCAGAAATTCATAAGAGGCGACAACTTTGTAGACCTAAACTGTTAATTACATACAGAGGGTATTTGCCGCGTAATATCTGAATGAGCTTTAATTGTTCATCCTCTCATTACAAAACTAAAGGACTAAAATAATCCTTGCCAAAATCTGCTACATGCGGCCTTCTACAACGCACAAAATGAACAAGTGGGTTTATTTTAGTGTCCTTCAATCAAGATCCATGATTCAAACAAGAAATACACAATGAAAAAAATAACGCGATCACGAGAACAGGACGTACGTACATGTATGGACGGACGGACAACCCGAAAAAATAAAATGAAATACTGTACCTTCCCACATGCTCTGCAATGATGTCTTCTTTTCCTGAAGGTGAATTTCAGGTCACAACCCATGCAGGAAGGCGCGTCTGAGTCTGGGATCCAGATGGGTGCAACATCGCCTGGCACAGCTTCGCCATCTCCTGAAGCTTGTACTGGTAACATGTGTTGAGCATTCAAAGCATTGTTCTGAGCCGTCATAGGGTCCAATCCCTCAGACACAGCAAACTCCCCGTTCTCAACAACACTGGGATCACCAGCCATGTTCCCATTGGGCGAAGGCATTGTCCCATTTTGGCTTTGATCAACCGGAAGAACCATGCCCGGCGTCAGGGAGACATTGGGCGGAGCCACGAAGTGGGGGTTACGAGATTGATCAATTTCGTTCATGCCATCTGCGTGCTCACTAGCATATCCATTCATTTGTTCTGATCCTCCCATGCCAAAGTCAAGGGTTAGACCCTGACGGGAAACATTCCGCTCTGTGTGCGTTGCTTGTTCGACCTGCTGGTAAGATGGAGGGTCGGGCGGTAAATTATGCAACGACTCCTCAAGGTTTGCTTCAACACCCATCTCTGGAGACATTGAAGGTGGAACCGGTTGAGCCGTTGAGAGTTCGGGAGGAGCCCCAGCTGGAACTGTAAAATTTTGTATTGGGGCAAGATCCTGAAGCCTGCTGTTTGCACTGACTTGATGGCCAAAGTCTGCATGATTGTTCATAGGGCTTGATTGGTGAGATGTGTTCCGTTGCCTTTGATGCTCTTTGTCACCGGGAGCAAGATCTTGCTGCCCAATTTGGTGGCTGGTAGTATTGCTCATCAAAGTGTCAGGGTTAACTTGGTGTCTTCCATTCACCATCTTTGGCAGTAGAGAATCATTGAGGTTGTTTTCAGATTCTGTGGTTATTCCGAAACCAAGGGTGCTCATAGCTGGATGGACGCTTGAAGCAGGGCTAGGGTCACCAGAAGGATGCCCACCAGTAGAATCTGGTAACTGCTGGTTAGTTTGCATAGATGGACTAAAAGTGTTGGACAAACCAGCAGGCACAACCTCCTCTTCTGTTGAAGATTCAAACTGAGGTTTGCCTCCATAAAAAGGGTCCACGTTGGCTAGCTCATTGTCATTTCCTTTAGAGTTGTTCACATCCAACCTATATTGTTGATCAAGAATCTTAGACAAAGGGCTGATTCTGTCATCGGCATTGTCCTGATCATCTGGAATGCTCAAGAAATTGCTGTGAGGTGTAATGCTCAAGTTCTGTGGTGCTGAACTGTCATTGTGCAGTGTTGTCTTTGTGTTTGATACAGGGCCACTTAGTTTGGGAGGTACCGTGGCAGTGCTTGGAGGTGCACCGTTAGAATTCAGTGGTATCGTACCTGGAGCTGTAGGTAATACACTGCTTTCCATGTTGCTTCTACCCTTGTTCACCATATGATCTTGCCCTGTCAAAATGTAAGGTGACTGATCGTCCATTCCTAGCACGGGAACATCCTGCTGTGGTGGACCTAAATTGGGGAGTGTTCCATCCCTCCGTAAAACATCGCTTCCAGACACATCGTATGCCAGTGGCTTTGAATCAAGATCCTCTAACTCATCAAGTTCCGACTGAGAAACTGTCACGTTGGATAGAGTACTAAATCCAACAACTGGTGGTGTCTCAGTGACTCTAACCACATTCGATGGTGGTTCCTCCTTTGCCTGATCCTTGTCGCTTGTGTTCTTTAGAGGGCTCTGTTCTGGGGTCTTGTAACCCAACTGCTTGGGCCTTGCACCCTGTCTCATGTACTCCTGCATGGTCTCTGAATCCACTGGCGGAGTGCTGGAGCTAGAGGTATAACTGCTTGGAGAACCCTTCTCCAAAGTGTTGTCTTTGTTCGCTTCTGCAGAATCCACTTCTGTTGTCATCCGCTCTACAGGTTTTTGAATACCACTGCTCTCAAGTGAGTCACGCTCTTCAAGAGATTGCTTTTCATCTTCATACTGAAGTGTTCTACTGTTTGGAAGTTCATCCATTGAGTTTTGCTCTATTCCATTTGTTGTACCAGAATAGTCATCATGCTGTTCACTCTTGTCTCCAAAGCTAATTGGAGTAGACTTAACTGATGTGTCAGACACGATTCCTGAAGTCTCTGAGTTGCCCTTTGATAATGCCATTTGTGAAAAACTGGACACTGAACTTTGATCAAAATTGCTGTCCATTTTTAATGCATTTTGCTCATTCAAATGCAAGTTCAAATTTTGTTGTTGCGATTCAACAGGTTGTTCTGTAGGCGGTGAGGAGTCTATCTTGTCCAAATCACCTATCGACATTGATCTAGTGGAGTTACTAGACATGTACGTTGTGAAATCTTGCCGATCCAGCTGGGAGTTACTGTCTGAATACATGACCTCGCTACCGCTTTCACCGTTTTCATCAGAGGCGATTTGTTTCGATGGTTCTGCTTCCTTCTCGGCAGCCAAGCTCTCCTGAAGGGCCGAGAGTAGAGAAGATGGCTTGGCGGATGGTGCAAAGTCTGCCTCAGACAAATCGATCAGAAGATCGCTCCCAGAATTGCTGGACGCTGCATCCGACTGTGACCGTTGATCACCATCCACAGCACCGTTGGTCAGCCCCCCTCGCTGTACGTCCTCTACGGAGAGGCCATTGGTGTGCGGTGTGGGGTGGGCCAGGTTAAAGTCAGGCTTGCCAGGGCTCGACATGGTGGAGGCTTGGGAGCCCGACCCTTGAAGGTATGATGGAATGGCTTTCCAGTTGGCGTGCTGGACACCAGGTGCCAAGGATTCTGAAGATGGAGAGAAAGAGAGAGGGAGAGAGAGAGAGATATTATTAAATGTCTTGTTTTTGATCATTTTTATATTTTCAAAATATATTGTATCTGTGCATAGTTCATGTACATGCACAAACATAGATATTTTGTAGTACATTAAAGATACAGGTGAGTTCTGGTAATGCAATTGCATTGTGAAAGAAAAGGTGTGGAATGGATCAGAAAAAGTGGATCATGTAGCAAGGTTCTGAAGTCATCAAAATCATAATAAATTTGGCCCAGTCTTGGTAAAGTAACAAGCACTGTACACAGAAAGATGTATATGGGACTACACAAATGGTGTCGGGCTAGTACTACCTGATTTTCTTATCTTTCTATGGTCATTTCTCAGCCAGTATACATTTTCTTCCAAAATTGTTTGGCACATGTAATCTTGAACATTCAGTGTACCGGTAAGTTTCGTTTGATTTTGTGAGAATTCAATTCTTTTGTTAAACCAGAACTCAAGTTTATCTTTAAGAAGCAAATAGAGGTTTAGCTGATTGTACAATACATGTATGTACATGTAACCTTTATACATACTGGTATGCAGTGTGTACATGTACATGTACATATACATGACCGATTTAAAGAACCAATGCATACATTTAATACGCTGTATGGGTATTTGGTACACATAAAAATTCAAAAATAAAAACCAAGTACCGGTATATATCCAAGATCAAAGTCTCTCTACAACGTTCCCCACTGTGCGACACTCAAGATGACAGTTGCAAGTACTCAAAACTGTTACAGGCATTAAACCTTCTGGAACGTACAATTGTTACGATTGGCATTTTGTAGGAGTTACTGATGTTATGGAAGAGTCCTCGTTCATTTATACAGTACAATGTACGTCACAGTAACTTTACAACGAAAAAAGAAAGAAGCCAATTTGAAATATACAGTGACCATACACATCACTCTTCCCTTTTAATACTGTTCAATGATATATTTTCAAACTTTTAGCAATCTCTTTTTCTATGAGTATTTAATATCATATAATGTACATGTATTGCACAATTAAATTTTATAATTAATACATGTTTACAATATAAATGATACTGCTGAATGCACACTCTCTAAAATGTATGGGTTACACCCAAACTTCTTGTTTTGCCACTTCAATAGATATTTACACTCATATAATCCTACACTCCCTCATTTCATTTCTTTAAATTGTGGAATTTCATGGAAGTTTCCACGTCAGCTCTATGATTTCAAGGTCTTCCATTCTCCAATGACAAAAGTCAAGTTCAACTATCATACACATAGGAAAATCCTAGGTAGAATATCCATTTGTTTTACAGTATCACTTTTTTGTCAAGGTGCTCAAAACACGATGCCGAAATATTGGCCCCATTCCGGCCTTTCCTGAGTCTGCATGTATCCTGATGATCCCTTCCTAATCCATTACTGCAGACATGTCTGAGAGAGAGTGGGGCCAATTATGATCCAATTAAATGGCAATCATGTCATACTTGTCATTCTATCTACACCTACACTTGACAACCATGGCCAGAGCAAAGACTTAATTCTGGCCAGACTCGGTCACAATGTCCTTACAGCCTACAAAGGAGAGGGGGCAGGAGAGGGTGAGAATTAACTCTGGCAGAGACGCAACCAGATTTTTTTATTTCATGCAAAGGGGGGCAATAAACTTTCTAAACAATAAATTGACAAAGCAACCCAAACTGTAAAATCATGATAGCTGTTGTCAATATATCATTTTGTGCAAGCTGGATACAGATTTCCTCGGACTCCCAGGATGCCTACTGTGTGTTCAAGTTTTGTTTAATAAATCATATTTGCACATACCGTACATACTGTACATGTAGACTAGTAGGACAAAAGCACACTTTAAGTGGAGCTACATGTACAGTATACATCTGAATCATACCGTAATTAACGGTGTATTAACCGCACTATTTTGCCGCCGAAAAAACGTCACAGTTTCGATTGATGCCCCTTCACCTGGCACTATGCCTGGCAATGTCTCCCAGCTCAGTAATCGGTGTGTTGACTCACCACTCAGAAACTAGAACAACACTCAAATTTGTCTGTCATCTTGGTTTGACAGTAATCTTTCTGATAGATTTCAATATGTAGTTGATAAAAATAATTCCCCCAATTTTTCTTCTATTACACGGCGTACCACAAGGTTCTATCCTAGGTCCTCTACTGTTTTTTAAGTCGGCAAAAAAAAGTGCAAAAAAAAAAAATCTGCAAAAAAGAGGGGTGCGGTTAATACACGAGGGCGGTTTATACAACGTTAATTACGGTACACAAAAATTGAGACACTCGTTCAATGTTAAAAAAACCTCACCAATATCGCTCTTTCAGGGAACAGCCAACATGCATGTCGTGAGATCTAGACTAATGTAAAAAACATGTGTACTAATTAACAATACTTGAAAGAAATTGAGATACATTAATCTCCTACACATTCCATGTACAGGTATGCATTCATGCAGAGACTAGCTGTCAACAGATTTGAGCAGATTGATGCAAATGGACCGTAAAATGGATCTGTACTGCAAATTCTGTCTCGTTCATTGTGTGTACCGTGCCTGTACATTGTACATGTACACTGTAAATGTACATTTGCTATGCATTGAATTTTCTAAACTAAATATTCATGTAAAAATCTGGATTTACTAATTAAGGCCCAAGTCTTGTTCAAAACTTGGAAAAGTAAATCATTTTAACCAATTTATATGCTGATTATATATATCATCGCTCAAGTTTTTCAATGGCCTGTGTTTTCATCAGGAGAAAATAGTGTAATATAATTATAAGTTGCACAAGACAGGCATGCATGGGGCATCAGAAATTTCAGCAAAAATTTACATTTGTTGCTGATTTGTTAATCCAATGCCCCAATTGCCTCAAATGCATTTAATCTTCTCAGTAAATGACCTTTCTTTTATAGTTACACGTATTTAACTATTAAACACAGCATGATACAGCTGCATACAATGCACAAGGTCATTCACTGCCATCATAATAATATGATCAGCTGATTGCATGTCTACTCAGGTTAATATACTACAGACGTTCCAGTTGTCATACACATATAGTGGCCACAACAGCCTATTAGAGCCTACATTACCCAGATATGTACAGCACACAACGTTCCACTGTAAAGTACAGCTTGCCTAGTATACCCAGCCGTACATAAGAGAGAAAGAGAGTGATTGAGAGGGAGTCATATTAACAGCAAAGTGAATCAACGGCCATCTGTGTACTGAGCCTAATGCCGTCCAATGACTCATGCTAGCTTTTCACAGTAGGACAGACTAGACTGAGTTGTTTATTATTCCTACAGACCTTTTAAGGTACTTACCCGAAACTGCTTTAAGAAAATCACTCTTTTGTGAAGAAAAGAAAGATGGATATACATGTAAGTCGTAATAATGGTACAGAATGATACAGGACTGCATGAATATACATGCATTGTGTACAATTGTTTTTTTGTATAAATACATATAGCGTAAAATCCATTAAGAGTTGCTCCATGCGCTTTATATAAGAAATTAGTGACACACAGACAACAACAACAACATAAATTAAGAGAGAGATATAAAATAAACATTTAGTTAATGAAGAGGTATAATACCGGTAGGCCTACTATATCTCTTTACAATAATACTAATGTTGTAATATTATTATAATTTTATGAATTGCAAACTGTACTTAAACATTGTTTTTTAATATTATTTTTTTAAATAACAACAAAAAAACGAGTTTTTTTTGTTTATAATACACTGTACTTTGCAGTTTTGTTCAGTTGTACAAGTAAGTTTATTGAAAATAATTCTTCACATTCTCATGACACCTACATGTACATAGCTGCCTACATTGGCACACATGTACTCTACATGTAGGCCACAAAACTCAAAATAAATCAAGCATCACATTATCGCACCTCACGAACACTACCTACATGTAGCTCCAATCTATGCATTACTCTCATAGCCTACATGTAGATGCATAACAGTAAAAGTCATGGTGAAATAAAAAAAATACATTAAAGCTTAAGACCAGTTATGGTCATGCGATTGCATTGTGAAAGAAATGGTGTGAAATCGATCAAAAAAGGTTGATCATCTAGCATATAAGTATTGGTGTGTAGTGCAAGGTTCTGGAATCATCAAAATGATAAGAAATTTGGCCAAGTCTTCATAAAGTTAGAAGCACTGTACACAGAAAGATGTATATGGGACTACACACACATGCGCGACACGTGCATTTCATATCTCTCAACAAGCAAGAGATACACTAATTTACCAAATATATCAATTAGTAGGCGGTTTCCCATCAAAATTTTTATCATCATGTACATGTACATGTAATATTCAAAACATATTCTTTCACATGATTGGTAATAAGAGCTTCCATTTCTTTTTTTGAAATTGGGGCGATTCCAATTAATACTGGTCTTTACCTTTAAAAGTTATGATACTGTTTGCAGCTTAGTACACCAACACAACTAAAGATGATTGAATCAGGGAGGTCCCTCGATCCCACCTCCCTGCATGATTGAATGTAAACACAGATCTATACAGTAATAGAGGCTTGCATGTAACATCCTGCTGCACAGTTTGAAGTCCATCCAATGCATTCTAATGTATTACATACATGTACAGGTGTACAGTATTTTATGCTACGACTCTGCAACATAATTCATGGTGTGTACGTCGAAATACATGCTCATTCATCCTACCTAGCTGCACTACATATTAAGTCATAATGAAACTACACTTTCTCACACAACCTACCTGTACAGTATCTTCACCTCCAGTCACTAATGGTTCGCTCCAGCCTAATATGAACCCATCTTACAGTAAAATCCAGTCTAGTGGGATATTAATTATGCGTGCATGTCTCCGCTTAAGCTCGGGGGACGGCAAAATGTGCCAGATGCACACAAGATGAACGAATGTTATGATCCTGACTTCATTGAGATTAAGGGCTCCATTTCTTGAGATGGGGGAGTGGAGAATGGCACGATCATACAAATTCTCAATCAAGCTTCCACTCAAACTCGAAGTCTATCAAATCTGCACTGTACACAGTATATCCAGTATGTATAGAGAGTGCATCCTACAGTGTACACTGAATTCACTGTAAATTTCATTAATAAATCATAATCCTTTGGTTAAATGCACAAAAATGGTGCTTCGAAGATGCGTAGCACTGATCAACAAAGACAGCAGGAAGTCTACAATAATTTAGAGCATTGTCAAAGACTTGCCAAGAACCTTTCCCTTGCTTTCAATCACAGGAAATACATTGTTTGGCCACAGAACAAACTTTGTGTCTAATATAGCCGGCCCTCCCTGATTCATGCGGAGAAGAACTGTCCTGTAACTGAATCCTACACTCCATTATTATTTGGTCTCGACCTCTGCCTAAACTCAACAAAGCCTGACCGAGTTTGATGGGTTTATCACAATAAAAACTTTCCCGTTCTGCCTACGAGAGTCAATGAATTTATTTCTGCACAATACTGGGTGTTTTTTTCCTTCAAACTGACAGGACTTTCCTGTCAATAATGAAGGCTTGTATTCCAAAGAGATTGCCTTTTCCCTAGCTACCCCAGATTCTAAAGAAGAGGTTTGTAGTTTAAGTGACGAGCACTGTGCCTGGGTGTACATGTCATGCATCCCTAGATTCAACAGGAACTCAGGAAATTGAAAGAGGAATTTGACTTGACGGGTACTACAAACACAGCCCTAGCTTGAAATCTCTTGTACAACAAATTGATGCATGACAAGCGACAAACATGATTAATATCTGTGCATATTGTGTTTTCTTATAGAATCTATTACTCCGGTAAATGTTTCAACACTCATCAAATCCTTTTTTCTTCTTCATCCTCAGTCATTCAGTTCAAATTATTAAAAATGTGACTGCCTCTCCAATATCCTGGTTTAAATCATTCTTGGAATATCACGATGAGAACATATTCTTACATGTACTTACTGTACATGTATGTCAATTGATCTTTATGACTTTTGACCCAAAGTTCAGAACTTGTCCCCCTAAAGTGATGCATACTAGCTACAGAGTTCAAGTTCACAGATAAAATTACGGTAGCTAAAAGTAGTCATTGATTTGGTCAATTAGCAAGGTTATAAAATCTTTAATTTAAAGTAACTTGACTTGCTGATTTTTGAAAATTATCCTACAGTGTACTGTACATGTACTTTCCTTCAAATATAATCAGATTGTCTTCCTACGATGATATACGGTATACCGTAATTAACGGTGTATAAACCGCCCTCGTGTATTAACCACACCCCTCTTTTTCGCCCTAAAAAAAAAAGAAAAAAAGAAAGCCAGGTCCGTGAGTCAATACACCGATTACTGAGCTGGGAGACATTGCCAGGCATAGCGCCAGGTGGAGGGGCATAAATCAAAACTTTTTTTTTTTTGTGTGTGTACCGTGTATCAGACGCACCCCCCGACTTTGAATTTTTTTCGGCGGCAAAAAAGTGTGGTTAATACAACGTTAATTACGGTACACCAAGATTGAAGTTCATGTAATGTACCTCAAGTGGTTCTTTACACATTGCCATCAAAGTCTACAACCTGATTCTTCATAAATTGACCTCTATGACCTTTGACTTACTGTACTAACCCCAAAATATAATCAGATTGTGTTTCTATAATGAAACACATACATTCTATCACCAGGTTTGAAGCTAGCTCAATACCTCTGTTGGTAATGAGGCTAATGCTTGAATTTGACCTCTATGACCTCTGAAAAATATTCACTGGATTTGCTCCAAAATAACAAAGCATCAATCTGTAAATTATCTTTGCTATTAAATGTGAACAATCAAGCCTTAGGAAATAAATGTAGCACTGTGAGTGATTAATACTACAGGGGATTATCAAAATGTAATCCAAAATGTACGCCTATGGGCTTTAGTTCCTTATCTGTATCGATCATACATGTACTCGCTCTTCCTTTTGCAATCCTGTCCTTCATTCCCAAGGGCGTAGCCAGGATTTCATTTTAGGGGGGGCGGTAGTGAGCACGCGAAGCGTGCGAATCACTTTAAGGGCGCGCGAAGCGCGCTCCCTAGGGGGGTGGGTGCAGGGAGGGGGGAGTTTCCCCCTTTGAAAGAAGCTTTGAAAGAAGACGATTCGTTGTACCTTTCTCGACTCGTAATCCTTGTCTGAATTCAGTCCCTCCCCCCTCTTGCGCGAAGCTTTGACGTTTCATTATATTACTAGAGAAAGGAGACGATTCGTTGTACCTTACCCGACTCTTAATCCCTGTCTGGATTCTGTTCCCCCCCCCCCCCCCTCTCTCGCGCTTTGAAGCTTTGACGTTTCATTAAATTATTAGAGAAAGAAGGCGATTCGTTGTACCTTTCCCGACTCTTAATCCTTAATTTAAACTCAGTCTCCCCCCTTCCCGCGCGAAGCGCGGAAGCTTTGACGATTCGTTGTCCGTTGTACGATTCGTTGTACGTTCTCGACTCTTTTTCCCTCTTTCTTCCTACGTCCTCTTTCTTTTTTTTCTTCTCTTTCTTTCTCTTTTTTTTTTTGGCCGGCGTTTTGGGGGGGGGGCGACCGCCCCCACCGCCCCCCCCTGGCTACGCGCCTGTTCATTCCATAGTAGAATTGAACTTTGCACCTTTTTTGGGGGGGGGGGATGTGAAGCAAATTTAGAATCAGGTCTAGAAAACTGTCAATGCACAAACAGGATATCCCGACGTGGCTGATATATTATACTTAATTGCCATCAAAGTTGAACATTGACCACTCATTTCCAGGGAATATCAAATTTTGTATTGTAAAATGATGTGCATTTCCATGTACATGTAGAAATCAGTTTTGTTCTTGATTGAACAACACCATTCAAGAAAGGGGAATCCAAGCGTTGTAATAATTTTTCATTCGCATAAAGAAGGAAAAAAACAAGAGAAAGAGAAAATTGAGAAACCGTATGGCTAAAGTTTGAAATACCGGTAAATTGGACCAATTAATAAGAAAGATTATGAGACAGAGTGTTTGAAAAATGAGATCATGGCACGTGGGAAATATTGTACAAGATTACAAAACGCTAGTACATGTACATGTATGTGATGTCACTGTCAAAAAAATTCCTGCATATTGGACTAGTGTACTTGAGACCCAGAGTTCAGTATGTACATTACATTGTTTACATTGTGTAAGGTACAATATGTAGATCATCTGTCATGACTAAGAATCATTGCCAAATATTGTCATATCTTTTTATAGTTGTAGAATGCCTTTCATCAGGCCAAAGACAGTAAAAACATACATGTACATGTATGTGTAATTTACTGTAAAAGTAAACACATGAAGAGGCTTTTAACAGTAAGAATATATGACTTGCTACTTTATGCACTGTAAGCTCTTCATGTGCATGTACATGTGTATAAGTAGTATGTACAGTACATTATAATAGTGTATGTCGGCACCATGTTATGACTAATTTGAACTGTACAGTACATGAACAGGGTACAATAGAGAAACATACACACTTCACAGTTTATATAGGATTACTATTGTGGCACAGCCAATCCTCTGTACAGACTTGCATGCATGGCCCTCGCGTACACAGATAACGTGTGGCGCGCGCGCCACGCGTTAAAAAAAAATTTTTTTTTTTTTTTTTTTTTTTTTTTTTGAAAAATCAGAAAATTCCAGATTTTCTGGTCCTAGAAATCCCCCCAAAACAGAATATTCTGAATTATTCGTAATGGTTGGCAGGTATGGTATTAAAAATTCATCAAATTACTTGTAATACTTGTAAAAAATAAATTTGGGGGGGGGGGTCAAATTTTCCCTCGGGTCGCGCCACGCGTTTTTAATTTCTTGGCGAGAGGCCTGCTTGCATGGTACATTGAAATTTACAATGTCAATCAGCTGGGCAAACCAAAATACAGGCTTAGATCTGAATGCTCTCATACCTTCCAAATGTCACTTTTGGGAGAAATATTTCTGTTGCTTTCCACACCATTTTGTCCATATGTTGGTTCATTATTTCTCTTTACATTACTTGTGAAATAACTTTTGATATTTTTTACTCGCACGTCACTGTTTTACTGTATAAAGAAATTATACACCCTTTTGTTGTCTGCACCTGCACCTGCTGTCACAACACATCCCATCCCAGTATAGCTTGGAAAAGCTGCTTCAGGGATTACTTCATCAAGTATCAAGATAACCATTGTTTTCTTTAACCACAAAAACACAATATTGAATTTGTAATGTTGTTTTAACATATAATACTCTACACTACGATTAAAAACTACAATGTATCTGTATATTGTAGGGTAAACCACTGGTACAGGGAGTACTAGATGTACATGTACATGTAAAAGTATACAGTGTACATGTACATGTATGTATGTATGAACATACAACACATGCATCCATTTGCATCCTTAGAATTACATTAACAATATGTTGGCAAAATTATGCCAAATGTTCAGAATAGGTCTGTTTACATTGCAGAAAAATCCATTACATTTTTAATTTTTTATTCAACAACCATTTACACTAATGGTAAAACCCATTAAAAAAACATCAGTGTTTGATAATTCTGTGTTATCACTGTTCTGCATGCGATCGCATGGAAGTAAAGAGAATCCCATGACCCTAAAAAACAGAATCGTTCACCCATGTTTTGAGAGTGGGCATTTACACTGCAAAAATCAGTTGAGTTTTGGCGGGCGTCAATTTGTTTTTTAACACTCCAGAGGTGGGGTTTTCGATTCAGGTTTTTTTGTCGTGTTTAAGGGTAGTTGCCTGGCAACTTCAGACAAAACTCTCTGATGTGAGAAAAAACGTATCCGGACACTTAATCCCTGAACAACCCCCCCCCCCCCCCCCCCCGGATAAACACCCCCAGTCAACTACCCCCTAGGACAACTACCCCCTAGGGCAACCACCCTCTAGGACGACTACCCCCCGGGACAACTCTTCCCCATACAACTAGCCCCTAGGATAGTTGTACAGGGGGTGAAGGGGGTAGTTGTCTGGGGGGGGGGGGTGGATGTCCTTGGGGTATGTGTCCTAGAACCGAGAAAAAACATTGTTTTTTGCTTGCAGTGTAAGTGCCCCTCATGGTATAGCATGGTACAGAGTGATTGAGATTACTACCCCCCGGAGAACTACTCCCCAGACAACTACACCCTAGGATAGTTGTACAGGGGGTAGTTGTCCTAGAGGATGATTGTCGTAGGCGGTAGTTGTCTGGGGGGGGGGGTAGTCGTCCTAGGGGGCAGATGACCTACGGGTAGTTGTCCTAGGGGGGGGGGGGGTAGTTGTCCGGGGGTGGATGTCCTGGGGGTATGTGTCCTGTATGTTTGCAGTGTAAATGCCCCTCATGGTACAGCATGGTACAGAGTGATTGGGATTACCTACCTTTCTCAATCCTTTTTGTTCCATTTGTTTTTATGTGGACTTTGATATAAGATCAATCATCAAAGTTCACCCACATAATATTTTGTATTGTCAATACTAAAACAAGTTCATTGTACCGGTACAAGCCTTAGCCTTGCACTGAATTTGTACTAAAGCATGTAATGTTTGTACAAGAAACAAATACTATATACAACTGTATTATATACACAATGTATATCACAATAAATTTACTTTACCTGATTATGAAAAGACGAATATCATACTTTTTGAAGAATGTTCTCAAATTTCAAATTTTGATACAGTTTGGCCTAATGGCATATCATCTGTTCAGAGCCAAAGGGGCAATTTATTCTGCATTATATGAATTGATTATAAAATCTCCTCCCTACCCACTGAGTTCATACAATTTTTCTTTACAAGAAATCTGGGCAGCGTTTCATGAAATAAACATCTCATATGAGTACAAATTTGCAGACATCCTATTAAAACATTAATTTTGATACACACATTTCAATTGGATGTCTGCAAAGTTGTACTTGTAAAGGTTTTATGAAATGCTGCTCTGGGGTTTATGGCACTTCAAAGATGGATGATTACTCTCACCTTCATTTTGCTCAAACTCGTCCAAGACCCGATCCAGGTCATTGGCCGCAGCCAGAAAGGAGTCCATCTTGATAAACCCCTCCTACCCACAATTCCCTGTGTGTCAGAGGTCGTAGAAGCGACCCTCAGGCTACCCCTGAGCTGGACAGACCGTCAGATAGCCACATGCAAGATTACAGGGGGAGGGGTGCAGACAAGCAGGCAGATAGGTAGGCAGACGCGATGACAGAACAGGCAGCAAAGCGACACAGATAGATGCCATAGGTGGTAGGGGATGGGTTTTAAGACGGCAGCCAAGTAGTGCTAGTACGCCACCATAAAAAGCTGATGAAACAGAAATGAAACAAAAAGAAAAGATTTTTTCGTTTTTACTACGTTTGAAAAATAAAGCTGCATGCTCAAGAAGAAGCCATACATGTACATTGTATATAAAAGAATTGGTGATGAAATCACGTCTACTCTGTAACAATATCCATTTCACTCCACCTCCACCTTATGTTGTAAAACTAATAAAAATGAGGGAAAAACAGAAATAATAATAAGCAATAAAACATAAAAAGGAATTCATGAAGCATAAAATTGTTTTAGCTACACGTCCACATGCATTGATTATGTCAATACATACATGTACTTGTACATAAAGCTAAATCAAGGCTCCACACTAACTTTTTTTGGAAAGGGTTTGGATTTAACTCTTTACAATCTGTATGCATTAGCCCTGGGGGGGGGGGGGGGGGGTTCTGGACTTAGAATTTTGAGCCCTGCCTAAATATGGGCATTTCTGAATCATTCTGGACCACACACAAACATTTGTTGGTATCATACATTAAATTTCAATTAACAATACAGTAAAATTAAAAACTCATTTGCAGAAGTATTGAAAGTGATTAATGTTTAGTGTACTGGTAAGTTTCATTTTGGTGCAAGAGAATAGATTAATATCAATTCACTAAATTTCCATTTTTTGTAATTTGTGAAAGTTACTTAAAAAACGAAAGTATTACTGAACACTACACAACTGTAGACAGCAGTGTTTTTCAACCTTTTCGTAGTCACGGTACCCTTTTAAGGAATAACAAGTTTTGCTTCAATCCTTCAACCAGATTCAAAATTCTTCACATGAATTTTGCATCACTCTGGCACTAGTCACACTGTCACACCAGGGGGTCGTTTCATGAAACCAACTCTATGACAGTCTATCTTTGTCCACTACCTACAGAGATGTCAGGAAACCAGTCAGTTTCACAAATAGCATCAAATTCATGATCTTGATACTATGGGCTAAACAATATGTAATCTTTGTCAAATTGTCAGTCCATGACATTTTAGCCTGAATTATCAAAGGAGATTATGAGGCCTTATCTCTAACTGTTTGAAAAAGTAAAAATCTAAGAGAGCAGTTCTATAGCACAATTAATACTTGACATTCCATTTGCGTTATTAATGACATCTACACAATTATAAGCAATGTTGAAACTCAAGGTTGCTTTTCATTTCATTTCATTTATTTCATTTATTGAAGAGAGAATCAAAATTTGCAAGTAAGAGGATACCATAACTCACATTCAATCGAAAGAAAACCCCAATTCTATTTCTAGTGAAGAAAATAATGAAAACAAAGGGGGTATGCTTGAAAATGGAAAATGTCTAGAGAATACCTACATACAAGGAGGATGTTGTCATTCTTATACACTGTACATGTACGTCTGTAATTTAACAGACCGTTTGATCTTTGCCGAAATTTTCTATAGTAGACCATTGCAGGTAAAAACACTATTTATCCTTTTTTACTCGTTAATGCATGAATCATTGAAATTTCTTAAGAACAGTTTGTCAGCTTGCACAATACTTTTACACCGATAAGAACTGATGAGTGAAAAGAGCTTGAAAATCAAGAAGAATTTTTTTTCCTTTTTTAACGCTGCCCATAGCAGCATAGCTAGACAAACTTAGTTTAACTTTAAGTTTACTTGAGATGTGACAGTTTGGAGTCGCGATAAGCCTCTTGTAAAGGAAGTTGTCGCTCGTCTTGTGAAACACTGCACTGATGAGTGGACGAGTCGAGCGACAGCATCAAGAAAAGACTCAATGTCGTTGATCTTGTACAAGACTTAATGACGGTCTCAAGAAACGACCCACAGGTAAACATGGAGTATGGGCACCATGTTCCAAAATACGAATGACATTTTTTATATGATAGACTATTACTTAGTCTATTAAAGTATTGTTAGATCTTCTAGATCTATTACCGGTAACGTTATTTCATCATAAAAACATGATGAAAACAAAAATCAGTTTCGGTCACCTACAGTCATATAAAAATATGATGAGGATTGAATGCGGATATTCGGGCATCTTGTTACTCACAAATTCTGGTAAAAATTGTTCCCCCCCCCCCCCCCCCCCCCCCCCCCCGTGCGTGGGTGGCAAGTATGTATTGCCTTCTGACTTCTGATTCCCTTTCAGTTGAGTACAGAAGATAGAACTTGAGGTCACTCTAGGAAACTGGAAAAGAAATATTCAAGACTAGATATCAGAAAATACTTTTTGTGGCAGCTGGGTCAGTCAACTCATTTAAGAATAGACTGGATAGTCACTGGTCAAAGAATTCTAGCCTTCTGTATGAGCCGGTCTAGGTGTTGTCTGTTGTTTCATGTATTACACAACCTCCTCCCTCCACAAATCGCAGTTACCATTGAAGAATCCTGGATCGATGAGCAGGCTTAGACCTACAACATCGTGTATTAAAGTAAAGTAAAGTAAGTAGGGGAAGGTTGACAAATTATGTTAGGTTGTATAATTAAAGTGGGTGTGTACTGTAGCATGACGAGACTATGACTACGGACGACGCGACCAAAGTATTCACATACGCGAAACCAAGGCGCGAGGCGAACTTCGGTCTGTTTCACCAGTAGGGGCGCTGGTCCGAGAATAAGGATCGTCTTCATAAACAAGGAATGAAGGATCGTCTTCTTTAACACGGACCGATGCGTCCTCAAAAATAAGGACCGTCTGCATTTTTGCAGACATTTCATCTTTTTGATCGGCGCATTGGCGATGCAAAAAACGGATTCTGCAATGATTTTCTTGATGCATTTTACATTGACTTTGTACAGAGACTTTTACATTATGAGCGATAAATCCTTGGGAAGACGGACAACCCATAAAAGTAGATGGTGAACTAGAGTTATTTTCCCCCGGGGAATCCATTTTTGGCATCACCAGCAGGCCGTTCTGTAACATGAAACCCCCAGAGCGCCGATGAAAAAAAACGTCCTCGAAAATGCAGACGACCCTTATTTTTGAGGAGGCATTTTGTCCTTGTTTAAGAGGATATGCTTGTTTATGAGGACGATCCACATTCACGGACCAGCGCCCCTACTGTTCACGAACGTTAGTGCGGGCTGACCGTTAATCATGTCCATTCATTTATTTACATGTAGGTCTACGTCTAGATCTAGTCTAGATCTAGATCTACATACATGTACGTGCAGTTGTCCAAAAGAAGTCATAGACTAGATGGCGTTAACCAGTAGAAGCCATACTACACCCCCTTTAAAGATTTTCCCATACGTCATACCTGACGGCTATTCCTGTCTAGCTGTTGGTGTTGCACTTGCAAAGCAATTCTGAGGATAAGTCTGCCCAGCTGAGACTGTGACTGTGAGTGAGTGGGAGACCGAGACTGAAACTGAGACGAGACTAGTCGAGAGTGAGACTTCACAGAGAGAAAGTCTCATAAATAAAGATCGGAGTGGTTTTCTACATTCAAATTATCAAAAAGACAAATACATGCACATTTACCGTAGAATACTACACGTGATTAGTGAATTTCAAAGAAAAACTTACTGCACGAAGTGATGACAGCGTCAAATTCCCAATTTTCGGTAATATTTTGTTACGACGTAGCCCCATTTCTCCTTCAGCTGGCATCTGACCCTAATGAAATACGCATGCGCAGTTTCGTCGTTCACTTCCGCAAGTTTCGCCGCTAATCTAGCTAAGGACGACGAAAATCATGGTCAAACTGCAAAAGCCAGACAAGCCTAGTTTACATATTACTATTGATACCTAACCTTGATAATTCCTTTAACAGAGATTCAGTAAGTATCAAAGCAGGGGATCTTTTATGGTTTAATTTAGCACACCCATTGCGAAGTAAATTGTTAGCGTAGTCCCACTTATATTAATTTGTGTGTAGGCCTAGGGTCTAGATAAAAGTGTACAGTTCTGCCACGTCCTCGACTCGCTCGGCCTTCGGGCTCGAGTCTAGCTCGACCTAGACCGAATTTTCCGTCTCTTTCGTTCGTTATGCCTCTTATTTAGGTAGGATCGGCTCCTCTCTTTAGAGACAGAAGCCGACCGTAGGGTCTGCTGTGCAAACTTTGGTTGCTCGATCAAGATCGAGCCACCAAATTCTGGCCAAACTTTGGACTTAAAAAAAGTCATTTTATTTTTAGTATTCATGGTATTCTTTTACATTTTTAGCGGATTCATATCCGATGCATTTATTCTAGAAAATTAGACCTAGGCTAATAGTCTATACATCGGTTCCACTTACCAGATAAATTGACTGTATGATGCGTTTAATTTTTTCTTTCCAGGTTTTCTTTGTCGAAATTGAACTCCGTGTTGAAATTCTTGCAGCATGATTTTTAACTGTTATCAAGTCTAGTGACTGTTAGTGGTGTAACTGTCAACGGATGACGTCATCTTCCTTCATGCGCAATAACACTTACAGTTTTCTTCCAAAGTTTTTATCGTTTTGTTGACTCCAGAACCTTGCACTTGTTGCAGTATACACACCAATAATTATATGCTACCTGTGCATCATGATAAACTTTTTCTGATCGATTTCACACCGTTTCTTTCACAATGGAATCACCTGACCGGACCAGAACTCAACTTTAATATCTTTAAATATGAAGTTTTTTTTTTTTTTCTCTTTCTGCATGTCTGTCTCTATCTCTCCTTTTAAATTCATGGCCATTACCCTCACTCTATCCCCTCCCCACTCCTCTCTCTTTCTCGACTCTGTCTCTGTCTTTCCCTCTCGCCCACTCCCCCTTCTCTCTCTCTCTCTCTTTCTCTCTCTCTCTCTTTCTCACACACACTTCTCTCTACTTCCAGGAGAATCAAATGTTCCACTCTCCAAGGATTTGTCTCCTCAAGCCAACTCTGATCAAGTACACCTTTCGGAAAGAGGGGCATCTTAGGAAGACAGCATCCCCCCGGTTCCGTTCATCCTCAACAACTCCGAGGCTGCTAGCAAGGTCCTTTCCTCCTTCATCAAAGCAGAAGCTGTGGACTTCTAGGAGAATGGCATCATCCAGCGGCAATGGCTCTCTCATCGTCCCCCAGGACTTTGACTACTTCCTGGTCCTGGATTTTGAAGCAACTTGCTTGGACAATGAAAGGATAGAACCGCAGGTACCGTAATTAACGGTGTATAAACCGCCCTCATGTATTAACCGCACCCCTATTTTTCGCCGTAAAATTATTTTTTTTGGTGGCGACTCTGTCGTCAGCAAACCATGTACGTGTTAAAAAAACCCACGCGGGAAGGCCTTTCATTTAACTGCGAGGTGCAGCTGAATGTGTAAGATCATTAATGTAAATGAAAAAAAATAGTAGAGGACCTAGGATAGAACCTTGTGGAACGCTGTGTAATAGAAGAAAAATTGGAGGAATTATTATTATAAACTATATATTGAGATCTATCAGAAAGATTACTTTCAAACCAAGATGACAGACAAATTTGAGTGTTGTTTTAGTTTCCGATTGGTGAGTCAACACACGGATTACTGTTAATTACGGTATTGCATTTTAGTCAGTCAGCTGAACTTAATGGCCCGAATTCACAAAGGAGGTTTGTCGACAAACCTAGGTTTATGTGCGTCACATGATGCGTCTCAATGCGTCATATGATGCACATAAACCAAGGTTTGTCTACAAACCTCCTTTGTGAATTTGGGCCATTCACAATCTGTTGCTATTCATGATTTTCTATTGCTATTCATGCTCAAGCTGTAAGTGTTATTCTCCATGAACTTGGTAAAGTGGAACCTCGTTGAAACAAGGTCCTTATGACCATGGAAATTGCCATGGTTTAACAGGAATCTTGTTATGGTTAACAAAACAAAAGAATATAAAGAGCTGGGACCAGCAAAATCACCTTGTTATAATATATACTTCATTATATCAGAGCTTCTATTATGAGGTTCCACTGTATCTATATTGCATGGGGATGGTTTCAACTTCCAAATCAGTAATCTTTTTGTCTCAGTACTGAATTTTCGAATTTCCCTTGCTTAATACAGTCAGCAATAAGTTGAAATATTTTCAAGTCGTGTCAGTGGGCCAGTGGCTAGATGCCTCTTTGTGTTGTATGTTAGATTTTCTACTGAACCCCTACCCCCTCCCCTCCCCTAAAAAAAAGAAGACTATGGCAGAAAGCAATTTTAAAACATTACAGCTTGTCATTACAGTGTAGCTGTAGAAATGTAATAATGGTTTTGAATAACCTTGAGGATATGTCATATTTTCTACAGACAAAAAAGATGAATCATTCCTTAGAATTGACTTACTTTTACACTACAAAATGACTTTTTAGCGAATTAATGACTTTATTTCATCTTTGCTGATTTTGCCAAATGAATAGGAAGTGATTGAGTTTCCAGTTCTGAAAGTGAGTGGTAAAACCTTTGAGACAGAAGCAACATTTCATCAGTATGTAGAGCCTCAGGTTCATGGCGTTGGGGAATTCTGCACTAGGGTAAGCATGAAACTTACTTCTAAGATGCAAACAAAGTTGTAGCATCGGTTTTGAAAGTGAAAGTCGCTGTTCTGATTGGCAAGAGTCACATTTGCAAAAATTGCCAGTTTTGTTGTCTACTTTCAAATCACCTTTGTTGGATTGTGCATGAAGTTGTACTAATGAAAAGATATTATTATTTCGGATTTCATATCTAAATTTCTAAGCATAGACTTCGATATAGTGTACATTACCCTTAAAGCCCATCTGCACTAGTTTGACCAACAGGGATTAGACCTCCTTGCATGGTCACTGACAGGTTGTTAAATTATCAAATCAGCTCTCAATTAACATAAGAAAAAGAGGATAATGGGGGACCAACAGTCACCGCTTAGGCATTGTTTGCTATATAGAGGGCACAAGTAGCTATAATTAGTGCAGTGAGGCTTTAAGTTGCTGAAATTAGATTGTGTTTCATTTATCTCCCACCAGCTAACAGGAATAACCCCTGACATGGTCAAAGGTCAACCGACATTTGCCGATACTTTGAAGGTAAAGTACGAAATACGGTACATCACCTAATTACTAAGTTCTGAGACACATTTATAAGCATATGCTATAAAGGTTCAATACATCTTACTCTATATATGTTATGGTGTTATAAGACTTGGCTTGTTGAATTCATCTCGAAAGAGCCTTAAATATGAAAAACTATTTATTCTGGTTCTATAAAGCTTTTGGTGTTCCCTGGTTCCTCTCAATGAAAATCTGTTGGATTGAGTCTAGATTGTGGCTTATTTAGGCTAAACACATCAGCAGAGGTATAATGGGAGCAGGGGAGGTATAGACGGGGTGGAGAATGTGATACCCTTCTCAATGAGAATTGTTCTGATGGCAAATTTGACAATTTCATAGGTTGTCAACAAATCTTAAGAAGTAATGATATGATTGTTTAGCTTGTAGAAGATAGGAGAAAATGTGAACAACTTGCAGCAAATGTCAAAATCAAACATTGATTATTTTCCTTGTCAGCAAATTTGAAAATGTTCAGCTACCTTGTAGGTTGATTGGTCAGACAACACCCCCTTCCCCCATCCATTATGGTATGACAATAGCCCTGGCAAGAAAGTGCACAAATCCTTATAAAACAAGAGAAAAACTCCCTGTTTTAAGATTATTTAGAAGCTAGGTTTTAAAATACCATACAGATTATTCAAGCTGTTTTTATTAAGAGTACTGTGAAGTGTATATTACTGATTAACAAGGTGTAAATTTTGTTTTGTTTTTGTCTTTATTTCTAATACCGATAGTTATTTCATGTATGGATGGAGAAGGAGGGGCTTGTTGACCCGGAAGTTAAATTCATCTTTGTCACCTGTGGAGATTGGGATCTTAAAACCATGTGAGTACAGCAGGAGATATTACTTTGATTTCCTTATCTTTCTATGCTCATTACTCAGCCAGTATACATTTTCTACCAAAATTGTTTGGCAAATGACATTTTTTTGTAATCTTGAACATTCAGTGTAAGTTTTGTGTCCGATTCTGTGAGAATATATTTTCTTTTTTTACCAGAACTCAAGTTTATCTTTAACCTATTTGTAAACTTGCAGGTTTCCAAGCCAATGTGCCCATTTTGAGCTTCCATATCACTCGTACTTCAGGAGATGGCTCAACATCAAGAAGGTAAGCATTTGCTTCAAAATAAATACCTGTTGGTATGGATCTAGTCATATTTTCATATCTGTGGTGTTAAGTACCTGATTACTTTATACATGGTGTACAATTTTTTTGTTTTTTGTTTTTTAATTGACTTACTTGACTTAAGCTGTCCACACCATCACTGGGATGTATGATGGCTTCTGTTTCACTATGGCTTGCCACACCTTCCTGTCTTCTGTTAGCCTAGTGGCTTTAGTCAGGGAGTTTGTTTTTTAATAACTTTTAGCAACTTGATCGTGCAAAATGAAAGGCATGAGTGATAAAGATCAAAGGATGCAAAAATCTGCAAAAATAAGACACATGATTTTGTGTAAATGTAATTTCTAACTAGTGTCGTTGCTTTGTTCATATAAATTTGACTGATCCTCGATTTTAAGTTTGAGTTAAATATGGCAGGCCGTTCGTGCCACTGTTTGCTCTCACCATCCTGATCTTAAGATAATATTTTTTCCTTCTATAATGAAATATCCCAAAATATAAATTCTGTAGATTTGTGACCATGATTTGTTTGTTCTTTGAGAGACCCAATGCCAGTAAATGGTGAGAGAAAACAGTGGCATGAACGGCCTGCCATAGTAAAGTCCAACTTAAAGTCGATCTTAGTCTTTGTGAAACACTTCCTTGTTCTGCATCCTCTTTGTCAGCTCTGTCAAGTGAAAATGTAATTGTTGATATGTACCTTTTCTGTGACAGGCATTTGCTACTGTAACCAGTCACTACCCCAAAGGGATGATGCAGATGTTAGAGAGACTGAACATTCCACATGTAGGCAGACATCATAGTGGCATCGGTAAGATTGATCAGCAGGAGAGAGAGAAAGAGAGGGTGTGTGTGAGAGAGAGAGAGAGAGAGAGAGAGAGAGAGGAGAGAGAGAGAGAGAGGTGAGAGAGGTGAGAGAGAGAGAGAGAGAGAGAGAGAGAGAGAGAGAAAGAGAAAGAGAAAGAAAGAAAGAAAGGGAGATGTTATGTATTTATCATCAAATTAATACACAAAGATAAAAGTAAACACTATTCCATGAAGTTTCAAGAGACACTTTTATTAGCTCTCACTCAGCAGGCCATGTTACAAAGTCACTTGTTTACGCACATGGCTGGTGCATAAGATGTTTACGTCTACAATGCTAGTCTTAACTTCAGACTGTTACATTTTAGGAGGAGAAAGAAAGGAAGAAAAAAAGAAATAAAGAAGGCAAGGGGATGGGAAGCACAGGTAGACCATTGCATTTATCAGAAGTAATCTGCACCTTATTGTACATTGTAGTTGTACATACATTAAAATCAATGCCTATGTACGACCTTTAGTAGGCACAAATATACTTGGTTCACATTCCAAATAGTTATCATTTCACACTGGGGCATTCTCTGACAATAACCCATTCCCCATTGATATAATCAATATTTGGCAGCAAACTGTCCCCACCCCAATAATGCTTGTTTTTTAAATAATTTTGTAGACGTAGGATAGGATATCTCTTAGTCAGTACATGTGCCTACTTTAATGACACGTACAGTGAGATTTTTATGCATGTTAAAATTGGTTGTGCTGCATATCTAGAATTAGTTGGCAGGAAATAAGTTAAAAGCAAGTCCATCCACCTACTTGTAACATTATCTTCAAGGACTCATCAATTGGCTTCAAACGAGAGTCTCAAGTGATATTCCAAGTGGATTTCTAAACTGGTACGGGCAATGTACTTAGAAGCCAGCAAGTTCATTCACAAGTCTCTGTAACATTATCCTACAATTTGAATCTTTTGTTTTGCACTACCTTTGCAGATGATTGCCGCAACATCGCCAATATTCTACAAGCCTTGGCTCTAAAGAGGTACAAGTTCAAGCAAACAGGGAGCAGGTGACAGATGACCTTGATAATGACCTATGGTTGACCTTGAGGTCATTGAAGGTGACTTTCAGTGTGTCGTTCTGGAGGCACTTAAGCATCTAAAAATCATGGAGTAACATGGGCAACGTGGAAGTGGAATTGTTGGGGTATAGCCGTTCATTCAGTTGATTTTCATTCAAAAGGTTGGGGGTTTGAGACCTAGCCCAGCAACAACGTTAATCGGCTAGATATTAATCCATGTTTAAATGGGTACGTGATGTGCTAGGGGTGTTACACTGATAATAACTTGGCTATGAACAAGTTAATGATGTTGAGGCGCCGAAAATTTCACAGCATGGCCGATGTGAGCACTATACGAACAGCCACCATTAATACCTTCCTGCAGAGTAAAGATGTTTAGAAGAGTGTTCAAATCATGGTTATCAATGAAACAAGTGTGTAATCAATGAGAGCTCTCCATGCGAAACTCTGTGAAATGAAATAATGTTGCAATGTGGATGATTTGGGTAAAAGCTTCCTCGAAACAGCAATTGGTGCTACAGATTGACCTGGAATTTCATCCATGACTATGTACTTGATTACCAGGATTACATGTAAGTTAATTGAAACTGAAACGGCACACACTGTCCATACTTCTTTGCTGCTTTGAAACTTGTGGAGTAAAAGTGTTTTCTCCTTAATTTTGATCTATTTTCAAACCTTTTTGCTTAAATTTGGAAAGTTTGCATTGCTGAATTTGTTCATTCTTGTGGGAAATTTGAAATATGAATATCTCCTAGATATGCAAGCAGGATGTAGTTTAGACTGTCAGTCCCCAACGGCTGGTCTAGAAGGAAATGGTAACAGTAAAAAGGTAAAAACACAGGGAAAGCAAGAACAAAATAAGTTTAATATTCATTATTTTTTCAAAAACAAAGAACTTATCTTTTTGGGTGACCTTTAATGAAAAAAATAAAGGACAAATCTTTTTAGTTTGCCTATGTTTTTTGTTTTTTCATCCCTTTGTTGGCGGCCAATGGTAAATCAGTGGCTCAGATGATGATTGTGATGGTTTAAACCATCCGTCAGTGTCCATTTTGAAGCAGACACTTCATTTACGTGTAATTGCGATATTGGAAGATGAATTATGGACTTGTTTATATTCTCTTTCTGAATGAAGACTGATGCAAAGTTAAACATGTACTGTATAATATACAGTCAAACCTGTCTATTAAGGTTTTTCTGGACAGGTTCTTTAATACACATTTCTTTCTTGAGGGCGACAACATACATGGCCACTACCGTGTGAGTCAAAAAAAGTTTACACCTAGAAAATTGCTAATTATTTTAAAAATCATCTATAAACAGTAAATTATTATACATTTTATGAAAGAGTGTTTTATCCCAAATCATTTGGTATCACTTTTGTGTGGTATGTGTTCACGCTTGGATAAACAGGAGGCATTGTTTGCGAGGGTGCAAAAACTGACTTGCGCCAAAGTGATGCATACAGTATGTATTATGTTGGGATTAGCGGAGTGAGAGAATGAATTGAATGTATCAATGAAATGCATTGCACATGCTTTTTGCTTTGATATTTGATATTCGATATTTGATATGTGTGGCATGATTAATTTTGTTAGGGACGTTATTTGGATCGCAAAAACCGAATTAATACCCAAATCCCAATTGTTTTATTCAAACATCACATAAGCAACTTTGGCGCAGGTCGAATTTTGCACTCACGCAAACAATGCCTGCTGTTCATCCAAGCGTGAACACATACCACCGAAAAATGATACCAAATGATTCGGGATGAAACACTCTTTCATAAGATGTATAATAATTTACTGTTCATAGACAGTTTTTTAAATAATTAGCAATTTTCTAGGTGTAAACTTTTTTTTGACCCACACTGTATAGACAGGTGGTCTTTAAAGAAAATAAGAGAGGTGGCCACTAAGACAGGTTTAATCATATTTGTACAGAAACTGCAATATTTTATTTCTCTCTTAAAATTGCGTTTTCATGATTTCAAGCCATTTTGCCCCACAAGTTAGAACTTACAACATTTAAGATTGTTTTTGTTTTAATTTAATTTAGTAGTTAGCCTCATTGGAGCATTAGATCAAATCAAGTATCGAGTAAAATGATACTTATCATGTAATGTTATGGTCATTATTCATAATACTCTGTACACCATTATGAAACATGAATTGACCAAACACCTTTGCTCATGTTCATGTATGTCATTTTATGAGTATGGCCAATTTCCATGATTGCACAAAATTAAGGTGCAAATTGTTATGCCTTTAATAGTGGAATGGCATGAATATATTTTCCTATGATAACGAGAAAGAAAATAATTTGAAGTTTGAAAAAGATAGAATAAAAATTTATTGACAATGCAGAACATGTTTTGTTGATTGTTTATTTCGATGTACAGTAGTTGGTTGAATTATAAACTCTGTGTGTGTGTGACGGGGGGATATATTTTTCTTGTACACCATGCATACTTAAAGTGTACCAATCACTTAAGTAAAAATAATTTGTATACATCTGAAATCAACACCAGAACCTTTACCGGGCATTCTACATGTATGACCAAACAAATAAGGAGTACGGTATGCCCTATTCCATGCGAGCACCTGCAGGTGTGCTGATTATTCTACTCAAAAGTCACCTTTAAGTTAATTGAGATTGTATTTAAACTTGCAATATCTCTTCTTAAAATTAATACTTACCCTTATATTTTTAATATATAACCTTGCTGCATGTAACCCTTCCCTCATAGAACAACTTTTTTGTTGGGGGGGGGGGGGGGGAGGGTTATTGGTACACTTTAAGATAATGCCAGACACACACACTTATTTGTCTTTTACACGATCTGCCTTTTCCAATCACTTCCACACTGTTTCTTTCGCAATGAAATCGCATTACCAAAATCGAACTTTATCTTCAAGTAGGCAAGCGTGTTCGGTGGTACATCAATCATAAAGAAAACAATTAAGGCAACTTTATTCAAAATTGTATTATGTCTGTTTTATTTACACACTTAGATAAACACTGCTACCATGACAACAAAAACATTACTTTGGAAGTACATCATGAGATGAACCTCCATGATTTTCGGTCTAATTCCAACCTCTGACCAAACTGCTCAATAAACTCATCCACACCCGACTATTTTTTTGTAAACCTACGGGTCAAGAAAAATGTCTAGTTAAAGGGATAGTTGAGTTCTTGTTTAAGACCTCAAATGTCTAAAAAAAAGCATGTTTATTGCTGTTATGACATTTCTAGTGCCCTTTTAGAACCTAAAATTGCTACATGTATGAAGGTAATTTTAGACCCCAAAATGTGTGAATTTAGATTGAATACGAATCGATCATACCAATTCAGCTCCACTTTCAAAAAAATATAGTGACCGTTAATACATTAATTAATCAATAATAACAATACACGGGCCGGCTGGTTAGGGGTATTATAACCAACACGAAAAGCCAACAAACAGACAATATTGGCATTGGCTGGAATAGAACGTACAAGGCGCTATCTTGTTTTTCAACGGCTGGTTCAAAATTACTAAATATTTGTGGGGCACATATTAGAAATGGTTTAATATATTTATGGATTTTTCACCCGTCTCTGAACCGATTTTGATCAAACAGATGATTTTGTCATGTAAATTGTATATTCTTTCAAATTTGACACTCAAAGTTTGTTACTATCTCACACAAAAATTATTTCGTGTAGCGCCCTCTGCAACAAAACTCAACTATCCCTTTAAGGATTTGGCTAGTCAGTTCATTGGCTTCTGTGCCGTGTTAGTACTTTTTCGCTGTATGCTTGTGTAGCCAAAAGCATTTTGCCATAAGCAGTTGGTCTTGATGAACTTGCCTGGACCAATACCCCTATGCGTGTCCCTCGGATCATCGCAGATTGGATGTTATTGCCAAAGGGCAATGGCTTTGACTGTAGTTTTACAAGACTCTGCAAAATAACCAACAAACCTCAAAAACCTCTCTTGAAAAGACTGTCATAGGAGGTACAGTGTATTCCATAGTGCTTATATGTTATTATGCTTCTATTGTTCTTAAAAGCCAGCGAGTTCATTCATCCGTCTCTTCTAGCTTTCAACAGCTTTGCAGCTAGGGAGTCCATTCACCAACTTTGGTTATAAACTAGGTCATTCATAAGTCACGAGTGATATTCCATAGTGACATTCCCTCCTATTTCGTGCTTGGCTTTCTCTTAAAAGCCAGCAATTCCATTGACCTATCCTCAAGATCTCGTCAATTTGGCTTCGGACGAGAGTCATGAAAGCCAGCAGCCACAAGTTTCCGTAACATTTTCTTCATGTCATCCTCCGACATGAACTCACAGTTTGTGAGGGCAGTCACCACAGCGATAGTCGTGTGGATTGATTTGGCACGGACCCATATCCTTCCGTTCATACCTATGGCTATCTCGTACGAAATTTTCTCACCAAGGAATTTCAGCATCGGACAGTCTTTGAGCAGGAGCCTGTAAGGAGAAGAGCAGAGAAAAATTAAATTTATCTTGACAACTACATCTGAATTTAAAATTAGGAAGAACTCACAAAAATAGAATATTGTTCATACATATTGCAAGTAATACATGTGATCACTTTTACATTGAGGAGCACGATCACAAGGCATTTGTCAACAAAACCATATTGTTCAAGTCATCGCTTGTCAGGGCATATAAAATACAATAGAATCAGGCCGAGGTCCTAGTGATTTCTTGGGAAATTCAAAAATGATACTTTTTCAAGTTTTTTTGTTATTGTCCCACTTTTCTTAATTGACCCACATAGCAGGTAAGCCACACCAGTGAACTCGTTTACACTCCATATTTGAGCAATATTATAAAGTTTTCAAGGGTGATGCAGTTCTCTACCAAAACCCCTCGGCTGTAGCGGTCACCTATATATTCTCTTACTAAAAGGAAAACATGTTGCAGAATTTGCAGCCTACTAAGACAACCTATCAGCAACAGCAATTTTTTTTTGAAAACGCACTTGTTTTCAGGAGCTTTTGAATAATTTTGTTGTTGTTCTGTTAAGAGTCCTGTATTCATCACAGCTTAGTGGAGTATATTTATATTGTAGCTGTGCTATATCAATTGATCTAATTATCATCAAAAAAATGAACATAAATAGTGTGAAGTTGTTATTCCATTTAGCCTTTATAGACGAGTATCACTGTATTCGGATCCAATGCTTTAATTACCTTCTCACAAGCCCAAGAGTACACCGGAACATGAAGCCATCGGATCCTACCACACCCAGTCCCTGTGATCTCCCGCTGCTATCGATACAAACAAGCTCCGGTTCCATGTCCCGATTGGCAACGAGAAGCTTGGCATACACCACATCTCCCACCTGTATTGTTTGATCGATTAAAGCAAAAACGCAGGTTTTATTAATATCAATATGAAAAAGAGATTTATCTTGCTATCATTGCTAACATAATATTGCAGATATCAAAGTCTTAAAAGATACTATGTCCCTTTTGCAGCCAACCTCAAATTCTGTAGAACTTTGCAGGAATTATGAATATGTCATGTATGTCCTATCTGTGAAGTTTAAAGGTTAGCAGTGTCGTAATATTCAAATTATGCAAGGAAACATGTTTACTTGCTAGACTTAACCGTCAGACACTATTGTCAGTATTGAGTGACTGACTGGCTTTTTCTTCTTCTTTGGTAATAACATACATAAAATGAGCTGTAAAGGATTTGTCTACATCAATAACCAACTTCTTGTAATGGCCAAAATTAAACTGATTGAATCATTGCACAGCATTAAACGTACAACCATGCGGTACAATGGTCTGAAAATCAAGACTATTACTTATTGGCTCTGTAGCTCCTAAGTCGATTTGACAAGTAATAGTCATTATATTCCCACTAAAAGACATTTTCAAGCCCCATTTTTTTAAGGGGAGTTCTAAATTAGTATTATCTTTCAAATGCCATTGGAATTTTAACCTTTACATTTTTTTGGCGTGCAAAAGGGACATAGTACCTTTAAGGGTATTGGAAAAATAAATGAAACCTTGATTTTGATCGTGGAAGAAACAAAGCCACATTTCGTTAATAGTAGGAGTAGATGGAGGCCCTTTATCTGTTGAGTCGATCTTTATTTCTCAGAAATACAGTGATTTTTGTTAAAGTTGGATCACTGCACATATTAAACACAAAAAGCAATTATGTGATGGAATAACATTGTCTGCTAAGGTGTGATTCAGAAAGAACAAAATACACTACAAAAATGAACTTTGAATTTTTACTCTAGATATAAGTTTTTATGCCAAAATGAAACAAGAAATATTGAAAAAATGCCTGATTTTGGAAATTTAATACATTTCCACTTTCCAAGCCACAAAAAGTCACCTGCCATTTTAACATTCCTGAACTATTCAAAAATTACTCTCAGATATAAAAGCAATTGCAAAATGAGATGGTCATATTACCTCGTGATATATTAACAATGTTCTTGCTTGAATTTCTTTGACATTTTTGGCAAGCCGACTCTCGTGTGTCAGGGATAACATGAGAGTACTTGTTAGTACTCTAGTAAAAATACAAACAAATAGTTCTTCCTAAATTTTGATTGAGAACTTAATTATGGTAAAAGACCAGGGGAAAAAATATTTAAACAATTTCGGGGGCTACTTTTCAAGCTTGCTTGCATGAAAATAACACTCTTTAATTTGTTTTGCATTCAACTCTATGCAAACTTTGGGGGGCTCTTTTTTGCATTTCAGGGGCTAATTCGACCCGAGCCCCTGTGTATATTTTTCCTGTAAAAGACAAAGGGCTCCCCCATCGTACTTGCCTGAACATTTGGTCTGTTCCTCTTTGTTGCGCCTTCGAAGGCCAGGTAAGATAGGATGGCCTGCGATTGACCCCCTATGTCTACTCGGAACACATCTCCTGCTTTCTGGGTTACGACCCCAAGAACCTTGTCTCCTTTGGCTGGTACATACTGTAAATGAAATAAAAGATTAATAAATTCTGAACAATAGTTGCATAAAACGGACACACACAATGTTAATTGCAAGTCTTTTCAGAAATGCACATGTAATACATTTTATTTTAGGAGCAGTACCACTAGTAAAATCGCTATAGTGTGACATTTATTGATACTTATTCCATTGACATTGTTTCTGCCAGTGCTACTCGTGTGTGACTTTGGAATGTATTTGGCAAGATGCTGTGTCTGTGCCTGTGCCTGTGGGCCTGCCAGCTGTGCATTTTTAGATTTACTCTAAACTTGTTTAACTTTGTGAACTTATGAAACCTATTTATGATGCATAGTAATGAGCATATCAGGACAATTACCCCCCATGGACAATCACATCACCCCCCCCCCCTTATTCTTAATCTTAGTTCAGCTTTAATTTAAGATGATTTTGCAATGGCAATGCACACACGTGTACACTACAGAGCCAGGCTACAAAAACAGACTTTCCCATTTCCTAGAACTAAATAAATAAAACTTTAATTAATATTCAATTCAAGATCAAGGATCATCCTTGAAGCCCAAAGCCATAGTAAAGTTCAATCGAGTTTAGGGAACAATTGCAGAAGACCCTACCACGGTTTTACGGGGGCACAGAATTAGAACAAACAGTCTGACAAATATTAGAAATAGAAGCCAACTACCAACGATTGGCCAAATACTACTGGAATAGTCCGACCACCGACCAACAGTCCTACCAACAGTCTGAAAATTATTAGAAATAGAGACCAATGAGCATCGACCAAATACTATTGAATAAAAGTAGCCAATGACCATCAACCAAAATATCAAGGCATCTTTGTTTAAAAAAGCCAAAGACCATCGACGAAGATAATGACAAATATTAAAAAAGAAGCCAATTAACGGCCATCGACCAATACTAGATCTAGTCTAGTCTAAGCACAAAACTACTTTTCTTTTGTGTTTTTAGCACGAGACATTCCACTAAAGTAATACAAGCAAAACTATTATTTTTCTATTGTATTTTTGAAATGAGACATCACTTGTTGATTGAAAAAGGCCAAACTATTTTTTCTTTTGTATTTTTAGAACGAGACTTCACTTGTTGATTGAAAAAGGCCAAACTATATTTTCTTTTGAATTTTTAGAACAAGACTTCACTAATACTAGGGTCTTTGACAGCAGACTAAGCGGTGTAAGAGCTACTATATCGGGCACAAGGTTAAGGTGGGACTATACAAGGGTGGGACTATACGCAGGCTGGATTTTTTGCATTACTGAAATAGTGCTCAGAATTTAAGTAATTCATCTAGTAAATGACCATATAGATATAAGACAAGAAACAAGTCAAAGGTAATGACAAGAATCAGTGCTTATCAATATAGGGCCTAACAGATATTTTGCATGAAATATCATCAGGAAAGCCATCTAAATTTGTCACAAGTTAGCAACGAACACACCAAATTCAGCGCTGCAATGACGTACAAAACGGCGTCTTGAATTCCACTTTTCATCCACCAAATGAATACAAACACACTGCCAATAGACTATATAGATCTAGATCTACAATCTTCAATACCTGTCACTGTTATCGCAGACAATAAAATCACATGCTATATCTAGAGGTCTATGGCTAATATATGAAGACTAACAATATGGTGTAGGGTATTCTGCAATTAAGCCGAGTTGAGCTTAATTATTATTACAGTCCCACGTACTGATGTGGGTGTCACAAGTTCTATCGATCGAGTTTAGCTTAATTATATTACAGTCCCACGTACTGATGTGGGTGTCACTATTTACCCTCTTTTGGTGGCAATCTATCCAGAATGTGTGTGGGTTCTTCCGTTTCAGAATCCCTGCTTTTGTTGAGAATATCTTAGTTTCGTCTTGTCTTAGCCCTGGTCCTAGGGTCATTTTTCCATGAAGCTCCCCAGGAATGTGTCCCATCAACGAATCCCCTGGTAGCACAACACGCGGTTCGAAATCATCCATGGAGGCTGCCATTTTTAATTCTGAAAAGTGCACACCGCCATCTAACGTTCTAGTGGTTCATTCCGACTACTGTATTACTCTCAATTCTAAGATTGAGGGTTCGAATCCCAGTATGGCACTAACGTCCTTTGAAAAGACGTTAATCTTAATTTTCCACTCTCCATCCAGGTATAAAGTGATACCTGACCCTTGCTGGGGCAATAATAATTGCATGGCCCTCACTTGATCACAGCTCTGATGCTCATGCTGCATGAATAAGTTAATCTCCGGGTAGGCCTATATATAGGCCTATATAAAACAAATTATTATTATGATAATAATTACTGTACCTGCGATTAATTCCCGTCGCATCCTAAACGCTGTATCGTTTATCTAATTCATTACCACGCTGGGATTAAGAGAAGGAGAAGACTTGAAGAAGAAGAATACATTGACGATCGCGAGTGGGGGAGGATATCATTATAACGCCATTAACGGGTTAAGTGCAGTCCAAGTAAGCCACTTGGAAAAGGGGTAATATTTCTTGTTACAATTACTATCATCATTGAATTAATGTTGAAATCTATTTTCTTTAACAAACAAATTAATGCCAATATTTTAGATTTGTCCTCGAGCCCCATCTTTCACTATCCTCTTTATCAGGGCTGTAAACTTTGGGGGAACTGCTTCGAGGGAGATCATATGCAATTCTTTTTGGCTCAACGGGGGGGGGGGGGGGGGGGGGGGGGGGGAGTTGAGTAAAAACAAAGTCGAAGTGCTCACTATGTATCCCTTTTACCTGCATACGTCACTATAATTATACAGATACATTTTATTGTGACGCTGCCAGACGTAATATAATTATATATTGAGGGTCGTATCCAGAACTTTTATAATCAGGACTTGGCGTCAGCAGTTGTGGAATGCAAACTTGAAGCCAGGCGCGTACGCAGGGGGGGGGGGGGGGGGGATTGAACCCTCCCCCTTGAAACTTTTTTTCTTACCCCCCCCCCCTCTCCGAGTCCCCGCTTATTCGGCCCGATTTATAAATGTTAAGCCCCCCCCCCTTGAAAAAATCTTGTGTACGCCACTCCTTGAAGCAATGGGGGTTTGTCCATTCTCATCAGGAAAAAGGAGAGATATCCCCCAAGGAAGGTCCTCTAAATGTTCTGATGATTTTGAAAGAAAGAAAGGTGAAAGAAATCTGACACCCCTGCAGTCCTGATATAAATCCTGTAGTATGCGTGGGAAATGACGTTTGCCTCCAATAGATAGAGTTATGATGTATAGTATCCAGGCGCGTACGCAGGGAATGGGGGGGGGTGTGACCTTACCCCCCCCCCTCACTGAACCAAATATCCCCCCCCCCCCCCCCCCCCCCCGCTTATCATTGTTCAGCGGCTGGCTGACTCGTTGCGAAATTTTCGGTGGGATTTAAAAACACCTCCCCCTTGGGCGGGGGGGGGGGGGGGGGGGTAGTGAGAACATTTTTTTTTTGGTCCTCGAAAATTTAAACATTTGCACCCCCCCCCCTCGAGCGCCAGGGGGTCTAACCCCCCCCCCCCAAAAAAAGGTAAAAATCACGTGTTTTTACATGATTTTTTTTTCTCAAGGGAGGGAGGGGCCGGGCCCCCGGCCCCCCCCTGGATCCGCCACTGTCCAAGGGCCTCCTAAAGCCCTGTCCGGGGTCCTGGGGGGGGGGGGCGGGAGCAGAGCTTTAGCAATTTATTTGTTACCCATTCAGAGCCTTTAATAGACGCCTTAAGCGATAAATACACACAATCTATTCTTAGGACATTTTTATACAACAGAGTGTCGTCTTCGGAACCACTTCTCGCTGTACGGATGGGGTCCAGGGGCCGTGCCCTTGTCGCGGGTCCACTAGGGCGGAGCCCCTTGAAGTTCTCTGGTTATGAAAGATTTAGATCCTTCAAAATGGCCGTTTTTCTCCTTAAAGTTCACATAGACCAACGAGTCATTTTATTTTAGAAATCATTTCTCTTTCTCTCCTGAAATTCTTTTTTTTTCGTATGAAGTCCTTGTACTGGCTCGTACAGTGGCGGATCCAGCCAGCGGGAAAAAGGGGGGGGGGGGGCCAATCCGTGAGAAAATATTAATTGCGACTCAGCCACCGGTGAATAAGCGGGGGGGGGGGGGGGGGGGTAGGAGGCACCTTTTTTGTCCAATTTTTCAGGAAATATTTTGCCCCGACTCAGTCAGCCGATGAATAGGTGGGGGGGGGGGGGGGGGTGAGACCACTAATTTTGTTTTGGCCTAATTCGTGAGAATTTTTATTAATATCTTTTTTTAACCGTCAGCAAAAAAAAAAAAATGTCCTCTAATTGCTAGCTGTACCCATCGCATTCGCACAAACAGAATTAATTAAAATGGCGTTATCTCATTTTCACAGAGTTAACGCCCTTTTCTGGCCAATTAAAGGGGCGGTACCCAAAGGCGATACCGATACCTTGCGTACGTGCGATCGGGATCGGAGCTGATCGATCGGCGACGACTAGACTGATGGACTGACTGAGAATCAAAAACACGGTAGTTTTTGTTTTGTCTTTTTATTTCAATCAAAGATGCCAAGATATTTAGCACTTGATTACGCTTACGAGGTAAGTGGTCTAGAAATGGTATAATTAAACTAAAGTGTTGAAAACTAACGATATTTCTTATAGAATTTTTTTGTTTTGTTATTAAAATGATCACTCACTCAGCTCAGTGACTCAACAGTCACTGCACTGACCACTGTCCATAGCCATGTCCATGACTGAGTCATGATAAGATTTGATCGGCCCGGGAGTCTGACTCTGACTCTGAGAATTAAAACATATTAGCCTACTACAGTCCACAGGCATTAGCTCACGGTTGATCGGTGTTGATACTTTTGGTCTAGACTATGGCTATGCCATTCACGAGTTGGAGGAAAAGAGAGGTTTAGAGAGTTATGATACTCATAGACACAGTCACCCGTACAATCAATGGTAGACTAGACTAGATCTAACTTGTTAGATCTGCAATTTTAAAATCCAATAAAACAAAGATGTACAACTACAAGTTACAACTAATGGCCTAGTACAAGTACAACTAAGCCTAAAAAAATAAGGCCAAGATAACCGTCCATAGGGCATAGCAAACTTGGTTAACTTATTTACTAATTTAGGTCTAGACTTTTTTCTACCAAGTCATGACATTATGGTTACGACCCTTCTATCTAATTTACCAAATAATTGTTATGTAATTTGAACAGACATTAATTAAAGAAAAAGATTGGCTGTGGATGAAGATCTTGATCTTAAGTAGATGTAGACTTAGAATCTACTTCTATACTAGACTAGACTATACTCTGTAAGTATTGGGACCAATCACCAGTCCATTGCAATGTTTTGTCATGATCATCTGTGTTTTTTCTTCTCATTTTGCAGGCAATAAAGGAACATCAGAATTTCCTGAGTGTTTTTCTCCTGGCTCTGCCATCAAGTCTTGGACTTAATGAACATGCTGGAAGCAATGAGGATTACAGTTACAAATTACCTTGGCTGCAAGGTATGTCAAGGAAATTTTCTCTTTCCGATATCACATTGGATAATTCATTCATTTTGAAGGAAATCTGATCAAATGATGTACTCATTCAGATGGATCTATACATTTTGGGGGCTGAAGAAACTTTAAAATCTTAATAGATATGTTAAAACTACATAACTTGGCAAATTGTATGAAATTATTTAAGCAATTCAATCAGTTATTTATTTGAACATTATTACATGAATAGATGTGTAGATATATGTATGAACAAAATGTAGGCCTATAACTATAATGAAGTTTTGAAATGTTGCACTTTAATTGGGTATTTCTTTCTTCTTTTCCTATAGTGAAAGGCAATGGCACACTGAGATCCTTGTCTAACTCTGAAGGCCTTCAAGAAACCTTGAGGCAAATTGTTCCTTCAGCCTCCGAACAAGGATTAGAAAGTATCTCTGAGGAAACAATTTACCTGTAAGCATCTTCTGAAAAGTAAATTAGTGAATTCATGAATTTCTCTATAGTATCAACCTTAAGTCTTGACCATCAGTTTAAAACAAAGAAAAAACTGCATCAATAAACGCAACAGAAATATGTATTGGTGGCTAGCCTTCAACAAAACAATCAATGAGACTGTGTGATTATTAAGACAATAAGAACTTATATGTGAATGTAAATTGAAAATCATGGTGGTTGAATTGTGCATACATTTTCTGGAATTAGTTGAGTTCATACAATTTTTTTTTAAACTGGCAAAACATTTTTTTCTTATTGAAGCTAGCTGTGCATCTTTTTATTCTTTTATTCTTTTTATTCTGTAGCCATCGGGTAAATGCTCATGAAGACTTTGCATTTTTCTTTCTTTTGAGATTTAGAGCTTTTATTTCTATTAACTGTGCTTGAAATCCCTACATTTTTAGATTGAGGGCCTGTTCTGAAAAGCGCTATATAAAAACAAATTATTATTATTTATTTATGTATATAATCCTCTTTCAGTCTTCCAAGTGAAGATGACATTGTGCCAAGCTCCAACCCAGACTCTCCCCCTTTGGACTCTCAGATCAAAAAGAGCATTCAGTCAGAGCTCCAACATACAGACCGTTGTCGGCCTCCTGGCAGCATTGAAGGCCATTGTGAGGAGGAGGAAGAAGGTAAACTTTAGGCCTGTCTTCATCAGCTTGAGTTTGCCAAATAGCACGCTATTTCTGATTCTAGAAATTAGCACGATCACGAAATAGCAGGCTATTTGGCAGGTGAAGACACCCGCTATTTGCTCGGGAAATTTTCCCAAGATATCTTAGGCTAGTTTGCAAAATAGCCCGCTATTTATCCGGTCTGTCTTCACCAGCCCGAAGACTCGCACTATGCGCGAACACTGAGCAAAATTTCTCGAGCTCAAGTTTCGAGCTGATGAAGACGCAATTTGTAACTTTGGGCTAATTTCCTGAATCAGAAATAGCAGACTATTTGACAAACTCAAGCTGATGAAGGCAGGCCTATTGACGATGATGGTACAGATAACTATACTTTAACTTCATTATGAACATGCATACAGACCAGGGTCCTGTTTCATCAAACTTCTAGTCAATAATAGATGCCAAACTTCTATAAAAACTTTGCTCTCAGCCAATCAAACGCAAAGATTCCAGTAACTTATAGGGCCCAGAATGTTGTTGCCTGGATGTAAGTATACAAGTGTTACAAATATCCTTGGGTACTGAACCTTTAAACTGACATTTGATTGAGATTTTAAAGATAGATGTTGTATTTGTTAACCATACTCGACTATAATGAACAGTTGTATGCCTCATAAGTTGTCAAATGGTGGAAAGTTAACCACTGAGATTATGTTTTACTGCAAGAATTAAAATTGCTCTATATCGTCACTGCAGATTTAGGCTTTCAGCTTATTCTATCAACTTTTATTAGAATCCCATTTCAATTGGTATTGATAGATACCCGTGAACAAAAGCGGCAAAGTGAAACCTATTTTATATCAGTAAGGCTTGAATATAACTTGCATTTGTTTCATCAGGAAGGGAATATGCAAGGTTTATGCTGGAGAACCTGTTTGATGTCGCATCAGGAGCAAGGCGACACCAGACTTGCAAGGAAATGTGCAAACAACTGGTCCCCAAGACTATCAAAGATCCATTTGCAAGCCTTCCTCCTGAGCAGAGGATTGAAGAACTGCAATTAGGGTATGGGAACTGTTTCTTTTCATGCAATCAACTATGTAGGAAAGGATTAAACATACCTTATGCTGATTTTTCTAACATTCAAGAGACGACAACAAACTAAAAGAGGAAAAGAGTCGAGTGAATGGAAACTGATTCAACATGCATACTAATTTGTTTTGATGACTAACATGATAAAGTAAAACAGAGAAAGCTAATTATAAAATTCATTTATGTGTGTACCAGATGGATGCATTATATTTTGTCATCAAAACAATGTTTGTGGACTATGCATTATTATACAAATAATTCATGTTTATGCATGCATTAGTAAATATGCACTCACACAAATTAAATCATAATCGAATTAGGAACAAGACTTGGATCTCATATTGATTTGTGAAAGACATCAAAACTTTTCTCACAATTTGTTTCCTTTGAATGATCCACAGGGCTGTCAAACAGGAAGGCGTCATTACTGAGCCTCATACAGAGCTCAACAAAGATTTAAAACTGTTCCCTGATGTATGGAAAGACCAAGCAAAATGCAAGGAAAAAGTAAGCATTTTAAAAGCCGATGATATTCAATCCATTGCCAAATGAATGACCCATAACATGTGACAATGTGTCCTTTAAAGCAAGATTGTGCACACTAGTTCTATTTGGACAGCCCATTGAAATTAAAGTAATATATTATTTATTTTGATAAATATTAGACAGCACATCTTTAAAGGGGAGCAAATGAGGATCAGAGACTTTATTAACAGTGAATGCTACAGTTTATAGTATAACAAAATTTTAAAAAATAGAGAAAACACTTGATTAAACAATTTCTGACAACTGATTTGCCACATTGTATTGTCAGTGCTAACATAACACACAACGATTATAGTTGTTACAAATGAGCAATACCTTGTACATGGTTTGATTCAATACACCCAGGAGCTTTTGTTACCAGAGTTAGTCTCATCAGCATACACCAATCAGTGCCCTCATCCAAACGTATGTGAGGTCATGCCGGACCACTGTCTAAGGCTGGAACAAGACAGCTATACTGACCCATTCAATTGGTCTGAAAGGGGTAAGTAAACAAAGACCATAACAAAATAGCCGTGGATCCACAGTTACTAGCAAGTAGTTTTTTTAAAGGAGGGGGGGGGGGGGATGTCTGAATTTAACTGTTAACAGTCTGTATGTATGAGCCATGTGTACACAATTTGAAATTTGAGGTAATGCTTTTAACTAGTATAGATTGATATTGCACAAGAGACAGTTAAATAATCTTGAAGCCTACACTATCTCGTGATACAGTGTGAAACATGGAGATTATTTTTGTGGCATACATGTATAAACAGTTATTGCAACTTTTGTTGGTTATACAACCAAGTTCTATAATATTTTGTGGACTCATATATCTTGTACTTTTATGCCTAAATGTATCTGAGAAGCTGGTGAACACTATTATACCGTGCGTAGGCTTAATTTGTTGACTAATGCAGCAACATTACATTATTTACGTTTTTGTTGGAAATATATTCACTTATGATGTGAGGTACTGAATTTTTGTATTTGTAATGCCACTTGTGTACATTCACTATATCATGCCTGGAAATTTGCAACAGAAAGAAAAACAGGTATTTTCTACTCTTTACTCTTTAGAGTTTCTTGAGTCAGTGTCTTCTCATGCAATTGGCTTGCATCAAGAACAACTTCCACGTATAGGCCAAGTCGATGGTGATCCTGTCAAGTTGAATCATGAAGGTATTTGTAGCTTTTATTTGAATCCTGTGGTTGAGAAGAAAAAAAAAAGGCAAACGATAGCATTCTTCCCAAAGAGAAAGGTTGCTTTCATAGTATGATTATAATACACCAACTGATCTCAGGTGAGCTATCTCTGCAATTAGTTATTGACAAATTGTACATTCTTGTATAAGCATAAGTTAAATAGTTTAGACTTAAGATGCTTTATAAAAAATTACCTAGTGATGAACTAATGCATTCACCGGTCGACACCATCATGTTGCATTTCAAGATAAATATTCAGTATGGGTAACTATGTAACTTTGTAAAAGAGGTACCTATAAAATTGAAAACTTGAATAATACATTTTGTGAACAACATCTTTTTTGCTTTGAGAAGGAGCTTGATATATATGTATGTTTTATTATTATTTTACTTTGCTAATCAAGTCACATAAATACATCAATAAAAAATAAACAATTGAGACAAAATCAATAGAAAACATATATAAATATTGCAAAAGCAGGTGCATCCGGTCAAGCTGCCTTGGTATGAAAAAAGTTAACCTAACTACTATGATCTACAGACCTTCCTCCCTACAATAAATGTGTAGCGGTGCCTAAAGTGCCACCTCATATATTTGTGTATTTTCATGCTTGTTTAGGCCTTGGTCCATTGGATCATAAAGAAAAGTTTGGTGACCTTGAACAAGGATCTTTAGAGCCTCCAAGGACACCCATTGATGTCTCAAAGTCAGCCAAAGATCCAGGACTGGACCATGTCAAGGTTCCCATGACTCCCATATCATGTTTGTATGTACCCTTCTTGTCAGATCATTTTAGTAGTGTGTAAGGTATTTTAATTTTTTTTATTTATTTATATGTTTTATTTAAACGGTAACTCTCTCAGTATTTTTAATACTGTTTTTCTGAGAGGCCATGTACACACAAAAAAAGATTACAAATACAGGAAATAACAAACAAAGTTAAAGGACATATACATGATGACATATATATATATATCAGAGTTATTTGTTTATAGTTATTATATAACCCTATAATATACACACAAAAATATGACAAAGTAATATTTGTCCAGCTGATATATATAGGTATAGCATTTTACCGCAAGTTAAAACAACTTGCTACATGATATATTCTAGGCAAAGGAGTCTGTATGGTACCAAATCTTCACTTTTTAAATACTTACACAAATATTGAATTATCTCTTCTTTAACTAAATTCATATTTCAAGTTCAAGTTGTAGTTAGAAATTGAAATATTTTCTATTTTACAAAGTATTGATGCAAACAAAAATTGTGTCATATTGGGCTACTCCAAGTCTTGATTGAATCTATTTAAATGTTCTAAATTGTACTTGACTTACTTTCATACGAATTGAAGACGGGAAATTTTTTTAAATTCAAACCTATGAGCGGATTTCTTTGAAGATTGTGTATATCTTTTAGTATTATAGCAACAAAAAAAAAGAAAAAAAAAAGGACAGTACATCTTCCTTTTAGACAATTTCCATTCAAGAGAAGTACATGCAAATTGTTTGGTTGAATTATGTGCACATTTGTACCCAGGTTTTTTCAGTCAGATTATTAGATGAATCTAATTTGTGTTTTTTGCCCAGTGATGCTGAGATAGTTACTCCAAAGACCAAAGAGAAGACAGAGAACAGAATGTGGAAAACAGAGCAATGTCTGCATGAGGCAGTAGCCCTTAGCCTGAAAGGTGAAATCAGGGTTAAATATTAGAAGTTTTTGGGATGTTAGGAAGGTCGACATTTGGATGCATATCTGATTATCATATGAATTCTGAAGATAAACGGCCATTTACAGGGTGTTCAGTATTTAGAAGCGTACAATATTGGGTCAAGTGACCGTACTGTCAAAGTAAAAAAAAAGTAAATAAATATATACCGGTAGATATTTATCCTTTTGGAAAATTCCATCATCATTTTAATACTTGTGGTCATCATCATTATTGGATTATTTCTAGTTCTATAATGTTCCAACAATGCTTGAAAAATTGAATAGGAATGATATTTTCTAGCCAATTTGAGAATAAACAAAGATAAGTAACATGTTTTATCATTGCTGGTTTCCATGTGTTTTTATGATTTCCTCAGTTCCTGAAATAAAAAATAATGAGAAGCCTGACCCTGTCCCGTCCTCACCCAAGTCTCAGCTTGGCTTAACCAAAGAGCATGGCAACAGTGATGTAGATCTACTGGTGCCATGGCAACCGGTCAACATGACACGGCTTATGAAGAACAAGAAGTTCACCAGGTCCGTTGAGGATATAGAGGGTGCAGGAAAGATCAAGATGCTGGACTGTGCAGTGGGCAGCAACCTAGAGCATGTGACAAAGGAAGAGATATCAATAGGTGTGTATCGAATGAAATGCGGAGCAAGCTGACAGATTTTTGGCTATTCTTGACTTCAAGGTTGCCTGTGTAAAATATTGTGAAGAAATATTATAGGGGCTGCAGCATGGGAAATACTGGTTGGCGCCACCTTAAAGGGGGGTGTAGCATGTCAAATACTGGTCAACGCCATCTACGACTTGTTTTGGACGACTGCATGTAAACGAATAAACTTGATTAACTGGGTCTCCTCATGCTTTTGTTTCGCGTATACGTAGGCCTACTGCTGCCTCGTCGTCCATAGTCGTATTATACCCGATTTTCCCCGAGTGGTCCTCAGGAAAGAAGCATAGTCTCTTCATGCTACAGCCCCTTTAATACGTTCACATCTTCCTAAGATTAATCAATATATGCATATTTTTTTTTTTTGCAGAGATTTGGAAGTCTCGATTCTTTAAATTTGTGAAAGTAAATAAAGCCTAAAAGAAAATACAGTAGAAATTGCATAACCATATTTCATGCGATTTCAATTGACCGTATACAGATTTAAAGAAAAATGTGTTTACTTCTTCCTTAGGTGTAACTTACCAAGTGCTTTTATCTTTTTTTTTCTTCTCTCAAATATGGCTTTTGCCTTGTTTCTCTCTCAAGAAAATTTTAGTATATATTTATATTATTTTCACTTCCTGTTGACAAATGCTGAGAATAAAAACATGTTCATATCTTCATTAGATTGGTGTTAACTTTAAAAAAAAAAAAAAAAAAAATGTTTCCATTTATCTCTGTCTTTAAAATTAAATCAGAAGACGATGAATGTAATACCCTGATGTAGCAGTTAACAATAAAGACAAATATGTTATAGAACCCTATAACGTTTGCAACTATGTTAACTTGCCTTTGTACTAACCTGACTAAAAACTTCAACTTATTTTCTTCCTGCTTCATTTGAACAATTTTTGCCTCACATATTCTGGAATAAGCTTCTCAAGAGAGATAACCATTCTGCAAAGATTGTTTTTACTGACCTCTTTTACTGAACGTAAAACTATTTAAAGACTAGATGTCCACATCTTCATAAGATTGCATTGTGAATCACATTTTCAGTTTCAAGATTCAAATTTTCTGAAATTCCACCAGAGTAAATAAAGGTTAAAAATTAATAACATAATCATGTTCTTCAAATTATATCTAATACTTAAATGAGAATTCTGAGAAAAGAACATTCACACTTTCATGAGACAATGATCTTTATTTTGCCTTGTCTAATTGCAATAGGCGGTGATGAATGTGACAAACTATTGGAGCCATTGGGAATGGATGCGGAGAGGACATTGCAGGAACCTACATCACATGATTCTGAAGAGCACAGTTCTACACCTTCAGAGACATCCATGACTCAAACTGAGGTAAAGAAGAAACATCATCTACATGGAGCTCCTAATTTTATGGGAAATTTCATGTAATATTGGCCGATTCTGATCATTCAGACCCTTTGATGCATGTTACACAGTATTATCTTTTTGGAGGCAATTTCAGCCAAATCTATAAACATGGCAGGGGTTATTTGAAAAATAAATTTCTTCATTTCATCTGTTAACTAAATTCTCAATACAAATGTTTTCTCAAAATATTACCTTTGTAAAAAAAAACAGAAAGAAGAATACCACATACGAGCTGCCCTGCAGACAGCTTATTGTACTTCTTGTTAAAATCAAAGATCTTTAAATACTGATTAAAAATAATTTACCATTATATGTGCATCATAAGAACAGAGTGTAACTTGATAATCTGTGAACAGGCATCATCTGTTGTAACCTTTGAAGGCTTCCATAGATAGAGCATGAATGGGCCCTTTTCAGGGCCAACTAATCCTGTTGAAAGAATATGTAATGTAACATAAATTCCGCTCAAACTCCTTACGTTTATAGGAGCCCCTACATGAAGGCAGTAAGGAAAAGACAGCAGATGCTGCTCCAAAAAGACATTCTCCTGTAGGGGATCCTCTGATGGACTTCCTGAAGCTCAGGTGCAAGGAAACTCTGATCAGAAAGGAGAGAGATGTTCCTATTCAGCAACCTCCACTACCACCCCCTCTCCTCTCGGAAGCGAACAAGAAGAATGCAGGAGAGCTTCCTCCTACGATAGAGGAGAATGGTTAGTTTAAAGCCCCACTGCACTACTTGTAGCTACTTGCTCCCAATGCCTAAGCGGTGCCCTTTGGTCTCCCATGATCATCTTGTTCTTATGTTAATTGAGAGCTGAGTTGATGAGATAACCACTTGTCAGTGACCAAGCTGGGTGGTCTAATCCCTCTTGGCCAAACTAGTACAACCGGGCTTTAATTAAATGTTTTTGTGTTTCTCCCATTCGGGGAAGGTGCTTTATATTGTGATCGATACATAGAAAAGATTAATTGATGAGGAGGAGGAGGAGGAGGAGAAACGGGAGAAGGAATACCATGGAAATGTGTAGGTGGAGAAGGAGGAGAAAAGAGAAGGTAGAGGAAGAGGAGGAGAAGGAGGAGGAGGAGGAGGAGGAATAGCAGGAGAAAGTGAAGGGGGAGAAGGAGGAGAAAGAGAAGGGAAGGAATTAATTTTGGTGATAAATTGTCATGATAATGATGGGGATAATAGTGATGATGATAATACAGATTAACAGACTATCACTGATTCAGAATGAATTAAACAAAATCTATAAATTTCTATTTCACAGATTTCAGAAGTATGCATTGCTTCATCCCTAGCTTTTTTTTCTGTGCTCTTAAAATGCCTTTTCTTCATCTGTTCTTTTCTTTCTGCTCAAGATACACTTAGGCCTTCAAAACCTATCACAATTAAGAAAGAGATGGTCTGTAAGGATGACTTTGATGAATCTAAGCTGACGCCAACCAAGTCCGGGAATAAGAAATCAAAGAGCAGGGTAGTTGAAGTTACCCTTACAGGTGAGTTTAGAATATATTGTGTAAATGATATTTCAATGCGTGCTTGAAAATTGCTTCTCCTTAGCAGAGGAATAGAGAAAGGTACATAAAGGTTAAAGGAAGGCCCTCACAGTCAGACAAAAGAAAAAGCATGATTTCATCTACCTAAATGTACCTGAACATGTATAACATTCTTTTGCCTACATGGCAAATATCACTTCCAATTCAATGTATTATACTTCATTTGTGAAGAACAGATAAAAAAGGGCCCTAGTAACGAGTTACAATAACTGTTCTTATTATGGCTACTGAATTTGTTGCATTAGATTGGCTGAGAGCAAATTTGTAATTGAATCTTAGCATTTGATATTGATTACAAGTTTTAACAAAAGGCGCCCAAGACTGATGATGATAATACCTGCATAGTCAGAGCAAGTAGTTGGAGTATCAAGTAATAAAGAGGTTCTTATATGTGTTTACATAATTAATCTCTAATGTGCCACGTGTGAGTTTGATATCAACATATATGTTCTGTATTGCTTTCCACAAGCACTAATCCAAGTTCTACATTCTCCCCCGAACTAGGGTGTCGAAGTGGTAAATAATTGAAAATCTTAAATTCAACATCAATTTGACTTTATTTTCATCATTTTCAGCTCCTTTTCTTGAGATGGTCAAGGTGATAGAAGAAGCCCTTGCACCGGTCGTCAGTCATCTTCATTCCATCAGTGCCCTGTCACCATCCTACACACTCGACACCCTCACAACAGATGTCACTCGATTCCTCCTCCTTCAGCATGAGAAGCAAAGTGGCACCTCTACAGGTAATAAAGGTCGTATTTCAAATGTAAAAAATAACAATGTAGGAGTCCCTCAAGGTACAAAATTGGGGCCTATATTATTTTTAATTATGGTTAACGATGCGTGTCATGATTGTTTACTCCCTTTTTATAAGTATGTGGATGATTTAACTATAGTAGAAAGCCGGACTTATAATAATAATATAATAATAATAATAGAAAATTATTAGAAAATTGGTCTTTACTCAATAATATGAAACTTAACCCAAGTAAATGCATTGCTATGACAGTCTCTTTTATGAAAAATCAAACTCACCAACTGTTGTATATTGATGAGACACTTTTAAATGAAGAAAATATAATCAAAGTTCTTGGAGTTTATATTCAATGTGATTTAAAATGGAATACTCAAGTAAAGGAAATGTTAAAGAAGTGCAATAGAAAGTTATATATGTTACGTACCTTGAAACGTTTTAATTTACCTATTATTGATCTCGTTATTGTTTATACTGGATACATAAGACCAATTTTAGAGTATTGTGCACCACTTTTTCATTCCAACCTAACACGTATACAAACAGATAATATTGAACGAATACAAAAACGGGCATGTAGAATTATTTTGGGACTTAATTATGAAACATATAATCATGCTCTAGAACTGTGCAATTTGTTAACGTTGGAAGAACGTAGGAATAAACTTTGTTTTGATTTCGCCACTAAATTAGAAAAGCATGATTTGTGTTCGTTATGGCTACCAAGTCAAAGAATTGTTAAATTTAATTTACGAAATGTACAGAAATATTCTCAATTTATTTGTAAAACTAGTCGCTTTAATAACAGCTCTATTCCCTATTTTGTTCGTATCTTAAACGATTATTATTCAAAAAAGTAAGCTTCATATATTTGTGTATATGTTTATGTTTAATGATGTTGCCTATTATGTGTATAAATGTGTCCAGTATTTTTATCCTTTTATATGTCATTAATTTTATTTTATGTCAATATGTATAATGCTCAGTGTATTTTAAATATCATGATGTTTTTACCTTGTACAAATGATCTGCAATTCAGCTTCGGCTGCCAGAACATCATACGAATAAACCCTTATTGAATTGAATTGAATTGAATACCTGTAGATTACCCGATTTAAATCGGTTTCCCGATTTATTTTTTTTCTTCCCGATTTATTTTTTATTTTTTTTTTCACCCGATTTTTTTTTTCTCCCCCAGATTATTATTATTTTTTTCTTCTTCTGATTTTTCCTTTATTTTCCCAATTTTTCCCCAATTTTCTTCCTTAAAAGCGGGGGAATGTTGTAAGAAACCATTTTTTTTCCCCAGAATTTTTTATTTTTAGTGCTCACTATCACCCCTGGTATTCCCCAATTAAAAATAAAATTAGGGTGTACTGAAATATTTGGTATTTCAATGCAAATCATGCAGGGCTCTACAATACTTTACAAAGTGGGGCAATGATTGAAGTAACAATTGTCCAAAGCAGCATCCCTTCTTTTTCTGTTAAACTTTTCAAGTTAAAACGTTAAGGATGTTGTTAATGGTAGTGGTCCAAGGTTCCATGTTTTCAAAGCAGCCACAGTAAAACATTTATTGGTAAATGAGAGTCTGGATTTGGGAATAATGTGTTTACTTCTTGTCAGTCGGTAAGCTTGTCAGTTATAAGCTGGTTTACATATTTAGAGGGTGTCGTTAAGATATTCAGGTGCCATATTTAGAATTTTGAAGACATACTGTATACAATCAGACTGTAAAAAATGTAATGTATTGTTGTAGACGTAACCTGGTGGATTATCAGCATTCAGCAAATACTATAGTTAGTCATTTTAATGTCTACTGTATTTCATGAATGTGTTCTTCACTTTGTTTTATCAGTGAAAGAAGATACAGAGAGACACAAGTATATCGTTCTGCTTCACAGCTATGCAACTGCAATAGACCTGATGATAAACTGTGATGCTGTGTCAGCTATCATGCACCTTGCACTTACTAATGAGAGATACAAGGATATTCTTAAAGGTACATCACTCAAATAATCATATGGACTCAGAAAATAAATTGGTTTGATAATGAATATTTGGTTAGAACACTGTTTATAAATTTTTTTTGAGTCACATTCATTGCCTTAATTGATCAATTGATCAAGAGACTTATTCAAAGCGACTGTTTAGTTCCTGTTATACCCTCTTTCTTGTGCTACATTTATCAAAAGACCTTCATTTTGTTGCTATATATTCCCTTACTCAAAGCATACAAAAGAGGAGGCACGATAGCTCAGTTGGTAGAGCAGTGGTCTTGTAATCCGGCGACCTGGGTTTGAAACCAATTCGATGCACTAGTGCCCTTTGGTAAGGCAATAATCCTCATTACCAGGTCCCTCGGAGAGGAACTAAATCTGTTGGTCCTTTGATTGCTTACTAACAAGCATTTATGCTTTCTTAGCAGTCAGGTAAAATAATCACTACTACTACAATTATAAATATTTGGGTTGCTAGAGTCAGGCAATCAAATCTTCATCTTTTATTCATTTACTAGCCCGACAATCCAATCTAGTTGCCCATGAACTAGGGCAAGGGCTACTTACATTGAGACCATGTCTTGAAAAAAAGTGATTGCATGTGATGAAATTGAAGAGAGACAATGTGCCATCTTGTATTGCAAAGATATGAATTAATCACATTTTATTGCACACATCCTACGTTCTAAGCTATATACTTTGGATAATGCACAGAAGAATGGTTTCTTTATTGTCTTGATTGACAAAATATTGTCAAAGATATGATTTCTTTATCCATATAAATCTTATAAGGATTTGTTATTACTAAGGTCAGTTTAAAGGATCAATGCAAATATGAATTGTATGATATTGATGTATTCCAGGATGCCTAGATTCTGTGAGAAACGTGCTATTCAAGAAGCAATGCCTACTTCCCAAGCACACCTTGCATCCTAAGCTACAGGAAATGGCCAGACTGACCGCAGAATGGTTCCAGAAGAAACTCAAGAAAGAAGGAAGAGACCATGACCCAAAGGTATATTATTAAGCTTATCTGCACTAGTTTGGCCATGAGGGATTAGACCTCCCCGCATGGTCACTGACAGGTGGTTATCTCATCAAATCAGCTCTTAATTAGCATAAGAAAAAGGGGATCATGGGGGACCAATGGATACCGCTTAGGCATTGTTTGCTATATAGAGGGTGCAAGACGCCACAAGTAGTGCAGTCCCCCTTTATATAATAATATTATTGGATATCTTCATAGCGCACATATCAACCATGCAAGGTGACGAGCCGCTCCAATATTACCCCCGCTCTGCTGGGCTACCCATTCCAATGCTCACAGCATTCAAGAAATCCCTTTGTACCATTTCCCATTTCACACCTGGGTGGATCGAGAGTGGCAAATGTAGATTAATGTCTTGCCAAAGGACATAAGTGCCGTGTCAGCACTTGATCCGCAGACCATGTGAACCACAGTCCAAAGATTAAATTTAGTTTACCTAATCCAAAGTCAACTTTTCTGTAAAGAGTGTTTTTTTTAAATATTTCTATAAAATGTTGATGTTCTCTGTAAAATCTCTATCTTTATGTAGTTAACAAAGATACATCTTGAACTAGGGTATTTAGGAAGTGAGTTTATTTATTCAACATCTTGACGTTCCGTTTTGAGCACTTACATTCCGTGCATGTGTGTGTGTACTCCCTGCTGTAGCTGGCAGTATATACCTGCGGGATATTACATCCCTCCTTTTCTTTAGATTTGTTTCATAATCATAAAACAATAAACTTGTTACACATACATGTATTTTTCTTGACACTTTCAAGAGTAACAAAAATGAAAATATCAATATAAAGGTTTAGTTTGTTTGTATCTTTCTTTCAAATACAAAATTTCACTATAATTGTTTTTCTTCAAAGAAGTACATGCATGATCAGTGTACAGAACTATGTATATCAGGTTGAAAAATGTTTTTTCCAGGTACATGTATTTGGTACATATATCTTCACAAATTGAGTATTACCGTGGTTACAAACAGATCAATTAATAAGAGATCATACCGTTTCAAAATGACTGACTGTATTTCAAACATAGAAAGCATATTTCTTCCTCCTTTTCTTTAGCTTAAATGAACATAATGTATCAAATACACAAACACTGTTTTGGTACATGTATTGTATGGAACACTAAACTCTCAAAATGACAGGAATTCTTTCCCTCAAAATGAATGAACATGAATAAACACATCTTCTTGCATGTGTGATTAATAACAACAGAATAATGAAACATAAATGCAATATCCCTTAGGATATGAACAAAAGCATCTTAGCATTTCACAAAACAACTTTAAACATTGGTTACAAAAGTTCTTCTTCAATGGTTTTAGTATTCAGTTTAGGTTTTGTAGTCCTTCAGATAGGCTGGTGGCCTTCTGGTGCGGTTTGGGACCACAGTTTCTGAGTTTTTGTCACTTTGTTCTGACTTGTCCGTCTGTTGAGTATAAGCTGTGACTGTGAAGGCGATCGCTTAAAGAAGGATACATTGCGTGTGACGCACCATGATGTTGATTGACATTTAGCAGTGATCATGTTACCCTTCCTCTTGATAATCACTAGAGGGGTAGGATTATACGGGGGTGTGAATTTATCACCTCGTGCATCATTACGCACTATCACTTTGTCACCTACTTTGAAGTCGCATTTCACTGTGTGCAGTCGCTTGTCAGCGTAGGATTTTTGCTTTGCTTTCGCTACATGATCATTCGCTATCGCTTTCGAGTGACTGGCAGCAATTTCATCGTTGACCATTGATGATGTGTTGTCATGAGCAACATCTACTTCTGGGAGGCGCGTAACCGGTTCTCGATTAAACATCAATCGAAATGGGCTTACTCGCGTTGAAGAGTGTGGTGTGGCACGATATTGTCGTAGGTATATGTACAGCTGTTGTTTCCAATTCTTTCCTTCGAGGTGTGCAGCGCGCACGGCTGTGATGAGTGGTTTGTTAAATGCTTCTGCTTGAGCATTAGCTCTAGGCCAGTGAGGAGTGATTCGACGATGCTGAAATCCGCAGTGAGACGCGTAATCGGCGAATGAACTCGAATTGAATGGGCTTCCATTATCGCTCTTGAGGGCTTTCGGAAATCCAAATACAGACAACACTTTATCAAGAACGGGTATCACAGCTCTAGCGGACACTGAACCTACAACCTCTACAACTGGGTATCTCGAAAACTCATCAATGAGTACCATCAAATACTCTCCTGTTGGTAACGGACCACAGAAATCGATGCTTAAATTCTGCCAAGGACCGGGTGGCATTTGTGACATCTTGAGGGGCTCCAGAGGCGTACGGATATCGCGTACGGTTTGGCATACAGGGCAATCTTTCACAAGTGATTCCACTTTACTATCAAGCGATTCAAACCAAACCTTTGAGCGGAGCAATGCTTTCGTACGCACAATACCTGGGTGACTCTCGTGTGCGATATCGATGATACGCTTATGAAGGGCTTCTGGTATCACAATACGCTTATCCCTCAGCACAATATCATCTTCAGTGACTGCAATTTCATTGCGAACATTCCACATAGCGCGATGAGAGCCTTTGAGATTCTCCCATTTTCCACTGCGATAGGCTTCGATCGTAGCTTGTAATGCAGAATCGCGGGCTGTTTCTGATCGTATGTCGTCGAGACTGGCGGTTTTTGGAGCTGCATGATGAGCCACAAAGTTGATGTAGGCTTCGACATCTGGCATTGGTGTACTAGCGCTATCACTACAGGGATGCCGTGAAATGTAGTCAGCTGGGTTTGTCTTTCCAGGGGCGTGGATTACATCCATGTCGTAGTGCTGGAGTTTCAACATCCAGTTTGCAATGCGTGCTGATGGTACAATCTTTGGCTTTCCAAAGATAGGGATCAGAGGCTTGTGGTCGGTGACCACCGTGAAGTTCCGACCAAAAAGATATGTGTGAAGACGATGAACACCCCAAGCAATACCAAGAGCTTCTCTCTCTATCTGCTGTATCTTTGTTCTGTTGGTGTAAGGGAACGACTAGCATATATGATTGTACTTCCCTCTTGGGTCAACATGGCTCCCAGTCCCACTGGGCTGGCGTCGACATACAGAATTGTACGCTTGGCTGTGTCAAAGTATGATGATACTGCACTTTTTGATATGGAATCCTTCAACGCTTTCAACGCTGCTTCATGCTCTTAATTCCATTCAAATTTCACTCCTTTTGTCATGAGGCTACGGAGAGGTGCAGTGATTGTCGCGAGATTGGGAATAAAACGCGAGCTATAACTGGCCATGCCAAGAAGACTTCTCACTTCCTGGGCATTTTGCGGACGTGCAGCCTGGTGGATAGCGTCAACCTTATCAGGATCAGGTGACGCTCCTTCTGCTGAGAATACAAGGCCAAAGAAAGAAATCGTTGTCTTGTTGAATTGGCATTTCTGCGTGTTCAGGGTCAGTCCTTGCTCTTGCAGACGTTGAAAGAGTGTATTCAGCCTCTCATTGTGTGACGCTTCATCAGGTGCATGTACAAGAATATCATCAGACACATTGAGGACTCCTGGTATGCCTTCTAATGTCTGACGAATGGCGTTCTGAAAAACTTCACTCGCAGAGGATATGCCGAAATTCAGCCTCTTGTAGCGCTTCAGTCCAACATGCGTTGCAAACGTGGTTATGTATCTGCTCTCAGGTTCAAGCTCGAGCTGATGGTATCCAGATTTCAGATCCAACTTAGAAAATACCTTGGACCCGTTCAACTCAGTGATGATTTCATCCATTGTAGGTGTAGGATGACGCTCTCTGATGACAGCCTTATTAGCCGCCCTCATGTCCACACAAATCCGAACATTCTGTGGATCATTTGGCTTGGGAACGGCTACAGTCGGCGAAACCCATGGAGTCGGCCCAGTAGCATCCTCGATTATGTCGGCGTCCTGTAGCTCAGCAAGCTGTTTCTCAATCTGTTTTCGCAGATGAAATGGTGTACTGCGAAACCGTTGTGCGACTGGAGGAACTGAGGTGTCAATATGGAGTTTCACCTTCTTGTCTTTCAGCTTCCCAACCCCCGACCATAGGTTTGGGTATGCAGATGTATAGTCATTTTCTGCATTGACAGCATTGGCGGTGTCGTTGATGATGATCAAATTGAGATCTTCAGCAGTGCTACGCCCAAGAAGACATCCATATGAGCCCTTCACCACATATATTTCTGCAGCAGTGGTTTTTCTCTGTGACTCGAGGCTACCGGTAAACACACCTAGGACACTCAAGGGTGTTTTCGAACCATACGGGAAGAGGCGGATAGAAGATTTCTTAAGGCTCACGTTCAGTTTCTTGTAGGTAGGCTCATCGATGATGTTTCGCGAACATCCCGAGTCGATAATCATAGAACAGCGTATGCCATCGATGGTTATACCTACATGTGTTGGCGGCTTGGTGTTTGACACTGCGAACATATACTCATGGATCGTGTCAACAGGGTTCTGCGAGGTGTCTGCACTTGGGAGTGATGTGGCATTATCATCGCTGACAGACTTGACTGGTTTGCCATTGCGGCAAACTGATGCAAAGTGGTTCATTTTATTACAGGTGTTGCAGCGTTTGCCCTTTGCAGGGCAGTCTCCAGTGTGAGGATAGCCATAGCCACAATTTCCACACTGTGATGATTTCTGGTTGGGACGTGCACGCCCTTTCTGTTGTGAAGAAACGCGATGGAATTGTGTAACCTTGTCTGCTTCGACTCCATCCGCCCGCTCATGTGATAACTCAAGTGATCGAGCTAGCTCTATAAGTGTGTCGAGAGATGTCTGTTTCTCAAGGGCGCGTCTACGTAACTGTCCTGACCGACAGCCGGTGATAATCTGAGTGACTAATTCACGTTCCACCTCTGTGAATTAACTGACACTTTTCCGCTTCCTTCCGTAATCTGGTGCAGAATTGTGCAACGTTTTCATCAGCTTCTTGGGTGAGTCTACGAAACAAAATCGTCTCGTAAATGATGTTCTTCTTCGGCACGAAGTGGGCTTTAAGAGCATCACATGCCCTTTCATAATCATTGTCAGTCCCTGTATCAGGTAGGGTGTCGAACACATTCTGGAGCTGTTCACCTCCATAGTGCAACAGAAGGGCCCGTTTTCGTTTTGGTCCGATGATATTGAACCCAACCATGGCTCCTTCAAATCTTTTTATATACTGTTCCCATCTCTGACTCAAAGATGCACTGTCCCCGTGAGGGTCAAACGGTGGTAGAATGGGCATAGACATATTGGGCTATTCACTGGATCACATGAATGTCAATACGTGGGGCACAAAAGTTACTCGGTACACACTCAGTCACCATCACACGTACGTGTACGTACCGTCTGTGGAAAAAAAGTCAAAAGTTCACTTTTTTGTCGAACAGTAGAGCACAAAGTGGATCCCGTCTCGTCGCCATTGTAAAATCTCTATCTTTATGTAGTTAACAAAGATACATCTTGAACTAGGGTATTTAGGAAGTGAGTTTATTTATTCAACATCTTGACGTTCCGTTTCGAGCACTTACATTCCGTGCATGTGTGTGTGTACTCCCTGCTGTAGCTGGCAGTATATACCTGCGGGATATTACATTCTCCCAGAGGCATTTTGTTTTGGAACCTGTTTATATGGATTTGATGTCCAGAGCAGACAGAAAATGTAATGCAGAATAAAGCAAACTACAGTATTAGGTGACTGGCAGACACTGCTCTATCGATACAAATGCATTTATTTTCTTATCCTAAGATTGAAGTTCTAGTATACTTTTTTGAATTCATGTAATGCTTTTGTATATTAACCATGCCATAGCGTTGATTAGAGCTCCAATTGTTATTCCTAGATATTTGTTGTTCAGCTAATACCTGTACCAAAGAAGTCTAGATTTTGAACTGATTGGAATGGTATTTATCTGTTAGGAGACTTGAATAATCCCATACTTTATACAAAAAAGGATGCAACATTTATCTTCCTTGATCACAATATATTGGCCATTACCATCACAGCCTTGTTTTCTAGTGCAGTGTTTTGTCTCCTTAGGTTCTTGTTATCATCAGAAGAGAGTATACAAAGCTTGCTGAGAATGTCACATCTGTATTGTTATCAGTTAAAGGTAAGGGGAACATCATCCATGCATATTTAGAATGTATTTAGTATTAAAGTTTTCAATGATGACTTTGCCAAATGTGATTTCAAACCCACACTCTATATTTTACCCACTGAAAACTCATCTTGAATACTGTGAACATGATCCATTGCCTACAAGTATGCTGCTTTGCTCAACTGACACCCAAACCACCTTGCTGTCAGTGAAGATTTGGACAAAAAAATGACCCAATGATCATGATTGTAAATGACTCACATATGCACATGTACACCAATTATGAAATTTCATTTAATCCTGTACACAACCCCAGTTATCCAATGTTTATATACATGTCTGTTCCAGGTCTTTCTGCCAGCACTCTTTCTTCAACACCCCAAACCACCTACATGGCAGTCATGGAAGCTCTAGACAAACACAACTGCTTGGTCATCTCACCTGCCCAGATCGACGAGAGCTTTCCATGGGCTCACTTCTCGCTGGTCATCGAGTATGAAGCCTCCCCCAAGAGCCCCTGGAAAGAGCTTTGCCTGCGCCAGAAGATCAGACACATTGAGCTGCGATGTGTTGGTCATGCTAGTTCTGGAGCCACCCTGGGACATCTTAGTACCACAGGTTGTACTACCTGCTTTAGTAACCACCTGTCTACAAAGACCACTTTTGTGTTTCCCTTGGGTGGTCGCTATAGACAGGTTTGACTGTATTTGTTTGTTGTGTGGCGTATCTTGAGATTAGTTAAACCCTGCCTCCTACATCTCTCGTTTTAAGATTAATCCCAAGGAAAATCCCAAGACCCCTTACCCACTCCCTCAAGAAATGACACAATTACTTCCAACATGACCGCACCACTAGGACAGTTTCTTTTCAGGGCAATCAATTTCCATCTGGCCATTAATCACCAAAGAGACTGTCATATGAAGGGTGTCTTGTTCATCTGCTTAATGTGGTAAAGAGTTATTATTGATTGAGAAATTATCAATCTGTCATACTCAATAAAATAGGTTCATATCCACTGAAGATAGAGGCTGTACTTTGTTTATCTAGAGGTAAAGAAACAAACTAATTAACTGATGAAATCTCTTTTGTTTTCGACATTGGCATCAAACAGTTTGCTCCCATCATCTCATGGAAGATTTTTGGAGAGATTTTGAGAGACGAGATTGAACGCACTATTCATTAAAGCCCCACTGCATTACTTATAGCTATTTGCACCCTCTATATAGCAAACAATGCCTAATCGGTGCCTAATGGTCCCCCATGATCCTCTTCTTATGTTAATTGAGAGCTGATTTAATGAGATAACCACATGTCAGTGACTTTGCAGGGAGGTCTAATCCCCCCTGGCCAAACTAGTGCAGAGGGGCTTTAAAGAAACAAATACAAATCATTTTAAACTTTGCAGCCACTAGGATACTCACTAACAAATACCCTGTTTTATATCTTCTTATATTCCATGGACTAGATGGTGTAAACGAGATGAAAGCTGATGAAAAGCCAAAGCAGATTCCACTCAAGCTGATTGGATCTGAAAGTGTCATCAACTCATCTAAGCTACTACACATGCTAGAGACAAGGTAAGATAGACCATTCTTGATGAGAGTATACAGTCTGCTTGAAATTCGGACGGATAGTGAATATTCTCTATGGGAGGTTCGTGAATTTTACATAAGATTCAGAGAATCAGCTGTTGTCAAGGCTATATAGTAGCCTTTGCACAAATAATTGAGATTGGTTTGTTCATCCATGTTGGAATTTATATCAGAAAAGCTTCCATTTAAACTAAAAGTATAATTAATATGTGACTAATAAATGATGATAAATAAAAATAATAAATTTACATAGCGCAGCTTTTATACAAAATATATTCAGCTGCGCTGGTTCAGAGCTCCTTTTTGTTTTTTACTAAATTCTACAAAATAGAATCTCTCACTTGAACAAATATGTTTTTAATTTGGATTTGAAGACATTGAGAGATGGATCGAGTGCTTCGTATTTCTATTGACAAGTTATTCTATAGTTTGGGGACAGCAATAGCAAAAGCGCGGTCCCCGAGAGTTACTTGAATAATTCTTTCGATGTAAATAGTGCTTAGCTGATCTATGCTGGATCTATTCCCGCAGGTATAACATACTGATCGTCGAACGCACAACTGCCTCAACCTGTAACTCTCCCCTGCCGCGAACCGCCTATGCCGATCTTATTCTAGATGAGAGGAGAGGCATCATCATCGTAGAATTGGAAAGCTTTCTGGGAGAGGGCGCTGTAGAGCCACTCGTTCATCGCATCACAATGCTCTCACAGCAGTTCTGCAAGCTGTGGGTGATTCTGGAGGGGAATGGTCAAAGTAACAGGTGTGTGTATACTGCCACGCATATCTATGTTGTTATGATTTATTAAAATGTTTTGGATTTTTGTGATCATTCCCAATTCAGAAAAAGTTTTCTGAGAATGTAATCATCACATGCACATGCATTTTAACCGGGTGACTCTGGGTATTGGATCCAATATCCAGAGTCACCCGGTAGCTAATGCATTATTTTGTGTACAAATTTCGTTATTCCATTGTGTTTTAAATTCTCCCTTCTAAATTAAGTCTTTCTCTACTGCTACAGCTTTTTCATCTACAATACTTATTTTACCAGGAACCTATAATATACAAGCACTGCTTTTTTTATAGGTTCCTCACATTCTACTTAATCTATTATATGAATCAAGAATCATTGAGGCGTGCTCATATATACTAGATGTATTGTATAATTTTTATTTGATATGTATGTCTATATTTTTGGTAGAATGTGGAACAAATAAAACTTGAAACATTTAATCACCAACAATTAAAATTTAATTTCCTGTGAGATACATATAGGATGTACATTATGATTGACACACATGATTGAATCTTCAGTTCAAGCCAGTTTGGTAAAGTTTCCACTCGAAGAATACTAGCTTTGAATAAATTTAATTTGGTAGAATGTGGAACAAATAAAACTTGAAACATTTAATCACCAACAATTAAAATTTAATTTCCTGTGAGATACATATAGGATGTACATTATGATTGACACACATGATTGAATCTTCAGTTCAAGCCAGTTTGGTAAAGTTTCCACTCGAAGAATACTAGCTTTGAATAAATCATGTTGTACAAAGATATATTTTTTTAAAAACAAACAATAGAATAGGATGAGAGAGAGAGAAACAACAAAAGAATCAGAAATCGACAGGAAAACATATTATGTAGACATGAACTGCAATTCGCTGCCAATCAAAGGGCTTTTAGTACATTTACACGTATATATATTTTCATCTATACAATTTAATCTAATATAATAATTCTGCTTTAACATTATCTTTTTAATGAATGAAGTCGCATTCTCCTTTTTATTTATTACTAAAATACTGTATATGAATGTACATTTTATAACTTTATTTCATGTTTTTTTTGTATTTTACTTTAAATGTGACAATATCAGTCTCCAAATTTTTGCCATGTTCTCTTTTTACAATAAAAACAAAATTTAATTTGATTGAAAATCTTGTTTCTCATTTCCTAAATTGTTCTCTTCCTTTTTTATCTTCTTCTTCTTTTTGGGGGGGACAGATATGCTCTTGGCGGTCATGTGGTAGTAAATACTTGCAAGCTACAGGCAGCCCTATCACAGTTCGCAGCCAAGTCACATGACTTTGAAGTGAAGGTAACAAATACACTTTCCTAATTAAAGCAATGCTAAAATGTAGTAGTATTATACTATGTGTCGTTTTGATGAAGCCAGGGATGAAGAAGAGAGTCTTGAATACATGTTTGAGAGGGGGGAGAGAGACATATATAAAGGGAATATAAAAGGAAAGAGAGCGAGGGAGGGGTAGAGAGAGAGAGATGGAGAGAGAGAGAGAGAGATTGTGATGATGATGATGTTGATACAGTTGATTGAAAAAGTTTCTTTGATTAAAGGAAGACATAGCCATACCAACCAACAAACATTAAAGATATACAGTAGTACCCAATTAATCATTTTCTAACTCTTCTGTATATTCTGTTCCTAGTATCTTAGAAGGCATCAGCAAAAGTGTGACACCATAATGACTGGCTCACCAGGCCCAGACTTTCTCTTAATTTGACAAACTCACTGTAGCAAGGTCAATATACCCACATTTGTCCACTGAATTGATATTTGACTGTGCCCTAGCTATGCAATTTTTCTTTACAGGTGATGTATTCTAATGACAGTATCTGCACAGCCGCTACCATCAACGGGATATGTGACATTTCTAGGAAGGCCTCTGAAGCAGTATGGCACAATGATGACTGGCTCACTAGACCTTGGCTGACCGAGAGACTGAGCAAGGTTGGTGACACGATTCATATTTGTCAGCTTTCGTTCATATCAAAATAATTCTCTTGAGCTTGAATTGAAGACCATCATGTGGAAAGTAAAATTCTCAATCTGTTGAAATATTGTCATTGTTAATAAGAGGTTTTTACTCATGCAATCATCTTCTACTATTGATCAGCTGCAGGAAGATAATTGATTTGTTTATAGGGGATAGTAATGGAAGTGTTTTTTACCTGTTATTATTATGAGTCATAATGCTCTAGTCTATTTTAGAAGCTTGCTAGTATCTTTGCTGATTTATAACTTGATATACTGTGTGGAACCAGGAAGGGTTAACCTGTGAACTGGCGTTACCTCCCCAAAATGTCTCCATATTTGTAAATCAGTGGATATTCTTTCAGTTACAAAATTTGTTGCCAATGTTTTAAAAATACTAAACTTTCTTTCAGCATGAGAAATGCTTGACGGGATTTCCATGTGTGAACTCCTTCAGTGCTCAAGTCATGCTCACAGCTGCTCCTCTACCAGTGCTGCTCTCAGCTCCGCTCACATATCTCTCAAAGCTCTGTCCATGGATTCCAACACGAATCATCGCGGTAAGATGCTAACTAACAAAGACTGTCTGACAAATGCAGTGGCACTTTCAATAGCAGTACATGGTATTTTAACAATTCTGTTTAGGAGATGATGTACTTTCCACAGAATTTGCCTTTTTTGTGGGGTGACAGAATCACTACATTATATTTTACTACCATATCTTTTGCTAAATCGTCAAAATAATGATCATGTCTTTATAATCAAAATGCTGGGATTATGATGAATGTTTATGCAACAATCATATATTCTTTGAATGTTTTAGTGCACGCATGATATTTGTACTGAACTGTACTAATAAATTGAACTTCATGCTAACCTCACTTAGAATTGCAATTCATTCCTATGGTACCTTTTGTTGCTTGCTTCTAAAAATATGTTTATTTCAAGATGTAAAGAAACCTTCATTCTAGAACAAAAGTCTATGAGCCATGAAAAAAAGGTTTTGTCATGAAGAGAGTATAACCTTGTGTCTCCCTGTTTCCATCCCTGCCCATAGCGTTTCCACAAGCTTGTTCATGATGAGAGTCCTTTGTGCGATCGTCCTTCTAAAGTCCACCTGACACAGAAGAGAGAAGAGTCAAGGCCTAACCAAGCCGAGTCCATCTCGCGGAACAGATCTGTGATTGATGAAGGAAGCAGGAAGGCCATTGCAGATGAAGGAGCAACAAGAGCTCAGGAAGATGTATATGATACGGGATCCTCCGACTTGTACCCTCAACAGCGTGGGAGAAGAAACAAGTGGAGCATGCTGCAGAGTGAACGTGAGAACATAGACCAAGATGAACAGAGGCAGCTGCGTCAGGATCTTCCTGTTACGATCAAATCTGAACCGGTGGATGATTACCCTGTCTATGACCTTGACGGCGAAGAGTTATATCCTCTAGAACGTTGCATTCCTGATGACCTGAAGACACCACTGGAACTGCTTGCATCAGGTGACTCTATCAGGAAGAACCAGCCTGGCTTATCAAGGTATCATTCAGAGGAGTTTGATGCAGATGATGCAATGGCTACCAATGTGGATCACCATCCTACAAGAGATCTCTTACTCCACTTTGACAAGAATAGATCAGGTCGAAGGGACCTTTCCGACCTCCTGTCGTATTCATCCACAGGCAAGTCTGGTAGCGCCCCATTGCCGGCAAGAGACTGGACCATGGAGGAAGCAATGCAACCAAGGCAGCATTCCAGCATTAGGGCTAGTGCCAGACAGGCCTACTCAGGCATAGATGCTCTTCTTCCAAGTCAGCTTCAAGATCTTCGGCGTCAGGAGTGGGATGTAGAGCAGCGTTTGACCAACAAAGAAATGAAAAGTGATTATTCTAAGAAGGAACAAATTCGTCTCTCTGGTCAGTCAGCAAGTGTACCAGCACAAAAAAGTAAGTTCTCTACATGTTGAAGCTCATAATAGACCTAGACATTTTCTCTCTTCGATACGTCGGGGAAATGCATTCAAGCCTCCATACAAATTATTTGATGAACATTGATATTCTTAATCAACTTACTTTATTTTTGTTTTGTTAATCTTTCAATTCCTACAATAGCTTTTCTTATCATATAAATCTATTTTTAAGCTCTTCACAGTTGGCTGTGATTGAAGCCATACTTAAGCTTTATAGTCTTCCATTGCATTTCATTCTTAAGACCCCAATGAGTGAGTTCTTAATGCTTCATTTTCAGCACAATTCTTTGATTTTGCAGTACTCACCAATCATCTCTTTATTCATGGTTCTCTTGTTTGAATCTTAAAATCCAGCAAACACAAGAACACATGGAATCGATCAAATTCCTTGTACACAAAGGGGAGCTCCAAGGAAATACATAGGTATAGCACAACCCTGTCCCCGGGCTGGTGCCGGTAATCCATTGCAGATGACCATTCCCAAGGGTTCTTTAAGCAACAAGACTTCAAGGCGTGGTGAGTTTGGTACCCTTGCAACATCAGGTCTACCGGCGAGAAGAGGAACAGCTTCAAGTCAGAACCAGAATCAGGTATGAATATAGTCAAGTAACAAAGGCACACAAATATATGAAGAATGATAAATATTTGTTTTCTGAAAGAGGATCTGTGTTCTCAATGTGTATAATTTAATGAAAATTTGTGTAGTGTGTCATTCATTTTTTAGTAATCCATCTGCATTGTGCTTTTTGGATGGCTTTAATGTTCCTTTACTCATCTACCCTATTCTACTTCTTTAGTTCATTTCTTCTTGTTTTTGTTTTCCTATTCCAAAATGGTAAACTATATGCCACATGGAATGATTTACTTTATAAAATTATATTGCTTCATTTCATAGGGATACTTTCCAGGGCAGAGGCATCCCCAGGAATATCCCAGTCAACAAGAACAGCATCGTCGAAGACCACCTGATCACTACCTGGGTCAAGGACAAGAGGCCCTACACAGCAGGGATGACCACTGGGGTGGTGGAAGGGACGCAATGATGCTCTCAAGACCAGGGTGGCTGGAGGGAAAAGCTTCATCATACCAGCATCAAAGAAGCGATGCCTTCCTTGATACCGGTGAGTCTGATATCTACTACTGGCAGGTCAGGGAGGAGCTGTTGCATAGTTGAAGCCCTGTTTTTATTAAATGCAATTCTGTGCTAAAGATATAGAAGTCCGTCGCTGTGCAATTGACTAGGGAACTTGCAGCCACTTTGAATCGATCTTTAGGGTGGGGCCTTGCACGTTCATATAAAGAGTTGCGAATGATCTGAATCAGTTGCAACTCAACTTGAATTTAACATCAGTCACAACTCTATAAGAAATGCAAAGGTCCCGAGTTAGGGTAACAGTCATTTTGCTTTAGGTATCGGGGTCCAGACCAAGACTAGTCTTACGCAATGGAAGCCAGATTGTCATTTTCACATGTTTGACATCAAAATTGTAGCCTGGGATGTTTTGTGTCATGATTCCAATGGTATTTGATGCAAAAAGTTCATTCAATTCCTCAGGCAGACTGAGCTGCATGGGAGATATCTACACTGATGGCCCCACAAAGAGAAGAAGACTGACCTACGAGAGAGTGCCAGGATCTAAGGGAGGACAGACCAAGCTTGCTTTTAGGTAGACATGTGACAACACGTAATGGCTGTCAAGGTCACCTTAACATTTTGACCCTAAATAAGGTCGCTTCATTTTACTGGTGTTACAGCTAGGGAGGTTTGGATTTGATCTGTCTGCTAACCTCCTTCCTTTAGGGACAACATTTTTTAACCTTGCATGTACATTTACAAATTTTAGTGGCATTTACATCGACGAGGTCTTTTAAAAAGCCCATTCAAATTTTGAATTAGTATGTCAAACTGCTTTTGGAATTAACACTAACCAACAATTCATGAATTGATGTGTGACAATTGTTTAGTGTGTACAGTAGATAAGAGGAAGTGCAGCAATTGTAGCTGATTGCCCAGTGATGGGTTGTTGAAGTTTTATGAATAAATATGAAATAGATAGGAATCATTTAGCCGTCGCATTGCAAACATGTATGAAGTGACTGTCGGTTTCATATTGTTAACTTTAAAAATTGTTGCACTTTTTGCCAGTAAAGTCCCCCCCCCCCCCCAGCAAACGATAGGCTTTCTTCTTCTTTTTTCCTCCTCCTACTCTCCTTCTCCTCCTCTTCCATCTCCTTTTTCTTCTTCTTGATTATTGCATTCCGTCCATTATCTGCTGCACCTTCACATTTATACCACATAACAACACTCATTTCTTCATTTTGGTGTTATAATTCCATTTTTGAATTTCATAGGTGAATTGTTGATGCAGTATGGGTATATGATAGCAAAGCAGGGGGTTGAACCATAACCTGGAGGTTACAATTGATTTGAAAAATATAAATAGATCTGTTTCATATCCTATTTCTTCCATATGCAATCGTTATTTGAATGCACATTAAAATTGAAGATACAGATTGCTACAAAGCGTACACTTACAGTGGCTAAGTCAGGATTTAACATTTATGTAAGCATAATCTCAATGCATCATCTTGTATTCTTGTTTACTACAGGTAGTATTTCATCTCCCAACCCATAAATATCATTATAATTGGTGTCTGTATTGCAAGAAGTTGATAGAATGTACCAGTATTAAAATCCAGATTCATGAAACGATTATTGTATTATGTAAAGATAATCCGAACACATCATTTTGTATTCCTGTTTATTTCATCTCGCGTTCCAGTAAAATATCATTACAATTGGTGTCTGCATTGTAAGAAGTTGATAAAATCTGAAACCTAGACAGATTCATGAAATGATGATTTTTAAACTTTATCTGAATGATTTTCATATAAGTTAGCATTACTGTTGCTGCTTCAGCGTATTCTAGCATAGTGAATGCAAATTCTGTATATTTCTATTGATATTAAATGATGTATACTGGCATCGGAGAACTTCTAAATAAAATTGCTATGGGTGTGCTTGACTTAGTAGCGGAAATGCTGGATTACTTTTCATTTCTATGCATTATTTTATGTGCATTCTGTGTATTTATTATGATCAATACTTACACTGACATGTTTTCTATCTTCTCTTATCTCTCCTTTTTGGTCATCTTTTGTGATGCAATGACATGTTAGCCGGATCAATTGAAACATAAGCCCACAGCTGGCTAATAAACAAATTTTTTTCACATTATGTATCTAGGATTTAGCAAGCCAGGGCAAGTTTGCACTATTCAGACATCAGTGCATGCCTGCCGTGTTAAATAAGAACCCAAACAAGGGAAAGAAGAAAACATAATTGGTCAGCGGTGTGGTTTTATAGCTGCAGTTTCACAATTTACATGTACTTGTAGGTTTTATATCATTCAGTTCATTTTCTATTATCATATGGTCCACTCTCAGCCCTTCTACTATTCACATGGAAAGAAAAAAAAAACTTTTTGTCTACTTATCATTTGGTCTAATGACCATTTACACTAATAGCCATTTGGTCTAATCTCCAATAAGTCAACTACCCATGTGGTCTATTGTTTATTTAGTTTAATGCCTCTATTTCATCCACTATCGTTGAGGTCTAATAATCATTTGATGATTATTATTTATGATTAAATTGTTACTAAACCATATAAATAGTAGACAAAATGGGCATTAGACAAACTGAAAATATTAGACTAAATGAGGTATAAACCAAATAGGTAGTCAACATTAATATGGAGATGAGACCAAAGACTATTAGCCTAAACTTCTCTCACTCTCTCTCTCTCTCTCACTTGCCCCTTTCACTTTATTTACTCAGATCTTACTATATTTCAGTGATTTTCAGTTAAATGCTTTTCCATTTGTGGAAAATGACTAGTACAACCCCCCCCCCCCCCCCCCCATGTTTATGACTTGTATCAAAGCTTGTAAAATGGTCTGGAAACCACCAACTATACCACCCATTTATAAACCTAAGTTATAGTGACAAATCAGGAAATTGGGACATATTTGCAGAAAATTGCATTTGATTCATAATTTTCAATACAGGAGCTCCTTGCCTCAATCCAGGAAATCATACTGCAATAAGGCTTCTTTGAGAGACAGCATTGCCGGATATTTCACATTTTCAATGCATAATAGGAAGAAAAAAATGGTCAGAATGTCCCTAATATGTGGTCCCCAAACCAAATGCTACATTAAGTGCATTCATACATCTTCATACATCCTTCATACATCCTCCCAGGCCCCCCCCCCCCCAGTCAGCCCGTAGGCAACATGTACATTTTAGGCTAGGTTTATTGGGTAAACTAAGACTAGAATTTCAGTTGGACACATAAAAAACAAAGTTCAACACTAATGAAAATTGTTGCTTTTCTTCAGCAGTTTATTGTTTGAAAAAAAAATGCATAACTTAAACTATATCACCAGTTTTAAGAACAAACTTAAATGACAAAATTAAAACAAGATTTCTACTTCTAAGCCTAGTGCTACCAACATACATGATGAGAGAATAATTACGTAAAGACTGCAGGTTTTATACAACTGTTTATTTTTTTTAAATATTTAAAAAGGAGAAAGTATTGTATGTCAGCTGGTGGATGATCATCCCTCTGTCTGTTCTTTTCCTTAGTAAAAATGAAAAGTACTAGCTTAAGTTCTCTCTTCTCTTGTACATTGTGTCCTATAGAAATGTTTTGTTTGAGACAGGTTCAATTAAGTTAATCAACCATTTTGGCAAAGGTATCCCTCATTACTGAAAAAGATGCAAGGTCTGATAGAGTTGCGCAGGTCAAATGGGCCTTCGAAATGCCATGCCAAATAAATGGCATGAAAATACAAGCAGCAACATCGCAGCTAAAGTACACAGTATCTAGAACTAGCGAGCAAATCGTGAGTGGAAATGCAGTAATTATCTTTCACTATGACCCCCCCCCCCTCCCACATCCCTTTGTACTTTTTAAAGCTTCTAACAGACTTTACCCGAAGATTTACATATGCTTCACCTAAAATGCTCCCGATTACAAATGGTTTATCTTCATGCCTAAAGAATTCTTAGTAACATCAACCTTCAAATGTGAAGCCACATCCATTCATCTCCTCACTTTACATCATCAACACTGACTCAGAAATCGACCTTGAATTGACCTTTCCATCAAACTTGATTGTACTCCTAATCCGAGTCCACGTCCATGTCTACATTCTGTATGTCTGCATCCCCTTCTCCATCTGCGAACCCTTTCCCCTTGCCTTCCCCTCCTGCACCGCCGCCCCCCTCGCCCCCCTCCTCCTTATCACTGATGAACCCCTTCTCTTCCTCATCGTAATCCCGCTTCACCTTGGAGGACTTGCCGCCCTTGGAAGAGGGCTCGTCGTCCTTGCTCTTCCTCTCGGAGGACCTGTCGCGCTCCTTGTCCTTCTCTTTCTCCCTCTCCTTATCCTTATCTTTGTCCTTCTTGTGCTTGCGGCTGCTGCTGCTGCGCTCCTTGCTGCGGCTGCGACGGTTCTTCTTCTCTTTCCTGTGCCTGGTGAGGAAAAGAGACAGGGTAAGTAAAATGTGATGAGAAAGTGTCATGTAAAGATAAAATTGACAGTTGCTGTGCAAAAGTTTTGTTTTTTTTTTAATCTGAAGCGAGGTGCCGAACTCCCGAATTCAAGCAAGTCAAGAAAAAAATGGCACCTCACCACCCCCCCCCCCCCTAATTTTTAAGCGGATTTACAACAACCCTGGAATTATCCCTTTTGGGAGAAAAAAAATCATTCAGAAAAAATTGAATTAAAAAGATAAACAAAATCAACTAAATCGGGAAACCGATTTAATTTGGGAAATTATCAGGCTTGAGCAGTCAATCCGTCTGAACATGTTCAAAATAAGAAGGCTTGAAATGAAGCCCCCCCCCCCCTAACAAAAAAAATGGATTTTCATATTGAATACTTTTCAGAATGTCAAGAATTATTTAAATTTTCAAATCTAGCCCTAAAGGCAATTTCTTCCGACGTATGGTCAAATCTTGTCGTAAAGTTTGTGCGAAAATGTGAAAACTGTTATTATGTTGATTTTAAATTGGAAAGTAAAATATGAAAGAAAAAAAGCTGCAATAATCAGTTGTCAATAATCTCATGTTGAGAGTTAAAAATAGTTTTTTAAAAAAACCTATAAACCACATCAAATCCAACCTCTATTTCACTCCAAATTCACCCACTTACTTTCTTGGTGGTGACCTTGAGCCTGACCTTGACTTTCTCTTGGGTGGAGGGGAGAGCGACCTGCTAGGAGAGTGACGCCGTCTGAGGGGTGGGGGTGACCTGGTACGACTACGGCGCTTGGACCTGGGCGGTGGAGATCTGGTCCGACTGCGTCGACGCGGAGGAGGAGGAGGGGGAGGGGACCTGCTGGGGCTGCGCCGTCTGTGTGGCGGTGATCGTGTGCGACTACGTTCACTGTGTGATAGGATAAATTGACAAATAAAAATGATAATCCTTCATCCACACTTAAAGCATTGCATTTATCATGCTTGTGGGCAGCAGGATGCAAGTCCTGCCTTGAAAAAGAATTTGACTGATATTATGTAATCATTGGGCAAAGAACCAGCTAATTTTCCAATCTCAAAGATAGTGTTGAGTTCTGGGGGGTGTTTCATAAAGCTGTTCGTAAGTTACGCACGACTTTACGCACGACTGGTGATATGTTCTTGTGCTACATGTAAATGATTGAGAATCTGATTAGCACCCAAGGTCATGCGATTTAATTGTGAAAGAAACAGAGTGGAATCGAACAGAAAAAGGTGATCATGAAGCAAGGTTCTGGAGTCATCAAAATGATAAGAAATTTGGCCTAGTCTTGGGAAAGTAACAAGCACTGTACACAGAAAGATGTATATGGGACTCCACAAACAGGTGGTATAAAAATCGGGCCTCATTTTTAAGCTGTTGTCATATTTCGAATATAAAGCCATTTGAAGAGCCATGTGTCAGGAAACATTTTTTCTCACGTTCTTCCACACTTGCATAATAACAATAATAACGCTCACACATTATTTTTCACCTCTCCCCAGAACACAACCTTCTCTTTAAGCCCTGTCCACTCTTGTGGTAAATGCGGCAGTTACCTGGAAATACAAGTGCTAAAGTGGCAGTTAATCTGATTTTCATGAGAGTCCGAAGTGGTGAAAACATCGCTATCATATGGCTACAAAAGAAACCACATGTTTGAAGCCCTGTAAAAAACTAACCAAAAAACTGTGCCTACGCGGCCTTACAGGTAGGTTTTACCCGATAGTGTAACCGCAAGATAATTCGCCGAAGACTAGATACAATTACAGAACACTGATCGATTACTAGATACGATTACTCACCGGCTCTTACTCTTGCTTCGTCGACGTGAACTGTAGCTCCTGGGAGGAGTCCTAGACCTTTTGCGTCTGTCCCTGTAAGAAATCAAGAAAATTCAAGTTATTATTATATATATCATTAAGTATTTGGCGTCGTCTGTGCCTGGGAAGCGAAAAGCGAGCTGCATCACTGTAACCCTCGGGTCTCTCCTCCCAGTATAACTGATTGGGGGTGTGCAGGTGGAACACTACACCGAGGTTTCCCCCTACTCATGTACGAAAAGTGCAGTGGGTTCTTAACGTGCAAAAGTGGCGACTCTCCTCTCCATTTAACGTCCTATCCGAGTTCAATGAGGGTGGGATTTGCCGCAAAGGCTACAAGCACCTAGCATGATGTTAAGTATTGGTTATCGTGAAATTGAATGAAAACTTATCAAAAGAATCAATGGATGTCTCAGAAATACTTGAGAAGCTAAGACCGTTGAGAAAAGAAAATGGCCAAGGGAAAAAATTGTTGGGGTTAAATTCAGATCACTTGAAAATGAACAGTGGAATTGACATCTAAAGTTAATCAACCTCATGTACCTGCTTCTTTCTTTTTTCTTGTCTTAGATTCCAAATTAAGCACTCTTTCATATAATATACAAGTGCTAGGTAAATGGAAATTTTGTCTCGTTTTAAAATAACCATTTGGGTAGTTCAATCGGAAATAATTGGCATCTGGCAATTTTCATAGCATGCCTTAATTGCATTTTCTTTCCAAATCTGGTCATAACCTAGATGCAAGATGTGGTACTATGTCCCATTTGCAGGTCAAAAAATGAAAGGTGTAATTCCAACGACATTTGAAAGAATTTTCATAAGTGATTGCAATCACCTTAGTAATAGTCTGATTTTAATACCCTTGTACTGAATGGTCGTGCGTTTTGTGCTGCACAAAGATTCAATCAGTTTAGTTTTCGCAATTACAAGTAGTGGGTTATTGATGTAAACAAATGCTCATGTATCCTTTACAGCTCATTTTATGTATGTTATTACCAAAGAAAAAAAAAAGATGTCAGTCAGTCACTCAATAGTGTCTGACAGTGAAGTCTAGAAGGTAAGCAGGTTTCCTTGCATGATTTGAATTTTAGGACACTGCTAATTTTTAAATTTCACAGATAGGACATACACATGACATACCGGTATACATAATTCCTGCAAATTTCTACAGAATTTGATGTTGGCTGCAAAAGGGACATAGTATCTTTAACGCCATCAAAAGCAGAATGGTCTGCTCAGTGAAGTTTACCTTGACTTTTCTCTGCTCTTTGACCTTGTCCTTCTACGTCTTGGTGGTGGCGGTGGTGACCTTGTCCGTGACCTTCGTCTCCGAGGTGGCGTCCGTGATCGTCTAGGCGGTGTCCTCGATCTCCTTCTCCGTGGGGAGCGTGATCTGCGACGAGGGGGAGGGGACCACGAACGTGAGCGCCGTCTGGATCGGGAACGCCCAGGCGACCGTGACCGCGATCGTCTCCGTGAGCGAGATCGGGATCGTCTCCGCCGGCAGGGGGAGGGGCTACGTTTCTTGTCTTTCTTATCATCCTTTACCTCAGCTGCGACGTCAGCTAGAAATAAGTTCGAGAAATAAAGAAAAACTTCATTATAAAGAACACAACACTGTTACATCATACCCTAATCATGAACAAGTTATTTGACCAGGCTCACCTTGTTTGTATTCTTTTCTTATTGTGCTCTCGTACAACAAGCTGATTTTCCAAGGAGTCATGTATAACAACGTTTCACTGTAATAGTAACTTACCTAAGTCCAATTAAACCAAAATATAGACATGTAATTGATATTCTCTCTCTTTGTGGCAATGTAATCTAAATCAGCTAACTTTTCAGTGACTATTCCCGGTTTTCAAAAAAAATGACAAGAAAATCATTTCCCAGCCATTCACTCCATTGCCTGACATTTATACATGATAACTAGATACAACTGTAACACATTTTAAACTAGATGGAACTTCGCGCGCAGTCGAAAATGATGCCTCCGCCATAGAGTGATTTTACAAACCAAAACAGCAATTTTTTTCAAATTCAAGTTTGATTGTAATTCATTAACAGGTTCTCAGAATATCGTGATTACAAGTTTTTTTTTTTATATACAAGTATGACCCTTTGATTGTTGACCTTATGACCTTAAAATCTAATCAGTTCATTGGCTTTGCAAGATACATAAATGTACTAAGTTTGATAGTAATCCTTCTGTCAGTTCTAATGAGAATGCGTTGACAAGCTATTTTTGCATACATAATGAGCCCCCATGACCCCCACAATCTAATCAGTACACTGACTCTGCAAGATACATACATGTCTTGAGTTTGATGGTAATCCGCCCATCGTTTCTAATTATAATGCGATCACAAGCTATTTTTGCATATATAATGAGCCCTGTGATCTTTGACCTTGTGATCCCAAAATGTGATCAATTCATTAGCTCTCCAAGATACATACATGACTTAAGTTTGGTAGCTTAGTAGGAATCCATCAATCAGTTCTTGAGAACGCGATCGCAAGCTATTTTTGCATACATAATGAGCCCTGTGACCTTTGACCCCAAAGTCTGATCAATTCATCAGCTCTGCAAGATACATACATGACCCAAGTTTGGCAAGAATCCATCAAACGGTTCTTGAGTTAACGTGATCACGAGAACGGGACGTACAGCCCGAAAACAATGCCTCCAGCTACTTTGTAACAGAGGCATAAAAATTGTTTAATCAATGACATTGAAAACATGCCACCTGGTTTTAATTTCATCCACATGGTGTTAATATTCTTTGCTTTGAAGGCCGAGAGTTGAAAATATCCTGTCTTGACCGGTTAAACATCTATGCTATTAAATTTATGGGAAGTTCCAGCACATCTGAATGGTCAAAACAGGTTACAGAGGACAATAAGAAATGTTATACAGGATATAAACTTATCTATCAGAAAGTCATCATCCACATTCTATGAACACAAGGTGCATTTGAATATGAATCAGCTTGTTAGAAGTGTAGAAAAAGCCTTTTTGTTTGCGAAAGCTCTTTTAGGATTTGGTGATGTGTAAGTGCGATTTTATGTATTTTCATGTTTTCCTCCTTTTTTAGTTTACAAGAGATCTTTTCGAACTTTCAAGTGCTAAATTGCTCACTGCTCCCATGTATTTTTTTCGCTGCTTGAAAGTTAGATGGCTTATTTTTTCCTTCTTCCTGTATACATGTATCTGGTCACTGGCTTAAAATGGCATAGTTTACCTTTAAGTTTGTCTTTTACTTCAGGTTGTAATGCTGAAAAGAAAGAGAATGTGATCAATTCCACCTGCCCACTTCTTCATTCTTCACACTTGCCAAATTTCATATTCTATCTTCGACACACAATTAAATGCAACTATTGTGATAATCAATTATACTGTAGAATAATCCAACTTTAACACGCAGAAATATTTTCAAATGTTTCTTGTAGGGGCGAGAAGACTTTTTCTTCTTCAAGTGCTACTTTTCAGCCAACAATTGACCAGTCAATTTGATCATTTGGGTTGTGCACTACAAACCATCATCAACAAGGCCTTCCCCTTAAAGAGAAGGTTGAGTTCTGGAAAGATGTGAAAAATAATTTGTGGGAGTTATCATTGTATTATGCAAGTGTAGCAGAACAACAGATAAACTAGATGGAATTTTGACTGCGCGCAGTCGAAAATGATGCCTCCGCCATAGAGCAATTTAAACAAGTTTGGAGTTTAAATCTCCAGTGGTTCTTGAGATATCATGATAACAATCTCAACGTATGGAATTTCATAAGTTGACCTCTGTGACCCTTGACCTTTGACCTACGTGCTCCAAAATCTAATCAGATTGTCTTCCTATGGTGATACACACTATCATTAAGTTTGAAGTTTAAATCTCCAGTGGTTCTTGAGATATTATGATATGGTGATACATACTATCATTAAGTTTGAAGTGAAAATTCTCCAGTGGTTCTTGAGATATCGCGATAACGATCTCAATGTATGGAATTTCATAAGTTGACCTCTGTGACCCTTGACCTTTGACATACGTGCTCCAAAATCTAATCAGATTGTCTTCCTATGGTGATACACACTATCATTAAGTTTGAAGTTTAAATCTCCAGTGGTTCTTGAGATATTATGATAACAATCTCAATGTATGGAATTTCATAAGTTGACCTCTGTGACCCTTGACCTTTGACCTACGTGCTCCAAAATCTAATCAGATCGTCTTCCTATGGTGATACATACTATCCTTAAGTTTGAAGTTTTTACATCTCCAGTGGTTCTTGAGATATCATGATAACAATCTCAATGTATGGAATTTCATGAGTTGACCTCTATGACCCTTGACCTTTGACCTACGTGCTCCAAAATGTAATCAGATTGTTTTCCTATAGTGATACACATATCGCGATAACGATCTCAATGTATGGAATTTCATAAGTTGACCTCTGTGACCCTTGACCTTTGACCTACGTGCTCCAAAATCTAATCAGATTGTCTTCCTATGGTGATACACACTATCATTAAGTTTGAAGTTTTAATCTCCAGTGGTTCTTGAGATATTATGATAACAATCTCAATGTATGGAATTTCATAAGTTGACCTCTGTGACCCTTGACCTTTGACCTACGTGCTCCAAAATCTAATCAGATCGTCTTCCTATGGTGATACATACTATCCTTAAGTTTGAAGATTTTACATCTCCAGTGGTTCTTGAGATATCATAACAATCTCAATGTATGGAATTTCATGAGTTGACCTCTATGACCCTTGACCTTTGACCTATGTGCTCCAAAATGTAATCAGATTGTTTTCCTATAGTGATACACACTATCACTAAGTTTGAAGTTTAAATCTCCAGTGGTTTTTGAGATATCATGATAACAATCTCAATGTATGGAATTTCATAAGTTGACCTCTGTGACCCTTGACCGTTGACATACGTGCTCCAAAATCTAATCAGATCGTCTTCCTATGGTGATACATACTATCCTTAAGTTTGAAGTTTAAATCTCAAATAGTTCTTGAGATATTATGATAACAATCTCAATGTATGGAATTTCATAAGTTGACCTCTGTGACCCTTGACCTTTGACCTACGTGCTCCAAAATCTAATCAGATCGTCTTCCTATGGTGATACATACTATCCTTAAGTTTGAAGTTTTTACATCTCCAGTGGTTCTTGAGATATCATGATAACAATCTCAATGTATGGAATTTCATGAGTTGACCTCTATGACCCTTGACCTTTGACCTACGTGCTCCAAAATGTAATCAGATTGTTTTCCTATAGTGATACACACTATCACTAAGTTTGAAGTTTAAATCTCCAGTGGTTCTTGAGATATCATGATAACAATCTCAATGTATGGAATTTCATAAGTTGACCTCTGTGACCCTTGACCTTTGACATACATGCTCCAAAATCTAATCAGATCGTCTTCCTATGGTGATACATACTATCCTTAAGTTTGAAGTTTAAATCTCAAATAGTTCTTGAGATATCGCGCTAACAAACTCAATACAAGGAATTTCATAAGTTGACCTCTGTGACCTGTGACCTTTGACCTACGTACTCCAAAATCTAATCAGATCGTCTTCCTATGGTGATAAATACTATTCCCGAGTCTTAAGTTTAAATCTTAAATGGTTCTTGAGATATTGTGATAACGGTCAAACGGGACGGACGTACGGACGTACGGACGGACAACCCGAAAACATGATGCCTCCGGCACCACCTTCGGTGGCAGAGGCATAAAAATGTTCCCTGAAAAGCATGGCTCTTCAAATGCCTTAATATTTCAAATATGGCATGTAACATCATAACAATCGGGACAGGTTTTTAAGCCACATGTTTGTGTAGTCCCGTATACATCTTTCTGTGTACAGTGCTTGTAACTTTACGAAGACTGTTCCAAATTTCTCATCATTTTGATGATTCCAGAACCTTGCAGTACACACCAATACTTATATTCTAGATGATCAACCTTTACTGATCGATTCCACAACGTTTCTTTCACAATGCAATTGCATGACCAGAACTCAACTTTATCTTTAAGAAGTTTAAGGGGCAAACTGCCATTGGGCCCCCCATCTACATTTCCTCACAAAAAAATAATTACCTGGATCTATGGCTGCTTGGATGAGAGCCTGAGCATCTCGGACTTGCTTCATGGTCACGGCGAGCTCCCTCTGGATGTTTTCTTGAGTCTTGCCAGGAGGCTTCACTATAGCATTGTTGGAATGGTTGATCCTACACAAAAACAGAGGAGATAGCCACCCCAAAAAGTTAACATGTGACAGGCTTGTATTTCTCAAATTGATTTTCATGTTAAAGTGCAAAAACAATCTTGCTCCAGTGATCTTGTGGCAGCAGACAGCAAGAAACTGTGTGAATAAACTTTTCGCCTGAGAAGGTCCACAGGAGTAAATGAAACCCCTCCCCCCCCCCCCCCGTAGTAATTTAGCGACTACTCTGGAACAGCGGCAGATAAAAAGTTTTCCTTTCATGACTTTTTTCTTTGAAGTTTTGCGCATTTTTTGGTACTAAATTTGCGAAGATTACAAGGTCACATGACCAAAAAAATTCACATAAATGGGACAGATCCGAGACCGATTGTCCCATTCCCCGGTAAAAACTTGCATTGGTGTAACATGTATTTTTATCCTTTTTTAACCGGACCGGGTAAAAAGGATCAAACTACATGTTATGATTACCCCAACCAATGCAAGTTTTCTTATAAAAAAATGGGGTTTTTAAGTACATGAATGTATCTAAAAGGAATAGTTTCTGAAGTCTGGGGGTTGTAAATGAAAGTTGTAGATGAAACCCCTCCCCCCCCCCCCCCAGTAGTAATTTAGCGACTACTCCGGAACAGCGGCAGATAAAAAGTTTTCCTTTCATGACTTTTTTCTTTGAAGTTTTGCGCAACTTTTGGTACTAAATTTGCGAAGATTACAAGGTCACATGACCAAAAAAATTCACATAAATGGGACAGATCCGAGACCGATTGTCCCATTCCCCGGTAAAAACTTGCATTGGTGTAACATGTATTTTTATCCTTTTTTAACCAGACCGGGTAAAAAAGGATTAAACTACATGTTATGATTACCCCAACCAATGCAATTTTTCTTATAAAAAAATGGGGTTTTGAAGTACATGAATGTATCTAAAAAGGAATAGTTTCTGAAGTCTGGGGGTTGTAAATTTGGTGAAATTTTCATTGTTATGTTAAACAACTTCATAGTCAATACAGCCAAGCTGTCATACATATTGCAAAAGTAAACGGTGTGACTTAAAAACAGAACCTTGCCCCCACGGATAACTCATAATTTGGCTTAGAAAACAGACATAAAGAAGCAAGTTATTTCTGTGCAAGTGAAGATGATCACTGACAACACATCATCTTTTCAATACTGGGTTATTACTATATTACAAACAGTTTTTGAACGTCAAGTAACGTCTGGCTGGAATGCTCCCCAGGGAGTGGAAATTGTGCACACAGTGTGTGCGGGCAAGCACTAAATCCAATGACTGGGGTAATAGTATATTTGTAAAGCGCTCAGAGACATTTGTATTAAGCGCTATATAAAAATCAAATATTGTTATTATTATTAGATCTCTTGTCACCAAGATGTTTCTATGAACTCACTTGATAGGACGACCTGCAAACATGACCCCGTTGTGGGTCAGCCCTTTGGCCACCGAGGCTTGGTCCGTGAACTCTACAAAGGCAAACCTGGTCGGTTGGGTCTCATCTCCGGCCATTCGGACGTACTTGACCTCTCCCACCTGCTGGAAGAAGGTCAACAGCTGGTCTGCCAGGACAGTCTGAAAAGAGTTCAGAATGGTCAAAAAGATGCTAATCATATTTTGAGATATTATCGGGGGAGGGGGGGGGGGGGGGGGGGGAGGGGTGGAGGATGTTTAAAAGACTTAAAGTTGGACTTAATAATAATCTTTTTTAAGTCCACTCCAAATTTAATTAAGTTAAACCGAAAATGGAAATTCTTTTTGCCCAATTAATCGCAAGACCCAAACAAGGTAGCAGCAACTCACCATTATGATCTTTAGATAATATTTTTTCTTTCAATATTGAATTATCAAAAAATGTAAATTCTGTAGATTTGTGACCATGATTTGTACGTCCCTGGAGAGACCAATGCCAGTAATTGGTGAGAGCAAACGGTGGCAAGAATGGCCTGTCATAGTTAAGTCCAACTTAAAGTCGATCTTAGTATTTGTGAAACACTCCCCAGGTAGGATAATGTAATCGTAAAAGATGAAGATTACCAGTGGCCTGTTTCATAAAACTAGTAATTCATAACATACAAATCTATAACATAACGGCCCGTAGCCAATCAAATGTAAGGATTTCTGTAGCATATAACAGTTATTGTATTGATAACAAGTTTTATGAAACCGGGCCCAGATACTTGACTGTTAAAAACGCATACGTATGCTTGTATATAAGCAACGAGGGGGCCGACGGCTTGCAGTCCTCTCCGAGGAAATTGGTAAAGAGGATTAATGCTTTAGCAAAGGGCACTAGCGCATCAACTTGGTTTCAAACCGGGAGATCCTGGTTACGAGACCACTGCTCTACCATTAGGTCATTGCGTCAACTTTAATTTACCGGTAGATGATATGACTTCAAACTAATGAAGTCTTGAAAGAGTGCACGATAATGGACAATCCCATTATGTATAATACAGGGCTACACTTATTTTAAAATGAAATAATAAAATTGATTTCAAACTCTGTTCAATATACGAGCATAGTTAATATTTAAGAATAAAAAGCAGCATTGGATTGTCCTTCATGCTATAACATTTGTGTGTGTAGAAGGAATGTTATTATAGCTTGCATTGTATAAAGATTCATGACTCTTCATACAGAAAAGGGAGAGGGTTGACCAAAACCCTTCCCCATCCCTCCACCTCTTTTAGAATACTCACAGCCGAATCCAAGTTGCCAACGTATATGGTCCTCCTGATCTCCTCCACCTTGGAAGGGTCCACGTTGTTGAGCGGGGGTGGCTGAGGGACTCCTAGGGCAGAGAAACTGTCTCCGAGGAGGGAGAGGCTGTCCCCTGCTCCAGCACCGGCCAGGGCTGCAGGCGGCTGGAGAGTGAAAGAAAGAATGGGACAAAATCCATTATAACAATAATAATAATAGCTAGTTCTTATATAGCGCTCTTCAGGACCACAGGCCCTCTCAAACTGCTTTACAGATTATTACCCCGGTCATCGGATTCAGGCTTACCCGCACACAATGGATGCACATTTTCCACTCCCTGGGGAGCATTCCAGCCAGGCTTCATTTTTACAAGCGCACACTTGCTTATCTAAGCACATTAGCTTTCGCATCCTACCGGGTACCCATTTAACACCTGGGTGGAGAGTGGCAAATGAAGATCAATGTCTTGCCAAATGACATTAGTGATTTAATACATCTTTAATTTGCTACAACAGATTACCATCATAAAATTCTTCACAAAAATAAAAAAAGGCTTGGTGGACCAATATACTTCTAGCTTTCAGGTGTACAGTACAATACAGCACACCATTTAATTTACATGTAAATATACTGTATTTATATATGAAAAATAAATACAACTTCACTTCCCCTTCTCCCTTAGAAAAAGAGGCAGAATGCTCACATTATCCAGAAATCAAAGTTTATGTAAATGCAGAATTGTTATATCTCAGAGGCAGGAGTGTGAATGTTCCCATTTTTTTATATCACAGGCAGTGTCCTATGATTTCATAAAGGCATTCCTATACTGTAAAAGCTGGGGGTGTTTCACAAAGATTTCAAGTCAAACTTAACTCTTAAGTTGGACTTAAATATTATGGAGAGCCATTTGTAGACTTATAATGAAATACATTCAAAAGCAAAATGCAAGTATTTTAGACTTTTCATAATTCCATATCAAGAACATGAAATCTCCCCAAATAATAGAAAATATAAATGATTTAAATCAACATTTTATGCCTTTTAAAATAATGTTTACAAAATATTTTCAATGATGCTAACAGCTTTCCATAATTGTTACATGTAAGTCCAACTTAGGATCTTTGTGAAACACCCCCCCCCCCAGGATAAAGATAAAGCAGACTGGCCAATCTTACCTGCGTGATCTGGGACATAAGAGGTTGGGGCGGGGTGGGTAGGAGTCCAGCCCCTGTCGAGGGGGGGTTGGACACCAAACTTGCCATGGATCCCCCGATACCACCTGTCAGACTAGCAACCATCTGCAGAGCCTTGCTCTCCTCTGGCATAGCACCTATGTCAGGATTGTAAAGAGACATTGCATTTATCCATTATCAAAACGCTTTAAGTTACAATGAATCATTGCATCGCGATTGAGATTTGAGAGTTGTATACATTATGTGAATGGGGCAAAGACATGTAAACAGTAAAACCTTATCTATTTGTTAGTTGACTACCTTCAATATAACTATCATGAAGTTAAACAATATTATATCATACAAAAAGAAGGTACCAGTACTCTAATTGGAAATAGTACTAATCATATCATAATAATTGAAAAATTCTAAAAGAATGTGTACATTACAAATGGGAGAAGCAGAGGGATTGAAAGTACAGAAAGTGTAGACAGGTAAAATGAGAGTAGAATTGTGAAGCAAATAAGATACTAGTGCCAATGATAACAGCAAAGCTAAGAATTAAAATAAACTTACACTTAAATAAATGAATGTTAAAGCCCCACTGCATTACTTATAGCTACTTGCGCCCTCTATATAGCAAACAATGCCTAATCGGTGCCTGTTGGTCCCCCCATTATCCTCTTTTTCTTATTTTAATTGAGAGCTGATTTGATGAGATAACCACCTGTCAGTGACCTTGCAGGGAGGTCTTACCCCCTGACCAAACTAGTGCGATGGGGCTTTAACAACTTCCTGTGAACATAATAATTTCCCATTAGCTCATAATTCTCGTAGTGGATACAAGCGTGGAAACATACCTTCAGCGTAAGGTGTGACTTGCAGTGGCCTGTCGATGAAGACAGTGTTGGTGAGATGCTGGGCCATCCCGACGCTGGTCGGATCCTCGAACAGAATAAAACATATTCGGGCTGTCACTGGCAGGACAGAGTCCCTGTGATATATTAAGTAAAGGATAGAAAAGAAGGATTAACAAAAATGCCAGTGATGCCTCCAGAGTAACTGTTCGACCACTAGAGTCTTCCAGCTGTGAATGTTGTTATGGTGTCCACAAGATGGCCTTAGCTCAATTCCTTGTCGTCCTCGAACTTTGATGAGGTAATGTCTGAAGCAGCTTTTCCTTGAATGGGACATGCTGTGACAGCAGACAACAAGAGAAAGGTGTACAATTTCTATAATACAATAAGATAGTACATTGTGTACATACAGTGTACATATCCAGTGAAATAGTCCTAGCCTAGGTTACAATGGATGCGCACACTAAGGCTGTGACACGTATTTGAATACAGGCAGACGCTAAACCGTGCCTGGGAGAGTAGGCCTGTAACAGATCGGATCGGGGGCCGATCTTGAGCCGATCAGGGGTGATCGGATAATAATTTCCGATCGCCGATCAATAAAAATGATCGAAAAAAAATCGGCAGAATTTTTTTTTTTTAATGCCGAAAAAGTTCAAGTTTTTGGCTATCAAATGCTCAAAAAAACTCATAGCTGGGATTATTTTGTCATGTGGAGTTGTTGTAGACCATGTTTGTTGATATTTAGTGCCTTTTCATGACTTTGAAATTAATGATATTGGTCTAAGAGAAGAGTCAAAACATGCGGGCCGCCATCTTGGATTATAATGCATGCCTACATTATAATCCAAGATGGCGGCCCGCATGTTTTGCTCTTCTCTTAGACCAAAATTATTAATTTCAAAGTCATGAAAAGGAACTAAATACCAACAAACATGGTCTACAAGAACTCCAAATGACAAAATAATCCCAGCTATGAATTTTTTTTGAGCATTTGATAGCCCAAAACTTGAAAATTTTTGTCCTTAAAAAAAAAATTAAACAAAATCAGCCGATTTTTTTGGTCGATCTTCCGATCCGATACCGATCAAAGGTGCGAGGGTGTCGCTCCGATCTTCTGATCTGATCCGATCAGAGCCCCAACTTACAGGATTACAGGAGAGCGCCGGCATGGTACCGTAGGTAAAAATGTTTTCCAGCTCAATCACTGTCAATAGGAGGGGCGATAGCTCAGTCTTTAGAGCAGTGGTTTTGTAATCCGGTGACCCGGGTTCCAAACCAAGGCGATGCATTTGTGCCCTTTGGTAAGGCATACCTCGTTACCAGGTCTCTCAGAGAGGAGCTAAAGCTGTCGGCTGTCTGGTTGCTTACTTACAAGCATTTATGCTTTCTTAGCAGTCAGGTAAAATAACCACCACCACCAACTCACCACTCAGAAACTGGGACCAAATGTCCAGATTTCTGTTTGGACTCAGGAGGAAAATAAGTCTCTCATCTTTGGTTTTAAAAACAGCATTGCTACTATTATTAGGGTGGATCGTTTATCACCATTATGTATGGATATATGGATATTTGGAAAAATCATTTACTCAGAACTACACTTTCAAATTTCAAGACCAATGTTTCTATCAAAAGATACAGACCCCCCCCCCCCCCCCCAATCTAGTCAATATTCATAGCATTTTGGTCAAAATGGACGAAAAAGTGGTACACGCCGAGTTACAATTTTTGCTCAAAAGCTGCACAGCACGATATGCAAAGCGTGGAGTAAGGATATTTTCGAACTGTAACTGCTTGTGATCCCTTGGGACTAGAGAAAAAATAAGAGCATGGTATATTCCTTACAGCTGGCCCAACTTACCCTCGGGGGCTCACTTTGTGACATTGGTAAATCTTTGAGTTACCATGGAAACAATATTTACACTTCTGTTTTGATCAAGATATTTTTAGAATTTTGGGGGTGAGCCCCTTTGGGGAATATGGAGAAAAACCTGCTCTTTCATATGACATCTCCTCAGGGGAAAATAACCCTAATAACGTCTACCTATATGGGTTGTCCGTCTTCCCAAGGATTTATTGCTCATAATGTGAAGGTCTCTGTACAAAATCACTGTAAAATGCATCAAGAAAAAAAACCTGGAATCCATTTTTTGCATCGCCAATGTGGCGTTCAAAAATATGGAACATCTGCTTTTTTGCAGACGATCCTTGTTTTTGAGGACGCATTGGTCTGCGTTTACAAAGACGATCTTCGTTTATGAAGACGATCCTTATTCTCGGACCAGCGCCCCTACTGACCAACTGAGCTATCGCGCCTCCTCAAAGGAATCCGGGCTAACTCGGCCCACGGGACTACTCGGCCCAGCTGGAAAAACTGGGCCGAGATGTCCCGACCTGATTAATCGATCGAGAGATACCAATGTGTATATGTTTGTGCTCTTTGTGACTTAATAATGCCCTTTCCAACCTAAATCTTTAATGGAATTGTGTTAAATGATACTAATGAAGACAATCTATGACTTATCTTTCGGTAAAATGACAAAAAAAAATGACATTTCGGACAATTTACTCACAGCTCGCAATCCGCATTGCCGCACGTACATGTACATTAAATGTGCGTTGTTTCTACTCGGACCACTGAAATTCGAGCAGTGTTTTCGTCGGTAAATCACTGCAAAAATATCATTTTTATCTCGTATGAAGGTCTATTTTTTATTCCTGACACAGATTTCATTATTGAGAAGTCGAATATAGTACATTTTAGATGAGATGGTTGATGTTTGTTCACATTCTTTCGTCCTGGCCGTAAATTAGCAGACTACTGCCTAGTGCTACCGCAGCAGCTCAGCTCAGTGTGCAGCTAGCCGTACAGCGCCGCCGGCCGGGTCGGCGGGGGAATTCACTGACTCGGCGCCCGTACCGGGCCGCTGCACTGCATTGCATGATTGTACTGCCCAATTTGATCGAGTGATGTGAGTATAACTAATCAAACTAGATCTATATCTACTGTATTATCATTATTCATTCCGAGTAGAATATCCAATTTGATTTAGTGAGTAAACTAGACCTAGATCTATATCTACTGTAGCTACATCATTATCATATACTAGATTAGTCAAGGAATGGAATTTTTCTTTTTTCATAATCAGATAATCATATTTTACTCCTAAAAGTTAAAGACTTGATAAAATAGCTAGATCTAACGTAAGGGCCTAGCCTAGTACTCTAAGCAGAGAAGTGAGCTGAAGAATCGCCTTATTTTTTTGGAGGGGGCTGCTTCCAAAAAATTCTACGAAAAGAAGGTATTGGCTTCAAGTTTTTTGTATAAATAATGCAGCCCCCACCACCCCCCCCCCAAACAAACCAAAAAATCTCCTTTTTGTTCCCTTTTTCTGGGAATCAAAGAGATATATACAAAGCAAAGCAATTAAGACACGATATTGCAATGACGTGCCGGTGCATGGAGGGGCAGGGGCAGAGGCGGCCCTCCCGGGGATGGGGGGGGGGGCAAAGTGCCTCCCACTTTTTCAGATACCCCAAAAGTGCCCCTTTTTACATAGGAAAAGTGCCCCTTTTATTTTGTAAGAAGTGCCCCTTTTACATAGGAAAGGTGCCCCTTTTCATTTGACAAGTGCCCCTATTACTTAGTAAAAGTGCCCCTTCCCCCTTTTCACCTCTGACGAGTGCCCTTTTTTAATTTTTGACACATGCCCCTTTTCCTTCGACATGTTCCCATTTTCCTTTGCAATAAGTGTCCATTTTCCATTCTCATAAATCTTGAAATAATCTTGAATAAGTGCCCTTTTTAATCTCTAGTAAGTGCCTCTTTTCAGGTACGAGAAGTGCCCCATTCACTTTTAATAAGTGCCCCCTTTACCTCTGATAATTGCCCTATTCAAAACTGAGAGGTGCTCCTTTTACTTTGACAACTTCCCCTTTTTTCCTTTGTAAGAAGTGCCCCTTCTCCTTTTAATAACTATCCCCTTTTTTTAAACTCGGATGAGCACACCTTTCATTTTAACATGTGCCCCTCTTATTTTCTAATAAGTGCCCCTTTTACTTATGATAAGTGCCCCCGTTAAAAAGAAATAGTTCCTTCCCCTTCTCATAACTGCCCCTTTTAAAAATCTGAACGGTGCCCCCTTTTCATTCAACAAATGCACATTTTCCTTTATTATAAGTGCCCCTTTTCATATCTGGTCAATGCCCCTTTTCAACTCTGATAATTCCCCTTTTAATAATGATACGTGCCCCTTTTCCTTTCTAATAAGGGAACTATCCCCTTTTCACCTCTTATAAATGCCCCTATCAAAATCTGATGGGTGCCCCTTTTCCGTCAACAAATGCCTATTTCCCATTTTCGTAAACGCCTCTGTCTCATTTTCACCTCTTATAATAATCCTTTGTACTTTGACACGTGCTCCTTTTCTTTTCGTATAAGTGTCTTATCCCTTTCGATAATTGTCCCCTTTTCTTGTAATCATTAAACGTGCCCCTTATTTAAGGCGACTGAGAGCAATTTCCCCCAAAGTTCCCTCGCTGCGCTCGCTCGCATTTAAAGATGATATAATTATGTTACTTATCAAAGGTCTTTTCAGTCTTCCGTTATGAGAATGTGCTTATAACCCCATCACGATTGGCTTTTTTCCTCTTTATAAGATGTAATTTTTCGCACTGCGACCTCATACAATGTAGATCTTTGAAATTTTTCACGCTCGCTTCGCTCGCTCGTAAATGCATATTCAGACATCACACCCAACTGTAAAGTATGATGCTTAAGCGATATCTTGTATGATGTATGAAGAAAAACAAATATTGAAATCATCCCTGATAATGTAATCACAATGTAGGGGTATATACCAATGTCTAAAAAATTGTATATTTTCGCTTTGAGATTTCCCACTGTAGGTGCCCTTTTTTTCTCCAGAAAGTGCCCTTTTTTGTTGGTGCCCCCCCCCCCCCCACTTTGGAAGTCGCTCGGCCGCCCCTGGGCAGGGGGATCTTAATTCTTGTAAGCCTTCTCCTGGACCTTTGGTCAACTGGTCATTAATTTAACCGTTCCTCAAATTTCTAAAAGGCAGCTGCCCCCCCCCCCCCTCCCATCCATCTCGGCCGGGTATGTAATCAGCAACAGAGGCAAAGATCTATGAGCAAAATCAATTTTTATATTTTTTGGGGGGGGGGGGCTGGGGGTTAACAGATTTATATCTGATATATTGTGTACCTGTATAAATATGTATACTATAAATAAATAATAAATAAAAAAAACAAATTTGCATTACAACGTGGCATAAAATTAATACACGATTACACCTGCTTATCATTTGTTATTTTGAGTCAGCTTGACGTCATATTGTTGGAATTTGTATCTTGGAGTCGTAAACAAATAATGTTTATTGCTATTATGTGTGTTTTTCAAACATGTCCTCATTTTTATTTAATTGTTTTAACTTTATTTATTTAGATTTTTTTTTGCCTTGTAAATTGCATATGAAATAATACGTACCAATACCACAACACAAGGAATGGTGTGGCGTGTCATCTGCATGTTACAATTTTTTTTGGGGGGGGGGGCTGGGGGTTAACAGATTTATATCTGATCTTGTGTACCTGTAAATATGTACATACTATAAATAAATAATGAATTAAAAAAATAAAATTGCATTTCCACAATGTGGCATAATACATAATGGAGACAATGTTGATGATGTAAGGGATGGAGATGATGAGAGGGATTGGTGAGGGATGGAGATGATGAGAGGAATGGAGACGATATTGATAATGAAAGGGATGGAGACAATGTGAGGGATGGAGATGATGAGAGGGATGGAGACAATGTGAGGGATGGAGAATTAGAGATGATGAGAGGGATGGAGACAATTTTGATGATGTAAGGGATGAAGACGATATTGATGATTAGAGGGATGGATGAAGCGTGGAAGCATTGACGTTTTATAAATTATTAGAGATAGAAGACAATTCCTTGTACCGATCTCGACTCTTTATCCTTACCTGAATTCAGTTCTGTCCCCCCTTCTCGTGCGAAGCCTGAAGCTTTGATGTTTCATTAAATAATTAGAGAAACAAGACGATTCCTTTTACCGTTCTCGACTCTAGATCCTTGTCTGAATTCAGTTTCCCCGCTCCCGCGCGAAGCGTGGAAGCGTTGACACTTCATAATTAATTAGAGAAAGAAGACGATTCGTTGTACCGTTTTCGACTCTTAATCCTTATCTGAATTCAGTTCCATCCCCCCTTCCCGCGCAAAGCGCGGAAGCTTTAATGTTTCATTAAATAATTAGGGAAAGAAGACGATTCGTTTTACCGTTCTCGACTCTAGATCCTTGTCTGAATTCAGTTTCCCCGCTCCCGCGCGAAGCGTGGAAGCGTTGACGTTTCATAATTTATTAGAGAAAGAAGACGATTCATTGTACCGTTCTCGACTCTTAATCCTTATCTGAATTCAGTACCATCCCCCCTTCCCGCGCAAAGCGCGGAAGCTTTAATGTTTCATTAAATAATTAGGGAAAGAAGACGATTCGTTTTACCGTTCTCGACTCTAGATCCTTGTCTGAATTCAGTTTCCCCGCTCCCGCGCGAAGCGTGGAAGCATTTACGTTTTATAAATTACTAAAGAAGACAATTCGTTGTACCGATCTCGACTCTTTATCCTTACCTGAATTCAGTTTTGTCCCCCCCTTCTCGTGCGAAGCGCGGAAGCTTTGATGTTTCATTAAATAATTAGAGAAAGAAGACGATTTGTTGTACCGTTCTCAACTCTTAATCCTTTTTCTTCCTACGTCCTCTTCCTTTTTTCTTTTTTTCTCTTTTTTTTTTGGGGGGGGGGGGCGACCGCCCCCACTGCCCCCCCCCCCCTGGCTACGCGCCTGCCCCTCCAAAATAAAAGAAGAAGGCGATTCTTCAGCTCACTTCTCTTACAGTACTAGGCTAGGCCCTTACGTTAGATCTAGCTATTTTATCAAGTCTTTAACTTTTAGGAGTAAAATATGATTATCTGATTATGAAAAAAGAAAAATTCCATTCCTTCATTAATCGGATATTCTACTCTGAATGACTAATCTAGTATATGATAATGATGTAGCTACAGTAGATATAGATCTAGGTCTAGTTTACTCACTAAATCAAATTGGATATTCTACTCGGAATGAATAATGATAATACAGTAGATATAGATCTAGTTTGATTAGTTATACTCACATCACTCGATCAAATTGGGCAGTACAATCATGCAATGCAGTGCAGCGGCCCGGTACGGGCGCCGAGTCAGTGAATTCCCCCGCCGACCCGGCCGGCGGCGCTGTACGGCTAGCTGCACACTGAGCTGAGCTGCTGCGGTAGCACTAGGCAGTAGTCTGCTAATTTACGGCCAGGACGAAAGAATGTGAACAAACATCAACCATCTCATCTAAAATGTACTATATTCGACTTCTCAATAATGAAATCTGTGTCAGGAATAAAAAATAGACCTTCATACGAGATAAAAATGATATTTTTGCAGTGATTTACCGACGAAAACACTGCTCGAATTTCAGTGGTCCGAGTAGATACAACGCACATTTAATGTACGTGCGGCAATGCGGATTGCGAGCTGTGAGTAAATTGTCCGAAATGTCATTTTTTTGTCATTTTACCTAAAGATAAGTTATAAATTGTCTTCATTGGTATCATTTAACACAATTCCATTAAAGATTTTGGTTGGAAAGGGCATTAGACTATTAAGTCACAAAGAGCACAAACATATACACATTGGTATCTCTCGATCGATTAATCAGGTCGGGACATCTCGGCCCAGTTTTTCCAGCTGGGCCGAGTAGTCCCGTGGGCCGAGTTAGCCCGACTCCCCTCAAAGATAGCTCTTGATCTTCTTATCAACCACACTCTCAATTTACTATTTCTCTCTCTCTCTCTCTTGTCAGTTGTCAGTCTCGACTCTGTCGCGGTTCGCAAGACTGTGCCTGGCTGTGTGCGCAATATTAAACTATTTATTTCAATCATGACGTCTTGACATTATTCATCATCATGTTCATCATGGTCTGGATCTGGATCTGGATGTGTACGATGCAGGGCCCTACTGGGCATAAGCGCATCGGTTGAGAGAGAGGGCGCGGGGGTATTTAGAAGGCTCTGTCAATGGCCTTCCTGAATGTGCTGGTTGATGTGGAGTTTATGGTCTCACATCATGATCATGCATTGTCAAGCTAACTTTTAAGAATCTTAACATTTTCCCATGCTTCCTGACTAATAACATTATATATCATCATATCATTAACAATAGATTATTCTCATTATTATATCATAGATTAGGTAGAATCTACTCTCGGATCTAAGTTAGATTAGAGACTTCAGATTTCACTCACTCTTTTGGAAAAAGTCGAATGTCCTCGATCTTGCCCAGAAAGCTGAAGAGCGACCGCACTTGTTCCAATGTTGCAGCCGAGGAAACATTATTCACTTGGGCACATTTCGTCACCTCCATTTTGGAGCCTCCGTTCACAACAACCATGAGCCTAAAAAGTGTTTTTTGCGAACACTTTAGTCAAACATATTAAGCATTATTTTAAGATTGATTCTCACTACCTTCGCCAACGTTAATCAAACGTGGGTTTACAAACAATGAACTAACTTGAACGATGAGGTCGTAATATCACGAACACGTGCATGTAGAGTCGTCCCAAATTCATGTCAACCAATACAAAACTGTCCAAAAGAAGAAAGAACAACCAAAACAAAATCTTTCTCCTTTTCTGTATGTATAGGGCCTAGATCTACTATAATTATGTCTGACTTTTTAATCTTTTGTTGTTGTTGTTGTATTATTCATATGTTTATTCATTTATTTATGTATGTATATATATTGATGATTGAACATATATTTATTAATTTTTGTCTTTCCTTTTTTTTGCTTTCTTCGACCCTTTTCTTTATTTTTTATTCGGGCTTCATTTTATTTTCTGTTCCCCTAGCTAGCTGTCTTTCTATTTCTTTCATCTTTCATCCTAGCTTTGCGAGTTCCATTGTCTTCAATTTCGATTGACTTTCATTCGAACCTTATTCCATGTGCATATCGCTCCTTCTTGGCCGCCGCCTCTCTCTTTTTTTTTTACTATTACTATTCAGAAGAAAAAAAAGCAAAGCAAGTGATACAAAGTATACACAATTTCACATAACACAATATCTGTGAATAAATAGGCTTCGCCTGATGTAATTAGCATGGCAGCCATCTTGGAAAAAATTGCAAAAAGAGTAAATAGTAAAGCCCTGCCTCCTCCTTTTTTTTAAAGGTCCGGACGAGAAACACGTCAGTTTTGTTATTTGGCCTTAGGCCTACTGTTGAATCAAGTCAATTAGGCAGATATAAAATATATGAACTTTCCTTTTAATTCGGTAATTATGCAAAAGAAAATATAAAACTACAGTGTTATGAAACTAATTTGACCGCAAATTACTTGAATTTACATTCGGGCTTACAATTATAAAAGGGCGTATATTACCGGTAGGTTATTTGTCATATTCCTAAATTTGGTGGGCACCCCCCCCCCCCCCCCCCCCCCGCCGCCGCTTCTGGGTTATAAAGTCTTGCCTTGCGTAATGTCCGCGGGTGTGAATGAAAGCTCTAATTTTGTATTATTTTAATTTAAAACAAAGCGTCGCCGGCCTAATAATTTAATTCGTAGAGCGGTAGAAAAGCAGGCCATGATAATAAAATTATTGTATACATTTGTTCCCCCCTTCTCCAGTCTGTCTGCCGGTATGTCTCTCATTCGTTAGCCTATCCTTCTCTCTCTCTCTCTCTCTCTCTCTCTGACTCTCTCTCGCTAAAAAGGACCCGCTCTTTCTCTCTCTCCCCCTTATAAAAATCCGGGATAAAAATCCTTTTCTGCTAATGAAGAGCTAGCTATCATAATGCTTTGTGTCTTTTGTTGATGATTAGTGTTGATTCGTAGAATCAGATATGGGTGATTCCATCAATATGCACATAATGTAGAGTAGGCTCATTATTGGTGACAAAATGAATTACAAAGCTATGAACAATATATTGTTTTATTTGTATAGACACAATGGAAATAAAATTCCTTGCATGAAAAGCTTAATTCGTGTAAAAAAAAACGTTATTAATTTTGTCATCATTAACCTTTCACAACTTTTTATATCATTTGAACAAGTCGTCAAACTGATTAAAACGTTTAGCTTTAGAGATTTGTTGCCAGAATTCTATAGGTCAATCCAGCGGAACATTATCCATGCCCGATCAGGCAGGTCGCTGCATGACAAAAGGCAAAATCATCGCAATATGAGAAATGATCATTATCGTGGTATCTCTCGTATAATCCTAATTAAGGTTTGACATTGGGCTTGTCAAACCATCGTCTATTAAGCCACTTACCATAATCAATCAATCACGATTAAAGTCTTAATGCTCCATAAAACTTGTCCATTAAATCACCCAGTTAATAACAATCATGCGCCTATAATGCCACATTACTGTCCCCGTTTTTCGTTGATCATTCATCTCCCATTTGTGGTAGACAAAAATGAGGATAGAAATTAAATAAATTTGCTATTAACCTTTTCGATAACCATCGCTCACTGGATCTATTATTTCCATGTCAGGGAAAGCGTCAGGAAAATGTTCGAGTGTCATTTTCATGCTTTGCATGGGGAAAGGTTAAACAAAATGCTTGCATGAATCTCCTGTGATGGGCATCTCTGTATTTTCGGTATGCTTTTTGTGATATAAATGTAGATATTTATACGCCAAACCGTAAGCTTATTTGTGAACAGTGAACCTATATACCTATTACTCAATATTATATTTATATTCCCCATTTATGCGTGAAAATAATGTAAATCTCAATATATATTTTCTTATTTTTTGTAGTGTATTGATTAAAAGATTGTTACATACATTCAAATTCGCCTAGAAACAAAAAAATCCTTAAAAAGTAATGAGGCCTACATGATTGTTTCAAACAACAAGCTTAGGCCTATGCATATCACTGAAGTGAAATTGTACTAATATAGAAACAGATAAATGATGTTCAGTATAATGCAGGAATTATGTCAATAAATTATCAGAACCCCATTCAGATGCATCACTAAAGCACTGAACGTGATTTGCACATTTTATTTATTTTATAGATAAAAAAAAAACTAAAGCAAACAGCTTCAGAAGAAGACAAAAAATACTCAGAATTGGTGAGGACGGGGGGGGGGGGTGTGCCGCTCAAGCTACGAAACTCCTACTCGTGTTTAACGATCATTTGGGGGATTTTTTTCTCGAAGTACAGCCCATTCTTCACAATTGCTATGCAAACACCCGTAATTTTGACGAAACGGACCCACGTTTAGGTATATTTTGTTAAAAATGGGACCCATGTTTAGGGATTTTTGTGTGAAAAAGTGACCCATTAGAGCGGCACACCCATTATGTCTTAATATCTGAGTACCCCCCCCCCCCCCGGACCACCCACCTCAGTGGCTTCTTGTACCCGCGCCATAATATACACCAATATATCTGTACGACCCAGGGTAACAAAACAAATGAAAATAAGATAACACAGCAGTTCAAGAATATTCCGGGAAAACATCATTAATATGCCATTTAAAAATATTTTTAATGTTTGTAATGCTTTTTACCTAATATCATTATGTATTGTAAATGTTGTATATATATTTTTTTGTTTTCTATCTTTGACTTTCTCTTTTGTTGCCCCTTTCTTATTTTACTTCTCTTCAATTTTACTGGTACCTGGTCATATCTCTATCTGTCTTTGCTTCTGCTATATTATGTAATCATTCATTTATATGTAATGTCTTATGTTTTGAAATATTCGTGTATTGTATTTTTCCGGTGTATGGTAATTTGTTGTCTAATTCATTTGTGTAATACCTTACAGATGGATATACTGGAAATAGCCCTTTTGGCTGAAAGTGTTTTTTTTACCGTTTCTAAATAAAATATAAAACAACAACAACAAAACTGACAGTATAGTTTACATTATCGTAGCAATTAATCGAATTGAGATGATATTGATGATTCCATTTGATAAAAATGTAATTTCAAAATTTACATGAGCGCTTGACAGTGGGATAGAGATAAACTTTTCAAGAAAATGCGGGGAGGGAAGGGGGGGGGGGGAGCAACACTTCAAATCAATAACTGAAATAAAGTCCATAGTTTTGGATTATGATATCAACTCATCCTAAAGGCCCTTTTTTGTGGGTGTGTGTCGGGGTTCACTCCAATGCACATGCCCCCCTCCCCCTCCCTGTCTTAATGGAGCGTCTCTTCTGGCACATGCTGGACCATATCGTCCTCGTCCTCGTCTTCGCAAGTTTTGACAATCCGAGAACGTAAACTTGGAGATGATATAGCAACAATTCTCACAATCCAATAATACGATTGACCGATTGTACTATAAGATAACATGAGTACATTTGCATAGCAAAACAAACAATTAAAACCATGAAATCAGAATAAATCGGATGGGAGAATGACATAGTGATAACAGAACTCCCGTTGTTTTTTAATTTGATAACAATCGATCATCTGAGGCGCCTACAGGCAATATCCTAGCAAATACGACTCAATGATAGCTCGGTAGCACTAATTAAGAAAAGTTGCCCTACATTTCAATCATTTCAAGCTCAGAATGGGATAATACCCGGGGTTAAACGGATTTATTTTCTCGTCCTTCTCAAGGATATCACTGATTCACATGATATGGTCATGTCAGAGTAGGACAGATCGTTCCAGTTATTACTTCTGCCTCATAAATCATCACTAAATGATATAAAGTCAAGTGACTGTTCAGATAATTATGTTAAAGGTATCAATTAAATAAACTAAAGAAAAATATAGAAAAAAGAAGAAGAAGAAGATGAAAAAGAAATAAGAGAAGAAAAGAAGAAGAAGAGGAACATCTTCGCAAGATATCTTTTGTAAACCTCTTTGAACGGGGATCATGAGCATCAACATTTTAAACCAAATAAAATCGATTACGTAAGATGGGGGTAGTCCTCCCGAGCATTACCGTTTTAAAAGCAAATGGGACAGATTTAGTAAGATGGAGGAGATTTCGCCCCCCCCCCAGAAAAAAAGCCGATATTTACAGATTTTTCAAATAAAAATTTACGAGGACGAAACCAGTTGAGAAGTTAATGTAAAGTCTTGATTCATGTTTAAAAAAACACATCCCACCTGGACCTTGAAAATAAATAGTTGGTCAAGAAACGTCTTAGCATTTAAATGCCTTCCCAGCCTTTTTTTCTTGGATAAGTATTACTTTTTGAAGCGCTCTTGAATGCATATTGCAACAAATAAAAAGAAATATAGGATAGTTGACTGAAATTACATGACCCTTTGATTTATATTAATAGCAAATAGATTCCAGATTTAGGCCAATACCGAGCCAACAGCACGCAAAGAGTTAATTAATGAACAAACAAAAAATATTCGTTAGGCCACCAAAGTCAGCGTAGGCTACCTATTAGTTCATAGCACCCATTTTCTCTTCCCTCTCTCAACTCTCGCTCACTCTCTCCTTTCCTCGTTCTATTTTCTTTTCTCCCATTTCCCTTAATTTGTAGTTTCCACTTTCAACCCCCGGTTCGTATTTCGTTTCT